ATAGGTATCTTTAACTACCTTTAGTGCTTTTAACTTAGTATTAAATCTATCTATATCTCCTATAGCTTTTCTCTTCCTTAGGACAGGTTCAGGTGTTTGAACTATGTCCTTAGGTTAGTCCTATATTTTCTAAAAGTCCCCTAAATCTTTTAGGGGAGGAGGAAGTTAAATAAATATAGTAGGTGCCTCCTTCTAAACAGGCTAATCTACTAGCTTTGTAAGTAGTAGTCTCCTAAGTAGCTTTCTCTATAGTGCATTTAAAGAGAGATATTTGGTCTAGAATTATAGATCTATATTACCCCCCTTCTTCTCTTTAAAGAAAACTATATTAGAATGTTACTTAATAGCCTTTATATCTAGCTCCTAGAAGAGCTAGGCTTTAGCTATGTTTTCTATATATCTAATAAAGATAGTATCTTTTCCCCTATTTATTAGCTTATTACTTCTTGCCTAGGTAGGTTAGGCTCTAGGATCTATATAGATAACAGTTTAACAGCCCTAGACTCGAAGATAGGATATACTAGGTTTCAACCTAGTAAAGGCTTCCTCTAGAGAAACCTTAAATCCCTTAATCTTAGGCCTATTAGGAAGTCTGTTCCTAATATAGTATTAGGCATCTAATGCCTTAGGCTAGAACTTAATTAGTATTCCTAATTCCTTAATTATTGCTCTAATTAATTCTTCTAAAGTCTAGATTAATCTTTTAGCAACTCTATTTTAGATAGAGTTATAGGCTTCTATTATCTTAAACTTAATCCCTAGATCCTTTTCCTACTGTTTTAGTAAGCTAGTAAGTTCCCTTACATTGTCTAATCTTATTGCCCTTAGAAGTATAGATAATTATCTTTCTACTTTAATCTTCTAGGCTTTTAGGGCTGCTAGAGTATCTTCTCTTAAAATTAAGGGGATACCCTATTTCTTCCTTAAGAAATTGTTAATAAGCTTAAGCTAGTACCTGAATCTAAGCCTTAATATAGGCAAGGGACTATAGATATTAAGTGAAACTAATTATAGAACTTAAGGTTTCCTTACTATAATCTTGCCTTTATGCTTCTTTATCTTTATAAGGGTGTAGACTCTATACTTTTCTTCTCTAGCTTCTAGGACCTAGATAGGTTCACTTAAGTCTAACACCTTATATATATTCTTAAGTAGATCCTTTCTAAAGTAGCTAAACCTTCTATACTACAGCTCCTACTAATTTTATAACTCCTTTCTAGTAAGTCCAAATTCTTCTTCCTCTAAAATAAATAAAACAAATGCCTTTTCCTAAAGAGATTTATTAATTTCCTTAATAAATAGAACACCCCCCTAAAGCCTTATCTAAATAATAGGCTTCCTAGATAAGGATATAAGGGTGAACTTTAGTAGTTAGACTCTAAACTATTTGCTAAATTAGTTCTATAAAACAAGATTAACTCTAAGATTAGGAACAAAAAGAATATTCCTTAGGACAATCTGTCTCCCTCTTCTCCTACCTATAACTGCATCTCCCTTATATATAGCTTAAAGATAGCTACCCCTAACCTTAATCTACTTTCTCGTTTAGAGAATCCTTAGTTATCTAAAGAGGGATCTTTAGTCAGTTATATAGGATAAAGTATAGGAATTAAGTAGCTATTCTAAGGATAGGTACTTCCCTTTTGCTTCTATAGTTAAGTATGCAACTTTATTATAGTTATCTCCTTTAGAAGGGGAGTCTAACTAAGGTAAGGCTAGGGCATCTGCTTCTTATATAGTATATACCTTCTTAAGGGGTTTCTTTTTTAGATCCTTCTTTATAGAAAGATCCTTCTAAATAGATTTTAGTTAAAGTTAGAGCTCCTTTACTATATTTTTTAATTTATCTTTATCTAGTAAAGACCTCCTTCTAAATCTCTAAGGAGAGACTCTCTTTATTACTCTTCCTGTCTTCTTAGATATTGTAGCTTTCTTTATATCTTAGAGACTAGGACATTCCTTTATAGGATAGCTTCCTTTATAGAGAAAGTAGCTAAAGGTAGATTGCCTTCCCTTACCTATAAATAAAGCTATATCTTCTTAATAGATATCTCTTAATTCCTAAGACTCTAAGATTAAGAGTACTTGTTTATAGTCTCTAGTAAGGTTAGGCTAGGCTATAATTGCATTCTTAGTAGTCTTAAACTTTCCTAGTAGGGAGGCAAGAAGAATTCTAATCTTTTACTTAGGTTTCTTAAAATAGGCCTAATTCTAATCTACCTCTAAGATCCTGTAGGCTATTACACTAATCTAGGTCTATGCTCCTCTAATAGTGTCTTCCTCTAATATCTTAAATATAATTAACTCTTAGACTATTACTATAGTATATGCTTTTAGCACCTTACTATATTTTGTCTTTAGCTTAGTCTAGATACTAGAGGCCTTTGTTTCCTCTATAATCTTATCTTAATCCTTAGGTCTAAGACAGCTTATTAGTTTATATATAGCCTTAGCATTTGCCTTCTACTATATAGGACTAAACCTTAAATATTTAAGACCTAGGAATATTGTCCTTAACTTAGATCCCTCTAAGGATAGTATATCTCTATTAGAGCTGCCCTTTAGTTCTTATGTATCTAGAACAACCTAGAATACCTCTTAGCCTCTTAGGCTAGCTTCTAACAATCTAAACCACATCCTCTAGTTATCTCTTAATAGTATAGGAGCTGCCCTTCTCTTTCTAAATCTATTATCTAAATCTATCGCTCTTTCTCTTTAGTACTTTAAAACAAATATCTAATATAAAACTCCTACTTAAGAAAAAGTTAGTTTCAAGTTAGGTAACTTAAAAGGTTAGTATATAGATTCTAGCTCTATAGGGTAATAGAGAGGTAATTTCTCCTAGTAAAGGGAAGTAGATACTATAGGGGCTTCTCTTATACCTTTTGCTCCTCTTAAGGTGCTTAGTAAGCAATCTTAAGGTATCTATAATATAGTCCAGTCGTGTGTGTTACTAGGCTCTTTTATAGCTTATATATACCTTTAGGAACTTCTAGATATAACTAGGATCTTCTAAAGCTTCTAGTATACTATAGGGGCGAGCCTTAGGTCTACCTTCTCTTTTCTGCTTCTCTTTTAAAGTCTTATAGGTATAGAGAGAACCTATACTACTAAAAACCTCTTTATAGACATACTATAAACCCGGGCTTAGAACCTATTAGACTAAGTCCCTAAAAGGGTGTCCTAATAACAGTTTTATATAGGTATAGCTGTAGCGGAAGGTGTCTATAAGGTAGGTAGGCAGTAGGAACTAATATATTAATTAAGTTAATTATCTAGAGTAATATATAATCCTCCTAAACTTAGAGTTCCTAGCTATAGGTTATATAACTAAATTATATAACTAGCCCTATCTAGTACAGCCGCTAAGGACTGTACTTTCTAATAGAATATAGTCTTATCCTACGTCTCTAGTTTATAGTAGGACTCGCTAGACTCGCTAATTAGCTTTTACCTATTCTTTAGGCTTCGGATAGCTTACCTTAGGGCCGATATAGTTGCTACTAGGGCGCTCTTAGACGTAGACTAAGGTAGAGGCGAAGGAGTAGGTTAATAATTAGGCTAGTATCGGTCGTAGAGTCGTCTATAGATAAATATAAGAGTCTCCTAGTCGATTAATACTATAAATTATCGATTTGTAAGTCTACGAGTACGATCTAGGTAGGAAAAGAGGTCTAGGTTCGCTAGATAAGAATGCCTTCTTATAAAATAGCCTACTTATTATTAGTAGCTACCTTATTATTCGATATTATAGACTCGTACTTATAATAGTATAAGCGCGATAATAGCTTTTAATTAATATAAAGCCGCGTACCGCTATTAACGGGTTTAATATAAAGCTAAAAGCTGCGCCTAACTTTATATTAACCGTTTACGTCGACAATAGCGGTGCGCGACACTCGTGGAGCCTTATTATCGCCGTCGTAAGTTGTTATTATAGTGGTAGAGTGAGTCGCGACTCACAGCGAGTGCCGCTTCGGCAGTCGGCAAAACCATTTTGCGGATTTGTAAGCTTAGGCCACCGCCTCACCCATCCTAACTTTAACGCCGTAGTACATCTCCAATGGAATGGGAGGAGGGTTTCACTGACCCACTCGTGACTTGGGAAGGACCTTTTTGATGCGATCAAGCACCCATTTGCCATTGTCTCCTGGAATCCAATGCTTCTAGACTATAATTTCCGGAGAATTGGCGAGACTTCTTGCCTTGCGGTTCTTGACGCCGTGAAAGGCATCAGTGTGTACTTTTCTATCCCATGGCTGCTTCTGGAGGATGTCATAGTCGTAGAGTCGAGCTAGGATCTACGATTTGAGGGTTTCCTAGCGCGGCGACAGAGTGCCTTTGAGCGGCCCAAGAGAGGCCTGCTCTTTTGTGAAAGTCGACTAGAAACCTGACGTCGATTCCTTCGGGCTTGAGATGCTTCGTTCAAGTTGAAGATACTTGGTCTTTCCAAGCCTCCCGTGAAAAGCGACCAGGATGGGCTTTCTTTCCGCGGAAAGGTCCAGAACTTATTGCACAAGCTTGCGAGCGTTCTGTACGGAGATAGTTCTGCACTGCTTTGTGGAAGCCAGGTTATAGTAAAAAATTGCAAATCTTTCCAGGGACCGATAAATGCTAGTTGCTATCGAGTCCTATACTTGTCTTTGGATTTATGATCGCCACTCGGTAGCTATATCGTGTACGTCGCGGACCAGAGCTAGACAGTGGTTCTTTTTTCGTTTCTCGGTGGAAATGAGTATCTTCGTCTTGCGAGGAAGTCTGGCGTCATGGTCGCTTCAGATCATCGCGCCCTTCGGTATGCTTGGCCTTTATAACGGAATGAGGATGTGCTCCAGTCGGCATCGAGATGCATGACTTGTTGTTGTCGTCGCCGACCATGTATATGTCATTTATGGATGTAGACGAACTGCAATTGATGGAAGGCGTCCACAGGCGGAAAGGCCAAAGACTGTCCGGTGTCGACACCCGCAGAGGCTCCTCACGAATTCCCCCTAGACACATTATAACTTCGACTGAACATCCGTCCCCGCCTTAGCCGCCACAGCAGCCTTATCATGCTCACACGTACTGTACACCAACCCATCCGACTCCCTCTTGATAACCCCCCTCGTAAGCGCCATCTTCTTCCCAGCACTCATAACTTCCACCTCACACAGCACATCCGTCCCCTCCGGCGCAGGTCGCAGATACGTCACGTTCAGACTCCGCGAAACGCCCGCATTCAACCACCAATCCTTCTTCCCGATCCCCGAAAGCGCAATCGACGTGAGCATGTCGTAGACGAACGACTGCGCCCCACCGTGGAGATTCCCGGCTCCATTGCAGTAGAATCGCGAAATGCGGAATTTGAAAACCGCCAGGGCCGTGTCGCGGGACGTCTGCTTGAAGGAATGCAGTTTCACTTCGTTCTCCATGAATTGCGACGAGAAGCGGATGTCGTGGGGGGTCTTGACCGAGAGGAACATGTTGATTCTTTCTTCCGCAGAGGCATCCTCGAAGGCTTGGGATGTTGTTACTGGGAAGAATTTTTCCGCGAAGCTTTCGCCGGGTGGTATCATGTTTGCAGTGGAAAGGTTAGATGGTCTTGCGAGTTGATCGGAAAAGAGAGTGAGCGACCAGGTAGTGGACAGATTTCGTTTTGTTAGAGGTGAAGTCGGCTTCCACCGGATCGGCCTCGCCGAGGCCAAAGTAGAGGAATAGCCGACCGCGTAGATCACGTGACCAATCGCTGGGTGGAGATGAATGCGCTGCTTGCATGCGGCGTCCTTCTGAGATGCGTTCTGCGTGAGAGTTGTTGCGCGAACGATGAGGGAGATCGAGTCTTGTGTGGGAAATCTACAGCTCTTCCACAACTATCACAACAGGTTCCTTCCACTCTTTCGAATCATTGTGAGTCGAGCACGACGAGTCAGGCTTTGACCATATCGTCTTCTCGTCATCTTCAGTCAGAGCGCTGTCACTGTTCGTTCGCGGACCCTCCGCAATGCGACTCGTGATCCATTTTACACCCCAGACAACACTGTAGATGCCGATCATTCCTCCGGCATATCCAAAAACATGGGCGACAATGCCTTGCCATCCAAATTGTGGGTCCATCCAAGCATAAGGATAGAAGTCCGCGGTTGCCTTGGACAGATAAGCCAGGCCCAGGTACATGCTGAGAACGAGCATAACGACGAGCAAGTGGCCAAGAAACGCGGGCGGTCGGGCTGCGCTGAACACGACTTCGAAAATTGTGAACAGGCTGTTCAGTCCATGAACGGAGATGTTGATCCATTGCGCAAATTTGCTGGTTGGCCAAGGTGATCCGTACATCATTGCCCAGAAGACAATGCTGACCAGAAAAGGATATGTCGTGACTGTCGTGTGCCACAGGCTATATGCAAGCTCGAAGCTCCAATGGTAGGAGAAAGACCGCTGAAGGAGCTCGTCTGGCTTGCCTCCCCGTCGAAGGCTACGGGCGTAGTCGAATGTATGGAAAGCCGAAATTCCGAAGTAGAAAGCCAAGGACCACCATGTGAGGAACGTGAAGAAGCTGAAGGACTCCCCAATGAAGCCGACGTCTAGGAGCAGCGTATAGGTCGGGATGTGAATGTCTTTCAGCGTGTTCGGTGCCGAGTCGTGCGCCAGCCAGGAATAGCCGATTATGATGGTACTGAAGCAATACAGTGACATTATGCTTCGTAGCAGAGCCAATGCATATGGATGGAGAATATACGATGTGACGTATTGCCTTGCAGCGTCCGTACTGGGTGGTCTTGAGGACATGCCGAAGAACGACAGCGACAGCGGATTCTGCATCTTGGTGGTCTGCTAGTGTGGACAAGCGATGTGTTCTGGGCTGTCAATGAGAGGACAACAGGTGGAGGAGAATAATGCGAGGAGGTGAAGTAGCAAACCTGCTGCCACCATCGGCATATAAACAAATCCTCGCTCAGGCTGCTTGCTAACCTCTAGACTTCATCGTATGGGGACGAAACGGTTTGCAGGTCTCCAGTGGTCAGCCCTACCGGTAGTAAGGCAGAGTCAGGACGAATCTCAACGTGTGAAATACGCCATCTTTGCGAAGTCTCCGGCTGCGCAAGCCACGAACGCAGCCACGTGGTGGAACCGAGAGCTGAATGATTGCACGTGGAATTCCGGCGGCGGGCCAGAATGTTCCTCGTACTTGTTCTGTGCAATCATCGTGAAGTTAGAGCGATGATACTTTGGGTGTGTTGGGACGTGAAGATGGGCGAGTGAGTGGGGTGAAAGCAAGGACGAGAAGATTCTGTTCGCCGAGGTAAACCAAACATTGATGGCAGCGCAATGAAATTGGCGCCCTCCAGATTTCCACGCGACTCGCCTCCCAATGTCTTAACAGCTTTTCACTTCCACCGCGACACGCTGAACAGCTATCATTCGACAGCGCAGGAGAAGAGACACCAGGATTTGAAGCAGGACTAAACAAGAGTCTTCACTCGATGGTGTGATAAGATTGAAAATGAAGCCGCAGGATTCCTTACCACCGGCATACAGATGTCTAATCTAATGGAGAGGCCGACCCAAGATTGTTCGCGCCAGGAATCAGAAATGCCTCAACGTGACCTACGGACAGGTCTGGCGATATCCCCGAAGAATTCATAAGCTGTCGAGATGGCGACTTGGAGTATCGTTCGATTTAAGACCTAACTCTCCATTGCATTCTACCTCCCAAGTCAGACCCGAGCAATCGAGCAAGTCTTGCCGGCGCAGCCGCTCCTCGCTGAAGCATATCCGGGCCTGGAGAGATAGTTGCTCTGCTCCCAGGTACGTCTTAGAAGGAGGTAGATCGAAGTCAAGAACGCCAAGATCCGGAAATATTTCCAGCTCTCAGGTTCAGCCAAACGGGCTTTTCAAATCTGTGCCAGCGGTGATGGATCTTATTGCCACTACGCCCGGGACGCTGGACTGGTTCAACATGGTATATAAGGGTGTTGCTATTCCAAGGTGAGCTGGGCAGTTCAAGTCAGCGTTCAGCAGCAAAGCACGACTTGCAGCGGGCCGTTACGCCACCGTAGATAGTATCCGCCATGTCCTCCTCTATGGATACCATCCTCGTGATCGGTAAGCATGGCAAGCCTATATACCACTTGAGAGGCTCAGAAAGTATAGGCGGTACCTCTGGTATCGGAGAAGCGTTCGCCAGGCGATGGTACGCTGCTGGCAAAGAGGTCATCGTTGCGGGTCGATGCCAACAACATCGACTTGAAAGCTCGTCCAGGCCACCTTGAAAAGTTGCTCTCAGAATTTCCCGGCATCGACACCGTCAGTGTACATTGTCATTTACTTGTTGGTGATCTTCTGACAATGAATGCACTTACAAGCTTGAATGAACGCCGGCAAGGCCAGCATGTCATCTGTCAATGACATCCTCCGCATGACCGACGAAACTATCGCAGACGAGGTCGCAACCAATGTCACTGGTCCAGTCATCCTTGCAAGACACCTCATGCCTCGCCTTCTCGCCAAGGACACAAGGACCAACTTTCTCTCTAGGGAGTCTGGACTGGGCTTTGTTCCAATTGGTATAATTCCCACTTACTGCTCGTCAAAAGCCTATACGCACCATTCCATGGTTGCCATCCGCCAAAATCTCCAAGGCTCGAACGGGAATGTCATCGAAATGGTCCCGCCGTTCGTTGTGTCAGACTTGCTTGCTAGAAACGAAGAGAAAGTTGGAAAATGGCGCCGTATCGATGACAATGGAAGACTCCACCAACAAAATCCTTCATAAATTGGAGAAAAACTAGGCGGAGAATCTCAAAGCGGTATCTGCGAGATCAGGTAAGCCTCGTGTGTTGAAACCATGCCTTCTACAATCGGAGCGGTACTCGTGAACGCAAAGCTAAGAGGCTAGAGCTCTTCGATTACGAGACGAGAGCATGGCTTCCATGATCGATAGAACCATACAGAACATTGTCGCAAGGTGCAGTCAGTCACTGTACAATTCCCATTGGCTTCAACTTCCTTCCTCATCTGTAACCTGGTGGCTCCACAAAAAGCATGTCACGGCTTGCTTCTGATTGGTCAGGCTGCCTGCCACGTAGGTGACGGCTACACATGTTAGGGCACTATTATTTAGCCGGCTCATATTCCAACTCTACACCCTACAACACAAACAATCAAAGCAGTCAGTCAACCAACCAGGACATTCTCAGCCTACCGCAGAAGCGAAGAAATCCAGAGACCAACAAGTCTGGCATCGAGACCGCAACCATGAACTCAACAGAAGTCTACTCGTCCGTCGACAAGCACTACGGTGCAGCAGCCAAAGCCCAGGACTCAAATGGCTACGCCCAAAGAGTCGCAGAGGCATTCGGCTACAGCCAACAAGACCTCGACGGAATGCCAGAAGAAGCGAACTTGGGACTAAGCTGTGGCAACCCCATCGCCCTGGCAAAGCTCAGAGAAGTACGACTTACAAGGTCCCCGACACAAAAATCCATACCAAATATTGACAACTTGAACAGGGCGAAACAGTCCTCGACCTAGGCAGCGGCGCCGGCTTCGACGTCTTCCAAGCCTCCAAGAGAGTCGGCCCAACCGGAAAATCCATCGGGGTCGATTTCAACAAAGACATGCTCGCCCGCGCCAATGCCATCAAGACCAAAATCCAAAGCGACAATGTGGAATTCGTCGATTCAAAAATAACCAAAATCGAAGTCCCGACTGCGAGCGTGGATTGCATCATCAGCAACTGCGTCATTAACCTCGTACCGGAGGAGGAGAAGCAGCAGGTTTTCAACGAGATGTTCAGGCTTTTGAAATCAGGGGGACGGGTGGCTGTTAGTGATATTCTGGCAAAGGGGGAGATGCCGGACTCGGTTCGAGGGGATATGAGTCTGTATGTGGGATGTATCGCTGGGGCGAGTGAGGTGGGTGCTTATGAGAAGTATTTGAGGGCTGCTGGGTTTGATGGTAGGTTTTCATGCCCTGAAATGGCTTGTGGGTGAGGGCGTGCTGACCGTTTGGCAATTGCAGATGTTTTGATCGTGGATGCCAAGAGTGATCTGAACGTCTATTGGCAGACGGAGGGCGCAGAAGATGCACAAGGCGTGAATGCTTGCTGTGGGCCATCAGCGGCGGCGCCACCAAAGCCTGCTGCATGTTGTGGTCCCTCGAATGAAACCAAGCAGGAGCCCAAAGCTTGCTACGGGCCTTCTTCCGCCAACGGTACAAGCGCCACCAACGGAGTATCTGAGCAGAATGGCAAGCGAGTGGACTTCAATGAATATGCAGGTAAGTCCCGCATCATCCGGTCAGACGCTCGAACAATGGAATGCTGACAGCCACTAGGCTCATACAAGATCTACGCTATCAAGCCATAGATACTCGGAATGCTTGGTCGGCGTATCAGCAGGGCATGATTGCTCTTAGCAGCATAGTTGGTTCGTAGAAGGCATACAGTGGCGTTATGTTCAGAATTGCTTCTATCCCTTTCTCCTTTCGGCAGTACTGTGTGATGGGCTGGTCGCTGTTCGTCTGCTTCCGCACGGCACCCCATTCGTAGATTGATGGCTCGAACACCTGTCCAAGATGATAAACTTCTTGCCTACCCAAAGTCGCAAGTTAGTGAGGGCAAGCCCTATGGCATCTAGTCAGAGCAATGGCTCGAAGGTATCCAAGACCCTTCATGAGTCTTCTGGAGCACAGAAAGCCCTGAATTCGGCCCACGCCTTCTCCAAATCGTCGTTGACGATGATCTCGTCGTGAACACCGGGTGTCTTAGAGTATTCAATCTCTTTCTCGGCTTGCTTCAGGCGCTCCAAGATCGCTTCCTCCTTGTCTGTTCCCCGTCCACGCAGTCGCTTCTCCAAGACTTCGACGGACGGTGGGCGCAGAAAGACGAAGCGTGCGTTCAGATCGGTCTTCTTGACCTGCTTGACACCCTGGAGAGTTCATCAGCTAATCGATCCGTCGTCCGACTTGCCGGACAGTCGTACCTCCATCTCGATATCCAAAATGCACGTCCTTCCCTTCTCCGCCACGTTCTTGACTGCTTGGACGCTTGTCCCGTACAGATTGCTGCCAAACTGTGCATGCTCTATGAAGCCATCCTCATCCACCAACTTCTTGAAATTGTCCTTGGTGACGAAGTTGTAGTCGACGCCATCTCGCTCTCCCTGACGTGGCTGTCTGGTGGTGTGCGAGACGGAGAAGCCAAAGTGGTCTGGGTAGGCATCGAAGAGTCGTTTGAGAAGAGTCGACTTGCCAGCGCCGGAGGGCCCAGAGACGACTATCGGGCGAGGTTTGTCCGTGACTCCTGCCGAATAGAGTAAGTACCGCTGTCCAGACCCGCAGATTGGAATTCATGTGACAGCGCCGGGGTCAGGCTTACCAGACGGTGCCATGATTGTGAGCGGACGCCACGTGACGCAGTGGCAGCGGACAGAGAAGAGCGAGCGAGAATCCGTCGAGCGGTGAAGCTGACGGAGGATTTGGTGCATTCAAGACATGCCAGAACTTCTCGCGAATTCAAGGCAGGACAGTTCTGGGTGCGGCGAGGGTACAGGAGTCATACAGACTTTCGCGTCACGTGATTGGCTGCAGCAAAACGGGAGCAAGCGGAACTTAGAAGTCATCCGACGTCCGACCGGTGTACTCGCGACAACCTCGCGAATGTCAATACCTCAATCGTCGCTACTGATACCTTGCGAACGACAAAGGAATTAGCTCAGACTCTGCAACGAAGAATGCTGATACACCATGTACCCCGCAACGCGGATGAGCGCGGTCGCGGCTGGGGAAGAAACATTCAAGGCTCAAGAAGCAGTCGCTCTTACTTTCAAACTTGGCACGCTCCAAGATGCTTGTGATGCTTGCCTGGCCGTAGCAATGCGCCGACGCCAGGTTCTCGCACCCCTTTCAGCCTGTTAGGAACCCATGGCTCGTAGACGGATCGCCTTAGTGACTCTGATATTTCTTCATCCTCAGCATTCCGGACTTCATGACGCTGCACAAGCCGACTGCATCGCAGGTGCTTTGCTCTGCGGGATCTTGACCCAAAAATATCCTTTAGTAATGCTGGACACCAGTCCTTCGGACGCCTCAAGCACGGAGAACCGATTGCGTCGTCTGGAAAGCCTCAGGCATGCTCGTCTCTGGCTGCGGGACACAAGACCTCGCTCGCGATCGCGCTAAGAAGAATGTTTGCAACACACTTCTGTTGGTCTTTATCAAACTGCGGTCGCGATTGCGATCTCGCCTGTGAACAGACACCAAGGGTCCGTTGAGCTTTCGTCGAGTTTCATACTCAGCAAGCTTGTGGTCATGTTTTCAACATTCGCCGCTGTTGCTATTATATTCGGATCCGGGTCGATGGATGCGATGCATAATACCTTACGCAAGTACTTTCCGAGCGTATCATGCAGAAAACAATCCTGAAGTGATCGCAGTGAGCCCAACTCTGGGTTTCCTGCGTCGATTCGGGCTGATGTCTTGATCCAAGTGACATCAGCTGTAAAATGGGGCACTGGGGTTAGCCTTTGCAATGATATCTGGCATGGCGCAATTGCAGAATGCTTCTGATTCAAAGAATGCCCGGGGCTTAATCGTCGGTGGGAACATGCGCACGTTGAAGCTGTGATGTGTGATGGAGAAGAAAGGTTCACCCATGAGGTGGGGTGGAAGAAGGCGGATAAAAGTTGAAGCGAAGCCGGTACCGAGCCGACGGAGGCCAGGTGGAAGGGTACCCTAATAACAATCACACTTTGAAACCAGACGAAGTCGTTTAATGCTTACGCTATCTCTTGCTACAAGTCCGTCCATACTCTGCCATGTCGGCAGTCAATAATCCCACGGACAGCAAGTCAGGTATGGACTGCCACTCCTAGCAATGCCCTGTATCCAGCCTCCGCTTGGCACCAGTTCGAGTGGAGTGTGGAGTATGCCGCGGAGGATTCAATGCGCCGCCTTGAGCTTGCTTGCTGACGACGCACTTCTACAGCCGCCAAGAAGAAGAAGAAGAGCAAGAAGAAGGCGAATGGCCCGAGTCAGCAGAGTAACGCCGCCCTCGACCAGAATGGCGTCAAGGACAGTGTAGTGGAGGACGAGGAGGAGGATGAGGCATCACAATCGACGAATGTAAGCATGGCATTAGGACAATCAGGAGATTGCAAGGCTAAGATGCGGTGTAGAAAGGATTGATGCCACCTCAGAAAGCTGAAGACACGCTGCATATGCCTTCATCGCCTCCTGAGCCCGCCTCGCCCGTCGAGCGCGGACAGCCCGTTCAGAATGGCTCGCATACAAAAGAGTCAACTTCTGAGGCAGATAGGAGGCCAGACGAACCGGAGGACGACGATGACGAAGAAGCAGAACCTATGAACCCTTCCCACGGTATCTCAGCCGACTCCGACGATACAACAGCCCGCTTGAATGCCATGCAGGAGGAACGCGACAGCCTCAAGGCCGAAGTTACCCAATTACGCGAATCACTGGAAAGCTTCCAGAAGAAGCACAGCGAAGAGCTATCAGGTGTGAAAGATGAGCTGCAGCAAACTCAAGAGAGTAGGGACCACGCCGAGACGCAATATAAGAACCTCCTCGGCAAGGTGAACACCATCCGCACGCAACTGGGCGAACGCTTGAAAGCAGATGCAGCTGAATTAGAAACAGCACGTGAGCGGATCGAAGAGCTGGAGACGTCGAATAGAACGGCGGGCGAAGAGAACGAGCGATTGCAGGACCAGATGTCCAAGCTGAACTCCGAGAAGGAATCACAGGCCTCCGAGATTGAGGAGCTCAGGAATCGCACGAACCTCTCACAGGGTAACTGGGTCAAAGAACGCGACGAGTTGGTGCGAAGAGAAGCATACATGCGAGAAGAATATGAAGTTGCCAAGCAAGCCATGCAGGACTGGGAGATCCTCGCGACTGAAGAGAGGTCAAGAAGGGAAGCTCTCGAGGAGCGAGTGCAAGAACTCGAGGAGCAACTAAACGGACAACGAGAAGCTTACGAGCGGGTCAGAGGCGAAGCAGAAACCCAGGGCAATACGGTGGACGGCTTGCAGCGTGCACTTCGAGATCTCCAGGAAGAGCGCAAGAGAGAACTCCGCGAAATGGTCGAGCAATCACAATCTCAACTCGAATCCCTTCGAGCCCAAACTAAAGCCGCCGAGGACGCAGCAACAGATCTCAAAAAGGAACTGGACACGACTCAAAAGGAGCTTGAGCGCGCCGCTCCTTTCGAGAAGGAAGTCAAGGAGAAGAACCTCCTGATCGGCAAACTCCGACACGAAGCCGTCATCCTCAACGACCATCTCACCAAAGCCCTCCGCTTCCTCAAACGCGGCAAGCCAGAAGACAACGTGGATCGACAAATCGTCACGAATCACTTCTTGCAATTCTTGCAACTCGATCGCAGCGATCCCAAGAAATTCCAAGTCCTCCAACTCATCGCCGCCCTCCTCGGCTGGGACGAACAACAACGCGAACAAGCCGGTCTCCTCCGCCAGGGGTCCGGTTTCTCCACGGCAGGAGGTAGTCTCAGGGTTCCCGTCTCCCCCTTCCGACGCACGCCGAGTACGCCCACCCTGACGGGAAACTTCGACCCCATGTCTCCCAGCAGCGAAACGGGCGGGCGAGAGAGTCTCGCAGAACTCTGGAGTGATTTCTTGGAAAGGGAAGCGGAGACGGGAGTCGGTGGGCATAGCAGACGGCCCAGCCTCGCACAGCAGAGTGTCCGAAGCCCGAGTCTGAGTCTTCCGCAACAGAGTGCGGGTATCATGGCTCCTCCCATGCGGAGTCCGGATTTGAAGAGGAAGGAGAGCGCGAGTCAGGCTACTAGTGCTGCGGCGGCCACGGGGACTGGGAGCGGGAGGCAGGAGAGTAGGAGTAGTAGCGCAGCTGGGGAATGAATCAGGCCAGGAGTACATACAGGTAAAGACGGGAGGTAGTGTGCAGTCTCGACTGTTCCTTCACCATTCTTCCATTTTTCATTTTCCATTTCCCATGATCAATTGACGCACTCCATTTCCCAAAGATTGCGTACCTTAAAAAAAAAATTCTCACGCTTGGATCACGTGACGGGTACATCCCCCTCAGTCCTCACGCTAAGGTGCTAAGGTAGCATCACTGCTTTTCGCTCCACTCTTGAACCCACCCGACCGCTCTCGAGCAATAAGTATTGATCTCCATATCCTCCTGCCGTCTCTCGGGAATTTCCGCATTCCATCGAAATGGACCAAAATGAATTGAATGCAGGGAGGGACTAGGTGGGCCACTTCCGCCTTTTACACCAGACTTTAAGATCCAGATCCATAATTCGTGTCTCTCCCTCTCTTTGCATACATCGGATCCACCTTAGCCTGATGAAATTCCAAGTCCTCAGCAGTATGCCTACATGTACGTTTCCATTTCCTCCCGCGCCGTTGCCGTTGCCGTGGTCTCTCCCGGCATCACGTCCTCGGGGTGATTTCTTCCAAATCCCGTTGCTGCCCAAGCAAGCGAGCTGTCTTCAGACTGTCTTGGAGATTCCTCACACTGACGCTCCTGACTGTCGTCTACGTATGTCCTCACACTGACGCCGTGCTATCCAAACGTCACCAAACGGTGCTGCGCACTTCTTTTCCAGACTCCCTGCCCTCACTGTCGCCCATGCTTCGTGCAGCCATGCGCCATCTAGTTCCCGAAAAGAAAGCTGCATGAGTAATCCACTTTTAAAGATTACAGAAAGCTCGTAATGAAATCTTTCTTCCCCTCAAGTGGTGCTCGGGTTACTTTTGCCTGATTTGTTAGCGGACCGCCGTGCGTCCCGTCCCTTTTGGGTTCTCGTGGCAAACGTGGTCTCCATACACACCAATCGAATGTCAGCACTCATCAAGATATCCAAGATCGTTATGAGGTAGCGTTGAGGAGAGACGTCGCGCTTCCAGTATATTGGCAGCTGTCCGGCCCGCCACCCTCTCTGAGGGCATCTGCACATTGCTATTTTACTTCGCCGCGATTCTATTCCGTCGTATCCTCGACGCCGCCTTTGTCTGCTATTCCATGGACAGACATACTAATGGATCCCGACGCCCAACTGACATGAGAGGGATGGATCGCGACATAATCCCGTTGGCGGAGGACGCCCTCAGAGTGGACCTCTAAAAGAAATAAGGGTGAGATGTTGAAGGAGCATGTCGCTGCCCGAGTTGGTAGCTGCCGAGGGCCGGTCGCAGGGAAATTTCCGGAGTAGGAGATTGTTGGTCCACGAAGTTGGCGTGGCATACTGTCGACCTGGAGCTCTTGCTGAAGACCGCAAAGAGGAAGAACGACGAGGCAACTATACAAGGCACTACTGCTGGCGGCTAAAAGGCAAGTGCATCCTACATCGCAGTCCAGGAGCGGGCAGCTGAAAGCTAACGTGCGTGGGAGGAACCAGTCTGCCAAGCCAGACTCGTTGTTGTATATCCTATCGAACCCAGTGTCTTTGCCCAGTAATGGAGTAAGAGACCGACCTGGTGGCTTACAATTGGGTTTGCTGTGCTGATCTCGTGTCATTCGCTACCAGTGTATGGATCGACGACATTCCTGCTGAGGTACCATCCTTTCAGCTCTTCTCGGGCATCGCAAGCCGGGGATGGCGGTCCAAGCTTCATCCAGGCGTTCCATTCGCCCAGCCCAGAAGATACGTTTAGCCATTCGTTCGCAGCCCGGGCGCCCGTGGAATCAACGGAACCAAATCTCATGAGCGAGACTGGAGTGGCTGCAATACTGTGGCTGTCAGGCTGCAGCTGATCATTGTCCAGATTCAGCGCGTTTCGGAGTAATCGTTGAGCGCAACGCAGACTGCACCACGGTGATGGCCGTTGTACTGCCGGATGATGCTCTTACTGGAAAGCTCCCACAAGCGGGCGTAGTGGTCGCTGCAAGCGGTGACAAGATACGCCGAGTCAGCCGAGAAGGCGCAGTCCCAGACCCAGCGCTGGTGACCATCCAGCTCGTTTTCCAGAGGCAGTGCTCCAGAATCCTCGCCAGCGTTTGGCTGAGATGTAGCTCCTTCCTCGCCCTCTTTCTGCTCATCTGGAGGACTGACATTCTCAAGATCCACGGTCCAGATTCTGGCAGTATGGTCGGCGGAGCACGTCGCAAGCTTGCGCACATCGGGCGAAAGCAGGACGCGGGTGATGTAGGTACCGTGAGCCCTGAATCTTGTGACGGGCACGAGGCTGGTAACATCGCGAACGGTGATCATGCGCCACACGAAGACCGAGCCACTGACGCTGGAGCTAACAGCAGCGCACATGAGAGAGCCATCGGTGGCGACTGTCACGGAGGCGACACTCTTGTCCTCTTCCGGAACGAGCTGGTGACTGCACTTGTTCTCGCCAAGATCCCAGATGCGAACGTTGCCCCCGCGATCGCATGAGATCAGCTCGCCTTGGTTCGGATGGATGACGACGTCGTTGACTGCAACGCCATGAGAGTAGTTCCGCTGGATGTGGCCGCTACGGGTATCCCATATCTTGACAGTTCCTGGAATGCGTTAGCACCGGAACATTCAACGGGTGACTGGAGGATACAGTACCGTCCTCAGAGCTGGTGACCATCCATTTGCCTTCGCAGTGGAAGGCGACACCCGTGATATTGCCGGTGTGGCCTTCAAAAGTGAGGACGGCGGCCGGGTTGGTGGATTTGATGTCGTAGAGCTTGACGGTGTGGTGGCCAGCAGCCGCCAAGAAGCGCTTGTCTGGCGAGATACACAGGCGGTTGACTTGCGAGTCAGGGTGAGGAATGGTGCGAGAGCAAATACCACTCAGAGCCTCCCAGAATCTGGTGTAAATAAGCAGATTAGCCCAATTCCACGCAATCGACACCTTTACCCGAAGACGGGTGTGTACCCGAGCACCCATGGCGCGTGAGGAGCAGCGAGTCCTCAGGCGTCGAGCAGCGTTCAAATACACCGCTTTCCGCCCGCTCTCACGTCCGACGAGAACTTACCGAATGGTGTGATCATAACCCGCTGCCGCGCGGTCAGCATGGATGAGGAGCGAAGGGCTGTCAGTCTCAAGGGACGCACCTGTGCAGAGAATGACACTCATCGTGTCTGTCGGTACGGCCTGCGGTGGATGTGAGAATGGATTTGATTGGGCTGAAAGAGATGGCAGGCGCCGCCAACAATGGCGGATGAGATGTTGGCGGCCGGGGAAAGAGCGGAGAAGAGATGGAGATGCAGAAAGGCGATTGAGAATACAGCCGTCGCACGCGTAGACCACGTGTGCGTGCCTCAGCTTTGAGGTGTCGATGGCGATGAGGAGCAGAGACTGCGAAGAAGTGATGGTCCGGTGTTGTTGGTCGCTCTCGGGTGGAAGCGGCATCTGCTCATACGGCGAGGCAGGAGCGACCGTGCGTTTGGCGCTAGACCGGGTATGGCCCGACTGCCGAGTCGATTCAGCCCTATGCACACGAGTTTAACCAGACGACACTTGATGGGAAGATGGTGGATGAGTGCGCTTTGCATGAGTGACGCTTTGCATGATTGCGCTTTGCACGGTGAAGAGCTGCGTTGCAGGTATTGTGTGCTTTCGTGGGAAGCGTAGGGGACTCGATCGGCTTGCGGAATGTCGTAGTCGCGCCTGCCGCCCGTCACGCTCGGCGTCGCTTCCTCAAGGGAAGGCACGAAGGACACCGCGCGGGTGCCATGACCAGGGTCGAAGCATTGGCCGGAGCTCCGATGAAGCTGTGTCTGGTCGGGAAGGAGCACCTGGATAGCCGACACCGGAGGGCGATTTGGACGAATCTGTATTGTCGACAACGGAACCGACGGCAGCCTTGCTATGACCATGTCGTGGCCTGAATGGAGAGCAATGCTGCACTGCGAAGCGAAGTCAGCCATCTGTATCTCACAAATTCTGCCAAGCCCTCTTGCTATAAAACATCCGGTCCACTCACCAACATCCGGTTCATCCGACTATCGTACCGTGTTATCCGACCGTTGCAGAAATCGGAGCGGCAGCACAGATAGTGCTCATAATGGCTGGAGAGCAGTTTCAGAAAGCGTCTGATCCCCTTCTAATGTTTAGACTGAGCGGCCGAATCCCTTTAGGTGTCCTGCAGAGCACATCGAGCTATGGATGTCTTCGCCTCGAGCGTGCTCACATGGATACCTATCTTGTCCCAGCTATTGCATGCACTTCTTTGATCCCAGTAGGAGCCGTATCCCGAACATCTTGTGCAAGCACCGGATATGGAGAGTCTCAAGTAGTCTCTTGGTGACCTTCTGTGTGCCCCTCTGCGGCGGTCCGAAACCCCTGGTCGTGGATATCGCTGTTGTCAAGGACGGGATGGATCCGATGGAGGGTCCAGGCAGAGAAGCAAGCACCGGGGCTCAGGGGCTTCGCATACTCCTGTGTACTGTCCATTAGCGGTATATCTCAGATGTGCTTGCTCTTAGACGGCCCTTCAGGAGGTGTTTCACGAAATGGTGTCTTCGATCATGCCACCACTGCGTAGTCCGAACGGATGCAATGCTGTGTCGCCGTTAAGAGCATGTATGCGCTTGTGTCATTGGCAGCGGATATTGCAGCTGGTGGATTGCAAAGTCGTCGCTCGACGCTCGAGAGTTGTTGGAGGCACCAAGTCTGAAACTCATGCGGCCGACAGATCTTCCTGATGCGCTCCAACAGCAAAGTCTCGTCGGCGACATGATATGAATGACATGCTTGCCCTCGTAGTGGAGGCTGTGTATGTGCCTGTTCACAGCCGTCAAGAGTTGTGGTATGGTCGTGACGCTCTGTCCGTGGGCGCCGATGAGGTGCCCCGGATCGACCGCAGCTTGCCGAATCTTCTCAGCGCAGTATCACTGGCTCCTACCTTGGCCCTTCAGCGTGTACGACCGGCATGGGAGGTCTCCATACGCTCTCTTGGCCCGTCATCGTTCATGTTTGACGTGTGCATCACCATCTGCGACTCGTCGGCGGACGCGCTGGTGTGCCATATATACACATCTAGCAAGACCGTATCGATTCTGATCGACGGCAGTGGCCTGTACCTGGCTTGCGCAAGATACCCGCACATGCGCACTGTTGCCTGCTGTAGGAGGCACACAGTCTAGCGACGCTGCAAAGGGCGGGCAGTAGCAGATCCCACGAGGAGGGGAGCTGCTTGTGCAAGCGCTGCTTCCTCCGCGACTGCAAACCCCGATCGGACAAGCGCCTTATCATAGGGCTGACTGGAAACGTCACCGTCCCGGACTGGACCATGTGTGCACCGCTCGAAGCTCATGGAATGTGATTCCACGAAAAGCTACTAATGGCAATTCGCTTCATCGTGAAAATCCCCCATGGGATTTTCAGCCTTGTCAGGCACACTGCACGCGGAGCTCCACAATACGGGACTCAGGGTCCATTGATCCAGCGGTACGCCATAGCAGTCAACCTCGACGATTTTCCTTTGCTTCCAACACGCATAACGCAACGAAGACTCCAGAGATCATGGTGCAATAAGTTGGAGGAGATGCAGAAGGGCTCTCGCTATCTCCTCCAATTTTTCGCGCTGAAATATCTGTTCTCTTCGCCGCCTTACGAGATTTCTGGTCAAAACAGCTTGCCGGATTAGAGTTATCACCTGGATTTGGACTTCTTTTGCTTCAAAAATTCGCCGACGATGCTAGGGTGGACGTCTCACGACGCCATGTAGATGCTCTAGATGGCTGAGAGCAGGGCTATCCGCTCATACCAATTTCGCGATGGTCACCTCACCGCCGCTGCCGCAACGAGCTCTTCTACGTAATGTTTCCTCCCTGTGAGGACGACGGCACCCGTCTCGACCTTGGGACCTCATAGTCTGGTACTGAGCAGAGCTTCAGCGAGCTGGTAATAGGCTTGCTATCCTGAGAGAAGGAGTCATTCTCACGATGATATGTTCGCTATAAGATGCAGATGCGTGAGGCTTTCTTTCTGGATTCCTTCTGTACAGATCACTGCACTTTCTAGGAGTCTATGCCCCTTGGCCTACACCACTGCGCTTAGACTTCCTCTGATTTGAATCCCCCTGCTTGTTCACTGTCTACCCACCCTTCTTTCCTGTGCGTGCGTGGCTCCTGCTCACTCAAAGCCCACCACCACCACCACCACTACTCCGCAATCAATCTTCAGGAGACCAGCACCATGTCCTCCGACAAGAGGAAGACGTACAAGGGCAACGACCAGAAGATCTGGCGTGCCCTGTTCACGTACCTCAAGGCGACGTACCACTGGCCGGAGCTGACCCGGCTCAACGACAACTTCGGCCGGGCCAAGATGGAGCAAGTCGCCCTGCACCACGGCTGGTTCATCCAGTGGCCGCTGACCGAGGCCGAGGCCTCCCTCGCCAAGGGAGACTTCGGCCTCGAGGAGTGGCTCTACGCGTGGCCCCGCCTCCCAGCGGAGCCCAGAATGGGGAAGTATTCGTACTACCTGATGCTGAAGGAAAAGTATCCGGAGTGCGGCGACGACCTCAAGAAGGCCCACGACCTGGACAATGGGCGGATTGTCCTCGGTCGCAAGGGGAATGGCCAGCAGGCCGCGACTCCCGCCCCCGCTCCCGCCCTCGCCCTCGCCCCGGCCCCTCCTCAGCAGGAGCAGCAGGAGCAGCAGCAAGCCCCGCCGGCAGCTCCTATGCCGCCGGTCCAAGAGCCCGCCACAGGCTATCTGCCTGACATGGCGCTGGGCCTCGGCCACGCCGCCACTCGCTTCGTGGCTGAGGACTTCCCCATGGCCGCGGCCATGGAAGAAAACATGACTGGAGACTATCTCCAGCCCATGCAGCCAGAAGGCGGTGCTCTCCAGACCGCCGACGACCCCGTCCTGGCCATGGGCGAGGAGATGCCCGGGGCCCAGATGGACTTCCCGTGGGAGGAGCAGCCCGCCTACTTCCCGCAGGCCACGGGCGAGGCAATGCCCGGCGGGAACCAGATGGACTTCGCCTGGCAGGAGGCCGGCAACTTCTACCAGGCGGAACTCTTCGGCTTGCCGATGGATCCCCAGGGAGAGCTCCTGTTCCCGCCGCCGCCGGCTCAGCCGCAGCCCGACTTCTTTGAGCCGGCGGGCCCCGTGGACTCTCCGATGGTGGGCTTTGCCCCCGCCTTCGGCCCTGCTCCTGCCCCTGGAATTGGAATGCCGATGGAGTTTTTCCAGGGCGAGCCTTCCTTCGCGTCGGAGGAGTGGACGAACCAGGACGTCTTCGGCATGATGGCCGCGGCCGAGGGAAGTCGCGGGCCCCCGCCGCCTCCTCAAGGGCAGTAGGCCGACCTCGCTGCAGGCCTACTTTACCTTACTCTTGGCACCTCGCCGCCGACAGGTGCCTTCTCCACCCCACCACCCCTGCCCCCTCTTCCGCGCCGCCCACCAGCGCGTCGACTGGCTCTTGGACTCCGGATTTTCAGGAGATGTTTTTTTGTTTTTGTTTTTGCTTTTCTCTTCTGTGTTCGCTGCGTTCTTGTTTGAGATACCCCGTGCGCGAATCACCGCACCTGTTACAGTTGGGATTTTCGGTCTTTGCTTTTCGCGTGATTTCTTGCTTGCTTTTCTTGTTGTATTGCGTTGCTCGCTTGTATTGCATTGCCTGCATTTACGTTCTGAGATTTGAGATTTGGGAAATGGGAAATGGAAGTCATGTGAGAGGGAGGTTTAGTAGGGGTAAAAAATCTCTGCCTGCGGGTGAGACCCCAAAAAGCTTTCCTCGAGGAGGAGAAGAAGAAGAAGAAGAAGAAGAAGAAGGCATGGAGTTAATGGGGAGTTTTTTTGATGGTATTGTTTACAAGGTGATGGAATGTAAATTGTTTGCAGAATTCTTTCGTGTCCATCTCACTGTCTCACTGTCTCACTGCTTCCATGCGCCCCTGACTGATGAATCTACCTCGTCGTCGTCGTCGTCGTCGCAGCTTGTCTCTTCTCACGTCTCGAGTAAGCTCAGCTTCTCAAAAGCCCTCAACACGGGCGCTTCCCGTTTCTGCTGTGTCGCCGACATCGCTTCCCACAATACCGCCTGTCCACCCCAAGGCCTTTCGCCCTCTCCATTCGTATTCGCCGGCAGCTGAGGCTCGAGAGAGGAACAGAAGACCTCTTCCATGCACCCTCTACAAGCCACGAGCACATCCTGAAAGACACCCTCGACAGCGAGCGCTCGCTCCCTCATAGCCCTCCGCATCAACCCTTCCACGAGTCTGCCGATATCCTCTCCCGTCTCGTTCACCCGCTCCATCAACCTCGCGATGGAATTCACGAGGTATTCTTCCTCATACACCGTGCCCTTCTTGCCGCGCGCGCGCTTTCTCTCCTCGCGTCGGCGGTTCTTCGACGTCTTCCGCGTGGCGTTGGTCGCCAGCGTGCCCATCGAGCGATTCGTGTAGCGCGTCATGAAAGTCCCCGCGGTCGTCGAGTCGGTCGGTGCGAGGGAGATGTTGTCCGGTATGTCGGCGTCATAGTCCCCTCCGCCGTCCAGGAAAGCCATGGGATCTTCGGCCTTCTTTCGTCGCAATTCGCGAAGTCGAGGGATCTGGTTGTTCAGCTGCGTCTTCATCTCCGCGAGCATTTCGGTCATGGTGGCAGAGGCCTCGATGAGACCGGGATCTACGAGGTCGCGAAGGAGCTCTGGGCGCTTCCGAATCGCGACTTGTCGAATGGCGTCGGCGAAGCGATAGCCACGACAGAGGAGGCGGACAGCCGATTCGAGATCCCTCAAATGTTCCAGGTAGACGGTTGCTGCTTCGACGTAGTGCTTGGCTTCCTCGAGACCGTCAGCGAGATCCCGCGCCAGCTCTGCCGTCCGCTCTTCGGACATGTCAATGAGGCCAGCACAAGCCAGACATTCCCCCCACATGCTGCATGCTCGGTATGCTTCATATGCAGAGGCGTAGTCTGAAACATATTCATACGCAATTCCGGCCTCTTTGTATCGGTTCCGTGAGCTCAAGAAATCGGCATACATGCGCATGAGCTCTGATAGCCGTGCGTCATCATATCGATACAATTCGATCGCCGTCGAGTAGAGATCATGCTTCTCGACGTATGCTTTGAGTTCTTCGAAGTCTCCGGCACTGTGCAGGTGAGAAAGCGCCTTTTTGTATCGCTTCAAGTCATTATCGATAGCATGTCTCTGCCGCAGAGATTCCATGCTATGCAGGTTCTGCAGATACGGCAAGTATTCGCGAGGATCCTTCTGAGATTGCTGAGCAGCTAAGAGGGCAACATCGAGATCGTATATGCCGAGCGCGGTATCATAAATCTGGTTAACGTCCGTCAAAAAGCAGATGTGCTCCACGGCTTGTTCCAGCTGTTCTTGCTTCCCACTCTTCCGAAGATCCGCGACGAGAGACAAGCCAGCCTCAAGATCGGGCGGATTCTTGCATACATGAGCGGAAACGACGTTCTGAAGATGTGTTGACTCCTGGCCAGACAGAGCTTTCAAGAATGCATCGCAGATCTGGTTGACCTTTGAGGATTGAGACGGCGGTTGATGTGGCTCATGTCCTTCGAGCAACCCATTCGTCTCGTTCCCAACAGATGCCTTGAGCGTCTCTTTGTACAGAGTCTGGGATACGTCTTCCTCCGAAAGAGAACTCAGGAACAGGTCGATGTACTCCACTTTCTTTACTTGCCGAATAAACCGATCAACGTCCATCATGAATTGCTGTGGCGCATAGTCGTGCAAGATATTCATGTCCACGCGTTGCGTCCTACAGATCAAGAAGGCTTTCTTGTAGTGTCTCTGCCCAATCTCGTGACGAATCCCCGCCAGGACCAAGGCCCTTGGATATATTGTTTCGAGATTGCCCCGAGGCATCTGCAGGACCAGCGAGTACGCACTCGGCATGACGGTGACTAGTTTCGCGCCTCTTTCAACGTTTCGACACCGCTCGTCCTTCTCGGGCTCATCGGGAGGTACTTCAAGCTCTCCAGAGTGCAAATGGACAAATTTTAAGAGGTGCGTTCCAGTTGTGTAGACCAAATGTGTTCTCGTCACGACAAAAGATGTACAACTGGATATCTTGAGAGTCTGAGAAGCGCTTTGGACGTGCAGAAGACCACCGGCAGTCAAACCGAAGACAATTTCAGCGTCACCCTCTCGCCAAACCTTGACAGCCGGGCATACTGTTGGGAGCTTTCCGATTTGAGCGCCAGCACTGAAGTCGCAGATCGCTCCAGAAGCGTTTTCGTATATTGTGCGTTTGTGGTTTGTGTCGGAGATCAAAGTCACGCCGTCCAAGTCAACCGTCGCTGCGCTGTCGCGAGTTGGAAGACAGGCCAGCTGCGCGCCCTCCATGTTTACGCCGCTGCTCACGACTAGGACTTCGTCGTTCTCGTCGAGCACAAGTTGCCGTGGAACAGCGAAGGATGAATCGGTGGATAAGGGCACTGCACTCGACAGCTTTGGTCGCTTGGCTGGCTTGCTGCTGTAATCACAGTCCCATATTGAAACGCTATCTTGGTGGAGAACGGCAATTTTGGTCCCTTTCTTGCTGATTGCGACGTCCACAGTATTTGCTGGAAGATCAATTTCGTCAAGAGCCATAGGCGGCGGTACATTAGCGGTCCGTAATGGCGTCAGTTTGAGTCTTTGTCCATCGATCACGGCCACAGTCCCATGATCGTACGGAGGAACAACTGAGCCGCAAGCAACCTGGGAAGCATAGCTCAGAAGACGAATTGATGTATGAGCGAAGCACGCCAACTGCAAAGCTCTTTCAGGGTGCCATGAGGCCACGGCAAAGGAATGGGCCGTCGCTCCAAGCATGATCTCTTGCTTCAGATAATAGTGGTAGTTGCTCATGGTCCAGAGCTGAACACGGTCTTTCAACGATACAGCAATCACAGAAGAGTCGGCGTTCCAGGCCAGATCAATAGCACCACCCATACCATTCATTTCGGTCTTGCTGAGTCGTAAGGCGAATTCGCCGTGTCGTAGCCCGTTGCGCTCAAAGAAGACAACCTCGATTCGATCATCCTGTCTTTGTATGCCAGCAATTAACTGTCCGCTGGGCTTCCAGCTCAAAGCACCTTCAAGGCCATCGACAGGTTCGCTAACGCTGTCCAGAACGCCGTCTCGTGAGTACACGCGAATGATCCTTCGCTTCGTCTCGCCTTCCAAAATGCTGTTAACGGCAACAAATTGGCCATCGCCTCTCCAGCTGATAGTAGTCCGAGCATCATCGAAATCGCTCAATTTGCCTTCGTCAACATGCTCGGGGACAGTCGGGTCCTTCAAAGCCTTGGCTCCACGGCCTTGGAATTGCGTCTCTCGCTTTCCCCATCCGACTGAGACATGATTGGAGACCTTCAAGTCTTCGGTGGAAAGATTGATACTTGCAGTCCCTTCAAACTCTCGAGTCATGAACAGTAAGGTATTTGCCTTTGACGCAATGAGCAACAGCTCTTCGTCCGGACTCCACGCAGCGGCGTTGATTCCGGCATCGACTGACCCGACTATCTCAATCAGTTCCTCACCGTCTTCCTTCGCTACGACAATGTCGCCTCCTTCCAGGACGAGACATGTGCTGCCCGTGTCCGGAAAGCAGTGGAGGTTCAGAACTTTGTCGTATGGCAGATCCGGATTGGGCGAGACGGCATCCCACGATGCGATTGTTATGGCCTGGTCCGGACCGTACGCATCCTTTGGGAGTCGCCTGAGACATATTGTTGGGTTAGACATAGAAGGCCCTAAGCTGCAGACCAAGTCATCGCCGTCCCATGCTGTCGCGGTTATGGGCTCGTCGAATTCTTCCAATGTTATAGCAGCATGCTTGATATTACGCAGATTCCGCATGTTGAGCTTGTTCAAGATAATTTCATGAGTGGCATGTCATTGATGTTTGTTTGTAAGCCAGAGGTCACTGTTTCGAGATTTTTGTTTGAGGCAACCTAAGTTGAAGGCTTGACTAAGCAGGCTCTGATTGGTCTGCTACTTTGTACATGAAAGATTGCGAGGCAGTCCCATTTCGTGGAATGTAAAATCGCTCTATGCATTCATTGACATATGAAACCGCCTCAGTAGTATCACATGGTCATACTGAGGATTCCATGACCTCCCCGACGCTCTATCATGCCCCTCACTCTGCCATCCATGGCCTTCTTCACTTCCTCTATTGGTTCTTCTTCGTTTGCCAGACTATCCGTCGTGTCAGCATACGCACTCTTATCTCGGGTCCTATGCTATGTCTTATCTTACCTGCAATGCCCACTGGCGCAAAGAAACCAACAGCTATCCTTGGATTAGCGCTCCATCCTCTCCATTTCTCCCTTCTGTCTCTTTACGCACCCATGAAAGTCCAGTATCGCACGGCAAACCACTTTGTCAGTGGGTTGAAAGGAATGTTGCTTCGTGGGCCCTCTGGATAGTGGTATGGCGAGCCGAGTTGCGCGCGGGTGGAGTGGAAGCCGCGACGGCCAAGCGTCATTGGGAGGCGGGCGGCGGCGGTTCTGGCGAGCATCTTCAGGTGGTCAGTCTGGTTGTGAGTGCTCCAGGTGGTGATGCGTACTCTGAAGGTGGAATGTGGCGTCGTGAGAGGATGTATCGAGGTCGTTAGAGAGGTAAGTTGGAGCTTCAATGTCGGGAGACGCATGACGGAAGCCGGAGGTTGCGGTTTCGGCCGATGATCACGTGAGGTCGCTCTGTCCAAATCACGACTACGCGTTTCCCTTTTCGTCTCGTTCCTCAATACCACAGACATCTACAGCACATCCTTCGCCATATTCTTGGTACAGTCACCAATGGATGTTCCACTTGCAACGAGGCTGGTGGTGTCATCGCAGGGGCGCTCATGGAGTCCATATCGGTTCTCGAGAGAAGTACTTGTAGGCGAGGCCGCCTCGCGTATGCACCACAGCGGCAATGTCAGCTGGGCTGTATCGCCATCGCATGCCACGCAGTCGTCCTCAAGTCCGTTGTCTCTTGTTGAACGAAGTCAAAGAGAGACGATGCACGAATTTCGAACATGGTGACCTTCAACTCGGTCGGCGACATCGTACCGGTCACTGTCCTGGTTAAAGATCTTCTTCAAGCGCTACACTCCAGCAAGGAAGCCGCGACAGAGTATCAGCTCCTCGCTCAGACGCATCAAGCAACGCCCGAGCTACATGCTCTGTGTGGATTGCTCAACGAAGTGTGGACAAGAGCCGGATATGCGTGAACACGTGTTCACAGATCACATCAAGGAATATGAGTAGGGAATGCAACACGGATCGAGTGCAAACAAGGTCGAAAAGGCCATAAGGATCGTGCAGTTGCAGCGGGGAAGAGATGCAATCGATCGCTTCCGAGCTGAGATCGCAAGTCACACTAATGCGCTTCTCATGCTGGTTGCAACCACTTCAGCGTTGGTGAACACGGAGCCACTCACACTCAGGTCTTACAAAATGCTTATCAGGTTTGAAACACTGATCAAGGTCGCCCTTGATGGACTTGCGAGGCACATCGGAGGATCTGATGCAGCCCATCAAGCTTCCCACGATCACCGGAACGCCTTCTCTCGGGGCTCCGCCATAAGATAGACAGATATCTTGTCGATGACTTCTTAGACTCCGGTGAGCAACTCTGGTAGCGACTCAATGTATCGCTTAAGCTGTGCGAAGATTACATGTTGAAGCAAGCCAAAGCCACCAGCAGCAACTGCAAAGCTTAAATGGGGCAACAAAGCGGTGTTGAACTTGTCGAGACTATTCATGGCCGAGATCGAGAACTCGGAAGAACGAAAAAGATTATGTCGGGAACGAGGCTCTGGGGCATAAGAGTTGACGCCAACTGTGAAGAGATTCTCAGGCAACCTGAGCGAAAGCGCATAGAGAATGAGGTCAAGTTGGGAATCAAGGGAAGGAGCCTTCCGAAGGGGCGCAGGCAAGTGGCAGTGTGGTAGCTCCTTCCCTTGATTCCCAAGACGGCTCCCAAAAAGGCGCAGATGATGAGTCGGCGGAGCCATCTCGTGGCACCAGTGTCAAGGAAGATGCCGCAGAGGTGCCTTTGCCCGATTCAAAAGCGGAATCGGACTGTCACGGGCCCAGAGCTGCATGTCAAATTCAGATGCAGCTGTAGAACCTGCTTGGATGCCTGGAATCTCTCCAAGGCTGTGAGGCGGCTCTCTCTCATTGGAAGACTTCTGGAGCTACAACTTAACAAGTACGAGCAGCGGCAGCGGGGCAGAGTGCCCTGGCCATGCGTTTGGATGCCCGGTACTATCTCGAGCAGGGGAATGCTGTGCTGATGATACAGCTTCGTGGATGTACTGAGTATCGGGACATACTGGGGTTAGGTGGTTGTTGCTCTTGGCAACAGGCTGAGAGCAAGCATTCTGCTTTGAGAGGCGGACATCAGGCAGAAGAAAGAGCCATCCCGAATCTTCATTTGGCTTATAACAAGTTGTGCACTGGCTGCAAGGGGAGAATCAACGCAAAGCTCGTCCAGGATTCAGCCCTCCACACCGGTCGTACCGAGGGTGCAGGATGCCACAAAGGATGTTTGCTCTCTGAAAACGTCTTTGTCCGTGAACGTGGGCCTTCCATGTCTTCGTTAAGATTGCTTGTGAATCCTTCATGCGAGCCGGCGGCAACTGCTTCGCTAAGCGCCTGCCCGGCACAGCCAGCGTTTGACCGATCAACCACGACCAAAGAATGCTGCGGCTCACGACCTCGGACTTCTGTCAATATGACTGGTCGGAGCATCGTTCTGAGATCTCATTGCAGGTCACTGCGGTCTCTCCAGATAATGCAGTTCACCTGGAGTGAAGTGTGACTGCGTCCGCCGTAAGCCAGGCGCTGCGAGCAACGCTATGTTGTACAATAAATTGCCGTGGCTCGACAATGAGACTGCCAAAAAACTTGCGCCCAAAGCTATTCTCATGGTTGCTGAGTCTTTCGGTCTTCCTGCTGTCTTCATGGTAGAGCCACGAAAGCGTCTCGACACCCTCGGGGGCAAGGCTCAGAGCGCATACCGTCCCGTCGGTTATACCTTCATGTGCCACATTAGATTAAGGCGCAGCCTTGCTTAGTGACAGAGCCTCACCTGAGGCCAGTGTAGTGGATTATGTGCGAAGGTTCATATATGTTGCAGGTCACTCACTTTCACGTTGTCGGCACACGTTCAAGGACATTTTCGACATGCCATCTCCTGTCAAGCCCTCGGCGCTCAGAAAACCTATGTCTAAACCTGACTGGACCATCACTAGCGATGAAGTTGAACGAGGATGCATCCTATGGCTTGGATCCGTTGAAGAGACAGTACAATCTCAACTTCGACGTACACCAAATGTTGAACCTATCCGAAACGTCAAGACCAACAAGTCCGCTAACGCAGGAATGTACGAGCATCCAATACTGGTGGTATCACGGCCAGCTTCGGATCCTTCTAGGATCTACTTCTTACCTGTACGTCCATCACCCTTAGCAGGTTCGCCGACTGATTTCTTGCAGATGACGTCCTTGGGCAACAAAACTCTCGACCAGAGATACCAGGGCCGCAAAGCTCCCTTCCACAAGTCAACGTTCGTGCCCATCGCACCCGCACCAGAGCATCCTCACTTCGTAGCGGGCGACTCACGCTATCGAAAGCTTACCCTCGTGGGCGGCGATGAAGCTGAGAAGGCCACATACGCAAATGTAAGAGAATTGTATGTGATGGACTGGAGGGATGCTCAGCTCTACTGGGGAGCTGATCCAACCGTGAGAAAGAGATGGCAACTCGATGAGGCTTCGATACGTTCGGTCTGCTACTTGGCGGGGATCTATACGGGTTTCAGGGTCGAAGAACAGATGACGACCGGAGAAGAGCGTCGTGATTCCGCAGTGGGATTGCATGAACGTTGCGGCTCCTGGAACCATTCGACTCTGGAGTTCTCGGCGAGAACATCTACAATTACGATCACTTCTTTACCGTCACCGGTACAACGCCCTGCAACCCAGACTCCACCCATCACTCCCTTCTCAGCAAACACGACCAGACCTATCTCGCCACGAATCGAGCAGCTATACGACGAGAGCCTTCCACGACAATACTCGACGCCAGCAGAAGTAGGACCGTACACCGACTCCTACGCAAGCAACGTGGCCGAAGAGCGCCAAGCTCTCCTACCCGGACGCCTTTCTGGAAATTCAGACATGGAGCGGGCGTGGTGGATCCACGGACTGTGTGGGTTCTGGCTCTGTCGGTGAGAGAGAGTCTCGATGATGGGCAAGCATATAGAGATAGACAGATTACCACGGTATCGATAGATTTTTTTTGTCGCCGTGTTCTTCGAACTCCTCAGCTCACAGCGCTCTTGTTCGACTCATTGCTCCAGGAAGCAGCCACGCGAGAGATGCGAGCTTCCTAATGCCCGCCGCTCTCCTCTCCCAAATCGAAATACCTTCAATCCTTCACCGAGTGTGAAATCTACTGTAGTTCTCCCGAATGCTGTTACGATACGTCTTGAGGCGTGAAAGATGCTTGCGAGAATTTCGGACAGAATGAGGGGGCCAAGCCTGCTATTTTGGAGCAGCAGGCTTTTTTGAGTGAACGACGACGGGAAGCATCGAGGTTGTCGACGGGGGAGGGTAGGGAGGAGGAGGAATGGGAAAGCAGGAAGTCTTTGATGGTGGAGGAGTTTGAGAGGAGACGGTTAGCGATGCAGTTGAAGAAAGAGAAAGGTTGTAATGAAAATTGTGAGACTGGATTGGGAGTGGTACTGGAGAGAATCGAAGCAGGAGATGGCGAGATGTATCACATGAGTGGAGTTTTTCTGCTGCTAAGTAGGTAGTGAATGATGTCGGAGAAGTATCGATCCTGGGTTTTGCTAGTCCTCGTTGACTTATCCCTGACAAATCTTGTCCGCCATTCCATTTCTCCAACTGAAAATGTGTTTCGAACATTACTATCACTTCTCTTGTGGACACTACAGTCCTTCCACAATCGAACTCTGCTTACTAGCCACCGCGCAGCGACAGCAGCATTCCTGGTACACCTGCGAGCGAGACACCCAGCCAAGAGACCGCGATTTCTGCTGTGGCGAACAATGTTGTCGCAATGCTCGCAACCAAGCCAATGATGCGCATGTCGCAGCATCCACGGCTTTTCAAAATCTCGAGCGGCCGCTACTTTGCTGCTATCGCAAGAAGTGGCGACGCAGACAGTGGAAGCTCTATCAGGAGCACCTTGAAGCGCGAATGGCCCAGTTTGACACTTACGACAGACATCAAAGATGCGCTGCCCTGCGGTGTGATGGCAGTCGCCATGGGAGATCGCGGAAATCGTTGGAGTAGATGATCGATGATCGATGAAATCGCAGGTAGCAGAACACACCGTCGATTTGTGGAATATATTCATCCCTCATCGTTGTCAACTCTTCACACGTCCGGTATCTCTTTCCTCACCCTCTCTCTCAGTGGCCTCGTGCAGGGTTGGATGGCTTTCGGAACGGGATATCTCAGGTTTAGCCACCGACTTTGGACGACACCAGTGGCTATAGTCGGTATGAGGTATAGCAAAACTGCCGCAGGTAGATGACTGGCAAAGAACATGAACAAGAATCCGACACTGAGTCGAACTCTCTGACCTGTTGTAAGGTTCTCGAAAAACCTGTTCGCTCCGAAACCTTTCCTCGGTGTTTGAGCGTATAATTTGTCAGCCGCCTCCATTGCAGCTCGAACTTCATTGGCAGGTTTGACGCTGGCAGAGTCCACAGAGCGTTTAACAGAAGGCGCTGACGATTCAAGACGCCCTTCCTGGGCACGCGTCTCCCTACCCGCGTACCCTCGGCCTGATTTGCCATGCTTTGGCGGCTCTCGCGGTTGTAGCAGGGCCGACGCCACAATGACAGCGCCCATGGAAAGCGGGAGCAAGTAGGATGAATCGGCAAGAGTGAGGTCCCGGCACCAAGCAAGCCCTTCGACTTTGAGAGAGGGATCGACGAGGTCGGCGTAGGAGTTGGTATCCAAAGCAGACAAGGGAACGTCCGTAGCGGCTTGAGGATCCCCGAGACCACCTGCGGAGTCTGCAGATCCAGCTTGTTGCACCTGTTGTGCCCGTTGTGCTTCCCTCGCCTCCCAGAGTCTTTCGGCCATGATTTCCTCGGGGCTCATGCTGGCACGAGGGTCTACCGCAGGTGGCTTGCCCGTCCGCGAATCCCATAAGGATTGCAGCGGACTGACAATGATAGATAACAGACCTTCTCTTGTTCCGCATTTGATTCTGACAGCCTCAAGAAAGGTGATCATCATGCCAAAGTTGAAGAAGGATCTCCAAGTCACGAGAGGAACGCCGCACGACTTTGCGACAGACCATAGTTGAGCAAAGCCGTTGATAGGGGACAATATATAAAGCGCTAGGCGACGCCGGTCGGAACGAGTTAGCGGACCAATCTGTCTTTCTGTCGCCTTATTCACCCAGTATACGAGTCTGTTACGAGCTCTCAGGTATGACAGAGGCGCTAGGTGGGATCGAATGATGGTGGTTTTGTGGTTGGGCAGAGAGGCAAGGTAGTAGCCTAGTACTCCGCGAACCAGGACAGCGGTGACGGGCAAGGCAGCCCACCAGGGCAAGCCGAGGACGTGGATGGCATCGAGAAGGGCGGTGGGCGGAGCAGTTACGGCCTGGAGCAGCTTGTCGGGGACTTGAGAGACGGTGGTGGAGATGTTGCGTCGAGCAGGACTCAACGGTTGATAGGCGGAGGCTCGTATCGAAGACTGGTACGCGGATGTTCGCAGCGTGGGCGGAAGTTGGAGAATTCGGTATCTCAGTGCATAGTTCGACAGGAGGGTTGCCATGGCGTGCACGTGCGTGCACGTGAAGATGCAATGCGAGTGAATAGATTTCGAGCCTCATCAGGACGGGACAGGAGAGGAAGCCACGCGATTGATGACATAAGCTGCGGGAACGGTCGGATCGTGCCTCGCCGAAGACCCTGCGCTGCGCCTGCGGCAATGATGACGGAGCACAGGGAACATTCAGGCACGCGGATGGAGAACACGCGGAGCCGGTCTCGACACCTGTGCATCTGATCTGACTTGGGCCTTGCTGTTACCAACCACAAGACAACATGATCACCCCTCTCGGCCTCTCCGCCATGATATAACATATCGCTGCTTCCCTGCTGTTCCGTGTCGGAGGACAGAGATCGCTCCGGAGGAAGAACATGGCCTTACTCATCACCCTGCTGGTTCTTCTGGCTGCCACCGCAGGCTTGCTCCCCTTTGCATTCCGTCTGGTGGGAAAGCTGATTGGCCGCAACATCCGAAGCAGGACGCAGTACAAGAGGGAAATCCTGCTGTCCAGAGCGCTCGCCGAGGCAGCAAACCAAGCAGCAGGCCAAGAAGGAACCCCATCCAAGCCCGCTTCGTCCTCCACCTCGCTCGATTCGGATTGGGAACAGGTGCACGACGGAGGAGAGAAAACACCCACGGGACAACGGACGACCGCTCCCGGTGATTCCTACGACGGCGTCATCGGCTTCTTCCACCCCTTCTGCAATGCCGGCGGAGGAGGTGAGCGCGTCCTTTTCGCTGCTGTCCTCGCAACGCAGCAACGATACCCGAAAGCATTATGTGTAGTTTATACTGGCGACGATGCCAGGAAAGAGGAGATTATTGAGAATGTCATGAAGCGCTTCAACATCAACCTCAATCCTGCACGTATTGCATTCGTCTATCCTACAACAAGAGATTGGGTCCTGGCAAGCAGATGGCCGCACTTCACATTACTCGGTCAGAGCGTGGGTAGCTTGATCCTGGGTTGGGACTCCTTTAATACTCTGGTGCCGGACGTCTTTGTGGACACCATGGGCTATGCCTTCGTGCTGGCACTCAGCAAGTGGCTCTTTCCACATGTCCCCACTGGAGCCTACGTTCATTTCCCCACAATCAGCACCGACATGTTGCGATCGCTCCACGATGAAGCAGGCAGTGGTGGAGTCAATGCAGGTACTGGAAAGGGGGCCAAAGGCAAGGTGAAAGAAATCTACTGGGAGCTTTTCGCTAAGCTGTACTGCTGGGTCGGCGGGAGCGTGGACGTGGTTATGACCAACAGCAGCTGGACGCAAAGACACATCTCATCACTCTGGGGCCCTTCTCGCACCAATCGAAAGAAGCAGCATAAAATTGAAGTCGTCTATCCTCCTTGTCCGGTCGAAGAACTTCACGAGAAGATTCCCGTCGATTGCGACAAGCAGCGCACCAACAACATACTCTATATCGCCCAATTTCGGCCTGAGAAGATGCACCAGACCATCATCGAGGCGTTTCACACATTCTTGCGCAACCATCACAGGAATACGCCTGTGGAGTCGCGGCCGAAGCTTGTTTTGGTTGGCAGCGTAAGGGACGATTCGGATGAGAAACGCGTCTACAAGCTGCGGCTCCAGGCACAGGAAATCAAGGACAGCGTGATATTCCATGTGAATGCTAAGTGGACTCAGATGGTGGAAGAGGAGAAGACGTGCTCGGTTGGTGTCAATGGTATGTGGAACGAGCACTTTGGCATTGGCGTCGTAGAGTATCAGGCTGCTGGACTCATTTCCGTTGTGAACAATTCGGGTGGACCAAAGGAAGACATCGTCATTCCTATTGACGGCAAGCCTACTGGTAAGTTGGGAATCCCCCACGGGAGTGATCGCACAGAAAGCTGACATGTTCTTAGGCTTCCATGCTTCCACACCTTCCGAATTCGCCGAAGGCTTTGCGCAAGCCTTGTCGCTTTCAGAAGAGGAAGCGTTGGCCATGAGACAACGTGCGCGTAAGAGCAGCTGGCGCTTTTCGGAGAAGGTGTTCCGCGACGCATGGCTCTCACAGTTAGAAAACCTTTTGTCGCTTGTGAGAGATAGAGACAAGCAATGAATATGAGCTGAGCTCTCTTCTTGTTATGACGATGTTTGTTCCTTCTGTTACCATTTGACGAGGTAAGGAGCAGCAAAGCTATCTCCGGCGATCAGAGCCAGAAGCAGTAGCAGAATGTTTATCTCAATGACTGATGCAAATGCTATCGTGGTTGTTGCAAGAATGTCGACAGGTGTTGAAGAAGCGCTGTAGTTGTTTGTCTCCTGCAGGAAGGGAGAACCGACCAAGAGTATTGATACCTTTTGATGGATCAGGCCAACCAACCGTATGAGTGTCATCGATGATCCCGTTGGGAGTGGCCATCAAGCTGTCCCACGTACTGTCTCTGTACAACATCCTCTGAGTTGTCGTTGGGCTTCTCGGACAAAGGCTGTTAACGAAGCTTCTTCGCGCTTGCAAGAGCTTGAAGCGGTATGAGGCGTTGTAAAGCAGCGCTTGACGACTTCACACAAAGCAGCGGCTGGAATGTGGCTTGCAGTCATGGTCGGCCAGCTCTCAGTGTGTACATCCGCTCGCTGAGGCAACAGTATACGATGTAAGGACGTTCAGTCTCTCTCCGACGATCATGGCTCGTCGAGTCGGATCTCCAAAGCTCCATTGATCGGCGCATACACGGCATTGTTCACTACGGCGGTGAGTGCATTTCTCATCCATAAATGGCTTGAATGGGCTTTGGGATCGCGCCAATGCTAGTCATCTCATGTTGAGAATGCTGCATGTATGAAACTCAGCACATACATAGACACAACAGCGAGAGCGTCCCTCACCCAACCCACATACATTTCAATGAGAGTCGTCCCCTCATCCCATTGCAGTGCTTCCACTCCGAATCGGGCTGGCATCTAAACTGAAAATGGCTTCCACGATCGGGAGTCAACTAATACCGAACGGGTATCGTTTTCTCTCCGGGGAAGTTTGTAAGCCGAATGCCTTGTACAGACGTCTCCGTACTCAAGTAATCATCCAGAAGCGCAGGCAGTGATCCAGAGAAGGAGAGAGCTCTGCGAAGTTCGACCCGGCAGTTTATCATAGGGTCCATGGCATGGACCAACTGCCTTTTCCAACAAGAGCCAGTAAACCTCATGGGCAGAATATCCGAGGCTCTCGACATGTGATGCCCTGTCACATCCACTAGGTCATATCTGGGGCCTCCACGGTCCATCATTCCAGCGACGGTCTACCGCTGCAGGAGGGAAGGTATGTTGAAAACAGGTTGCCACCAGTCTCTGAAACCTAACGGGCAAATCGTTTCTCTTGTAGCAATATGCTGTTGCCTTCAGCCCCTACTGTGGAAAGATACTGCTACCTGGGTATCCCCAAGAACATCAGAGACGGAATCCGGTTCAGGAGACACGATGACGTGTTGTGGTATGTGTTGCGATAAGAATCCTTGGTCGTTTCTATGGAGTCTTCACATCGCTCCGAATGTTCTCGCATGTTTCCATATGTTTCCAGGAAATACCATCGCAGTCGTATATCGTGGGGGGGAAGTTGCCAATTGTCAACATCGTATCGGTTAGAGGTGGGAAGCAGCTCACATGACAGTCTGTTTCACTTGGACCCTTGTCGACCTCTACCCCAGACTGCGGCCCGCGCCCGGCCTTGAACCCTATCTCTCGGAGACGTGAGCCGAACACTGCAGGTACATAATGAATGTATCGTTTTTTGCTTGGACGTGTTGGATGTGTTGTGCTTATCATCATGGACAATGCATCGATAGGATAAGATAGGATAGAATGTGAGCTCAAGCAGCTTCTTATCTCCCGTCGTGGCTCAAAACGGTGGTTGCAGGCTCGTGAAGGGCAGCATGTGCCGAGGGGATGACGTCAAATCCGGTAGCTGGGCTGGGTGTAAATAGAGAGCAAACAGGTGCTCCACATTTGCTAACGAGGGACGTTGAGATGCGAGAATTGAAGTCGATTGATACTCTAGAAGCGACGGATATATCTGTATAAGCTGCCGATGAGGCGCCGTTCGAGACGTGGCTTTTAAGGATGGAAGCTGACCCCGCGTGATCGTGTGCCTTCTCTCCTGACTCTCGCGGAGGCTATCGCGGAAGGCACGCCATACCAATGCCGGCCCTCGTGACCAACATTGCGTAGACGTAGCCATGGAACGAAGAGCAATTGGGTAACGTCGCAATAAGCAAAGCATTGGCATTGGCAAGCTGCAAGGCACGCGTCCGGGAGATTCCCCGAAACAACGCTTTGTTCATCATCATCGTCGTCAAGGCAAGCGGCCAACTCGAGCCGAGCGTCACTCACTGATCACGCGACCCTTTGATAGCAGCACGAAGCTTGTAGCTCATAGCTCTCCACGACCTCTTCTTCTCTTCATCCCTTTATCATTCGACAACTACCAATCTCACTCTACTTCTTCACTCGCCATCCAACTCTAACATCCATCAACCGAACCACACACTCACCAACTCTACACCACCCACCCATCAACACTCCGCAAAGAGTACGTGCTTACCTTCCCGTCCAATGCCTGTTCTGCTTGATACGACTGCATTGGCGTCATCATACCATCCACGTGGCATCTCTGTACTGACGTCTCCTCTCAGTGACTCGCACCCACAAGGCCACCGACCGTGACCACGTCGGCCTCGCCAACGGCACCGCTGCTCCAGAAGAGCATCTCCCTCGCTACTTCGCCAAGAGCGGCTACAGCGACGTCAACCCCCACACCACCAAGAAGCAAGGCGGCGGCAAGGCCAACTGGTATGTCTTCCCCTCCTCATCACTGTGTCTACACTCTTCACACACATCACCTCTCCCATAGCACCCTCATACTAACCCATATCCCAGGGGCCAAGCCGGCATGTCCGAGCTCGAAGACTACTCCTACAACATGCTCAAGCCCAAGCGCCGCAGCAATTCCAGCTCCGCCGCAGCCGGCCACTCCGCCCTCAAGACCAAATTCGAAGCCATCGACGAGGACGCCATGGTCGAATACGACGAAGACATCCACGGTCCGGATGGCGCGGAGCTCGAGAAGATGAGCACTTCCAGCTCCGCCGATACCGAGGAGGAACATCTGCAGAAGTAGGACCTTCTGCTGAGCCTTGCTGGTGATAAACCGCGAGGGTTACTGTGATATTATGACTTGTGACTGGCGGCGACAATCGGGCGTTTCTCGATGAGCTTGGAGCGTGTAACGATGGCTGGCGTCTACTCTTTTTTCGCTGGCGATGGGAGGAGCGGCGTTCCGATTCTGCAATGTCAGTATGAACGAAGATCGCGATACTGGCGATGACGAAGAAACCGAGAAACTGTAAAATAGCAAGCGAGGTCGAAGCAACGCGAATTAGAACGACGTGCAACCCATATACAATGTTGTTTCCTGTCGCGTTCGTTGAGGAGGGAGGGAGAGATGAAATTGTTGAGCGGGAAAGCTGGCTGCACGCGTGGATCCCATCGCTTCCAAATCGTGCCTCAGGCAACAACCGTTTCAATCTTGCTTGACAGCACGCACAACATCGACGATCACAGCAGCACAATACGAAGGAGAGTGATAATTACGGTGGATGTCAAGGAAGTTTCATTCCATTCGCTCGTGTACTCATTACCGCTAATGCCGAAAGTACAGTCCTGTATGCACGCATCGCTCAAAGCCATGCACACGACCTCTCATCTCAAGTCCATGAGCCCTCTAGCCATTCACAATAACACCACCGTTGCAGTGTATGGTCTGTCCGCTCAACTGTGAGCTATCCGTGCTAGCCAAGAACACCGCACACGACGCGATCTCGCTGGGTTGACCTGGACGTCCCATTGGGCTGGAGAACTGCTTGATCGCGTCGTCGGTCATCGTGGATGGGATGAGAGGTGTCCAGACTGGACCTGGAGCGAGCGCGTTGACACGGATTCCCTTGTGGACGTATTGGTTGGAGAGGCCGCGAGTGAAGGCTACGATTGCGCCTTTGGTGGAAGTATAGTCGAGCAGATCTGGGCGACCGACGTAGGCGTTTACGGACGCGTTATTGATGATTGCTGCACCTTTCTTCATGTGAGGGAGGGCGTATTTGGAGATGTAGAAGAAGGCTATGATTGGGTTAGCCATCTGGTGAGGGGTAAAGTTTGGAATATGGTAGCTCACGGTGGATGTTGGTGTCGAAGGTATGCAGCCACTGCTCCTCACTGAGCTCATGGATATCATTGGTCATCATCTGATACGCATGATTGTTGAAGAGGATATCAATTCCACCCAACTGCTTCAACGCCTCGTTCACCACCGCCTCGCAGTTTTTCCGCTCTTTCAGATTGGTAGGATACAGAAAGCACTGGCGTCCGTACTTTTCTACCAATTGCTTCGTCTCTTCTGCATCTTTCTGCTCGTCTGGGAGGTAGGCGATGAAGCTGTCGGCACCTTCCATGGCGAAGAGAACGGCCGTAGCACGTCCAATGCCGGAGTCTCCGCCAGTGATGAGGGCTTTCTTGTCTTTGAGCTTGCCGGCTGCTTGGTAGAGCTTGTAACCGCCGTCTGGCTGTGGGACGTGTTCGGTCGACGGGGCTGGGTCCATCTTGGTTTGCGTTCCGGGGAACTGCTGGTGCTGGACATTTGGCTGGTGACCGATGTCGAATTGGGGTTTGTCGGCGGACATTTTGGTGTGGATGAGTCTGCTTTATTGTGGTGTCAAGGTAGATAGCTTGAGAGTTCTCTGCTCGAGACTGAATGGGTAATTGAGAGAAGACGAGAGAGGAAGAGTGGCATCTTCAACTTACATGTATCCTTCATGTGCTCATCATTCTGACGAACATTGAAATCTCGCGTTAATGTGATGTCACCGCGTCCGCACCACAAGGCAAGCACCGCCGTTCGCTACGCCAGTGTGAAGTCACCTCTGCTGATATTGTACAACACGTCTCACGTGAAGCGGCTTGATGATTTCTGGCTGACCTGGAAGATGAAAGGCGGCATGTGAACGTTGCGACGAGAGATGGGACCTATTTGGTGAGGAGAAACGCCAATCCGACGCTTGGGACGCGCCGCGATCTGAGCGCTGCAGCGGACTCTACGCCGGCACGCCTCCCCCAAGAAAGACCCGCCTGTCTTCGAGATATATTCGAGATGCCTCATACTCCGATGTAACGATGACCCTGTCTTACGTGCACACTTTAGGAGCATAATCATTGAAATATGCTCAGGACATTCTTCGCCAGGCCTGCAAAGAGAGCAATTCGACCGACCCGAATAGGAGGCCATTTCACCTCACGGCTCTACAGCATTCTCTTCTGCGGTGCAGACGAGTTCAGCATATATTCCCTCAGAGCAGTACATCGATTGCTGGACCGAACCCTTGACAAGGTCCAATCCATCGAGGTTGTCTGCAGGCCTGCCAAGCGGGTGGGACGGGGCTTGCAGGAGATCCAGGAGCCGCCGATCAAAAGTGTTGCTGAAGAGCTGTCCCTGCCCGTCTATCAGCTTGACACCTTCACCGGCTGGAAACCTCGACGTACTCCCGATCTTATCATCGCCGTTTCTTTCGGCCTTCTCATCCCAGCTCGTTTGCTGAGGGAGGCAAAGTATGGCGGTCTGAATGTCCATCCATCCTTGCTTCCGGACTTGCGTGGTCCTGCGCCAATCCAGCATGCTCTGCTCAAAGGGAGAACCCATACCGGTGTTTCTCTTCAAGACATGCATCATACCAAATTCGATCATGGCAAGATTCTAGATCAAATGCAGTTGGCTATCCCAGAAGACTGTACTGTTGAGCACCTTATCGATACCTTGGGCCCAATTGGTGCATCCATGTTGCAGAATATCATTCTCCGTGACTTGAAAGCATCTCCACTACCTATCTCAGGGGCAGATGCCTCGCAGGGCGAATTGGAGCATGCTCCCAAAATCACTCCAGAGGATCGTCACATTGACTGGTCTACGTGGACGTCAGACAAGATTCTTCGTTATGACCGCGTGCTTGGTCGCCTGTGGGACAGGACTACATATCAATATTGCCACGGAAAGCCACAAGAAGCAAAACGCATTACGTTTGAGGGACCCTGGCGGAGAATCGTGGGGAAAGAGCTGCTGGAGTTTCACACTGACTGGCCAAGATTGCCTGGAAGACCAACTTTGAATTACAAGCAGAAGAAGCCAATGATAGGTGTCTGGACTGTTGATGAAAGCCTTCTCGCTCCTAGCTACGCGACTGTGGAAGGTGGGAAGCCACGAACAGCACTTGCCGGCCTAAGGAATCTCATTTTGAAACATAGCGAGTTGTCAAAGGTTCGCACGTCTCAGACAAGCTGAGACCCGAGAGCGCACAACCTGTATGAAAATGCATCCACGAATACCAAAAGTGTCCAAAGGGATGCCAATAAATCCAAATCGGATCGTGTTCAATCGAAATCACGCCTGCGCATCACCTCGGGCTTACCCAAGCGCGCTTCGACGTCGAGGGGTCTAAGGTCCGCAAATATACCGCACATCCCGACGCGCCGGATCAGAGAACAGAAGAGGGCTTCACAGCACGCTCCAAGGCTCTCGAAGCTCAGACAAATTTGACACGAGTGCTGGTGGCGCGTCTCGTCATCATAAACGCATTTGCTTCGCGCCGCGGCACGCACATGGGCGTTAGAGGCGGAGGGTGAGAGAAACGTCAAACTATCAAGGCAGGCGGTAAGTAGAGTCGGCTTGCAGTCGCTCTACTGTTTGCGTGTTCCTGCGATTTTGTTCACGCGCCTCTGTAGAAAATTTTATCGATGACGGTACATGCTGCTTAACCGCCTTCCCGTCCATGCTTAGCCGGACGGTCCCAAATGTTCCTATTAGAGGGTCTTCTTCGGAATGGTATCCCAATCTGTCTGGTCGGTAGCGGGATGTAGAATTGTATCTACTTTCTAGTACGCCCTAATCAGCACACGGGACTATACGCGCTTTCTCTCGCATGGTCAGTATTTCACAGTTCGATGTATTCGGAATCCCCTATTCTTCAAGGAAGCAACGCTACTACGATGCGAAGACATTAATGGTGCAGCAGATACGGGCCCTTGCTGACATCGTGAGAAGCAAATGCTGGGCTTATGTACCGCGGGCTTGGACCTCTATTACGGGGTGGTTCGCGCCCAGGCTCAAGCATGATCTTCACGGATCCAAATTGACATGGTGAAGATCTTACGATACTATTCTAACACCTCCAAGATCCATTTCTGAGTCTCGACAGGCGTCATGGGCCCTTCATGGCACAATGCCAAAACGACCAACTCATCAGCAGAAACCGGCGGCCATTCGGAGGACGTGTGCCATGGTAGGAGTATGCGTACCATTTGGTCCCGGGACTCCGTATCACACGTTAATTTTTGGCTGCTAAACGGTTCTTTACCAAAACCATCTCCGTCGCAAACCGCGCGCCACAGTCATGACATATTGTGATGCCTCGCGAGTAGCCGGACCGAGTGCTCGTCCACCCGTAGTTTGTATTGGAACATTTTGCCGGCAGCAGCGAATGTGAGGAGCTCATGATCCTGAGTCGTTGTGGTGACGTTGGGGGCGATGATCAGTCCCGGTTTACAGCGTCTTTGCGAATCGATATGTTATCTCGACCGCTGCTACCACCACTCTTGTAGCGACTCACTGCTGCCTTGAACTCGCTGAAACTTGCAAGAAGCCGATGTCGTCCCGTTGTGGAAAGATCCAAGGATGTTTGTAGAAGTGATGTCGAGGGTCGCAGCTTCCAGCTTTGTAAACGGCTTCGCTAGCGGGGAGTCTATTTTGTGGGCCTTCCGCGCGCGCATGTGACAATGCAGCTTCCAAAGTCGGAAGTGAGCCGGAATCATTCGAGCGCAGCGAGCAATTCAAACCGACGACAACAGGAGTAACGTCTCTCAATGCAACTCCAGCTTTCGTCAAACTCGACGCTGCAAGACTTGAAATTCCGCAACATTCTCGAGCGTGCCCAACATGGCCGACTCCACACCAGACGAACGCTGCCCCTTCCTCGAGCTCGCTCAGGAGACGCGTGACGCCATCTACGACATGGTCTTCGAAGATTGCCCACCGAAACTCTCTCGCAACGTCCGCAAGCCTCTGTCAACTGCGTGCGCGCTCATCCGTGTAAGTAGCCCCATCTGAAGCGCTACTGTCTTTAGCTTCGACTCGTGACTAATGGAAGCAGGTCAACAAGCAGATCCACGCTGAGCTCGTCGACCGCATTCAGTATGGCACCACGCCCCTCCACACCGAAGTCATCAATTACAACTTCGCCCACATCGTACGTACTCTCCTTCGCAAGTGGCTCGCACCAACAGCTAAGATGTCTTTAGGTCACCTTCCTCAACCGCATCCCCGACCCTCAGCTAAAGAAGTTGACGCCCAAGAAAGACGAGGCCGATAAGCAGAAGAAGCGCTCTCTCGTAATCACCCTCTCTTTCTGCAACGACATGGCCCTCCCTGACAATGGCCTCACCCGTTGGCTCAACCGTGTCGCCGATCCCGACAAGCGAGGCACGGACATTGAGATCCACTACTCCGTCGGCACGAACAACAGCTCGGAACACTGGGATTACGACCAGGTACGCCGGGCTTTCATGTGTTACAGAATAGGCTCGGACGAGTGGGAAGAATGCGAGAGGATCGCGGCGAAGTTGGGGCCATACCCAGGGCAGGCCGCTGCGTTGAAAGTGTTCGAAGATCTCAGGATGGCGTTCCCCCTGTGGTTCAAGAAGACTTAGGAGTGTCCTCGTACATGGTTGTTGCGGTCGGGGAATCGAACGGAGTGTCGGTTTAATGGGAGCTTGGTTGGTGCTTTGAGGGCGGTTCATCTTTGCCGTGGACTGAGTGTTTGAAGGACGTAGCTGAGCAATTCAAATCCACATATCAGTGATACTGCCGCTCAAACCTTCACCTACAGAAGGACTCACTTAGAGAAGGCCTCTCGAAATTGTCACCAGACAACCAGGTCAACATGGAGCTGGGGAGCAGATACATGTCATCTCTGGGTATTCGTGTCTACCACCCTTTAACTTTCCAGGTGGACCGTGTTGAATAGCATCTCCAAGATACATCACCCTCTTCCTCACCACTCTTCAGAATAGTCGTCGTCGTCGTCCGAGAATACCAAAAGCCTGTCTGAAAGGGGTGCTCATCCTCTAGAAGCCGCAGATCAAGACTTAACAGTCATTCAGCATTCTTGATCAAGCGGATAAAGTCACCTTCCTTGAATTTGGACACAAGAAGACCTAGATCATCTCCGTCCATACTGTCGTCAAAGAGGAATGGGGTCGCAAAATGCCATTGAGTTTGTTCAATATCCCTTATGAAAGGCCACAAATTCCTCCCCTCTGACCTCAGAAAGGCCACTGTATTGGCAGATTATATCGATAAGCTCCGCAGGCAGGTCTTGGATGGGCATGATGATAGACTGATGATGATCGTAGCTACCCAAGGAGCGAGTGAGCTGAAGCGTCGCGTTGTCAAGGATGCGCTACGGAAAATTATTGCCCCCGCTCCGAGTCTCTCACCTCTGTTTGTTCGCATCTCAAGACACCCACAACACCAATGACAGCCCCTGTGACCTTTCACTTCGGCCCGGCAAAACAGCACTGTTTCCTCCAGGACCTGATAACGAACACGGTCAGCGAAGAAGACACACCGTTGGGCTCTTTTGCCTCAGCAAGAGGCGAGGAATCTTCTGCCATGATGACAGGTTTGCATTTGGATGAGACTTGAGCTCCCCACACTGACGACGATCAAGATGTATGAAGCGCAAGAGTTGCACAGTACCTACGCCGAGTACAAACACGATACGAATGCCTTCCTGGACTGGCTGCAGGAGACTGGAACACGTGACCGTGTTTACCGCAGCTCACATATACAGCGCGCTTCAGGTCTCACTGAGCTGCATTGGCCAGAGATCGAGTGATTGACGTGCACAAGGCGATGATCTTCGCCAACGACATTCCCGTCAACTGGCGGAATGTTCTCCGAAGGCTAGAGTACAGAGCCGGTCTTAGAGGCGCGAGCAAAAGTTCAAGGGAGCAAGAGCCCTGGACGCTAAAGCCAAGCGCTGATTCCACGGCGCTTAGAGCCCCCTGGGAAAGGAGGGAGCACGCCATGCTGCTTTCAGAGAACCGACTCGAGCAGCATACCATGCAACCAAATCAAACACGACTTTCTTTGGCCCAATCTCGTCGCCAAAGGCAGCAGCAGAGCCCCACAGAGCTCCTCATTCGGCTCGAACAATATGTGCCCGAGATCTTGAAAGATATGGAGGTCGATTGCATCACACTGACAAAGACTTGCAACGATCTCATGGTCGTAGTTCGGCAAACGCTAGAAGAGAGACATTCTCTGAGTGAGTGCCCACAGATACGGCCAAGGACCGACGCTTGGCAGACTGCCGAGGAGAATGTGCAGAATATGGAATGCACGTGGCTTTGATTGCGAGTCCTTTTACACCGAATTGCGCCGCCGAGGAGAAGCATCGGAAGCAAAAGATCAAGTCGCCTTTCGAAGGTGGGGAGTGTTCACGAGCCGCAGGAGGGACTTTTGAGACGTTCTTCCACGCGCAGATTCCAGCACAGATTTCCGATGCCCGGAGAAAGTTGAAGAGGTTGAACTGGATGCTGGCGGGCTTGAAGAGAACCCTCGCAACGTCTCGTATACGGAAAACATGCTCCTATGGTGCTGTCCGATGTTCTGTGAGCACCTTGCCACGTGCTGTGGGGTGTTCTGTGGAAATACAGACGCAGCTGCGTCTCTCCACCCGCAGGCACAGATATCTCCAACCTAATCTTGGTGCATGATGCAAAATCAAGCGCGACGAAGCTTTCATCGGTGGAGATCACCAATGTCTTCACAGAAGCAATGCCGAAAGCAAAATGATTGTCCGTAGGCTCGCGGGGTTGTTCGCCGCCAAACGAGGTTATTTGGCGTACCCGCGACATCTCAGTTGTCGATTCCTGTTCGGCCATCTCACAACACTGACTTATCCAGTAGTTTGATGAGTGGTTCATGATCTCTTTGTCATCATTCGGGTGGAGTCTCTCCCCGACTGGGTCGTTCCATCTCATCCTGGCACAACGGAGAAGATTGAAGTCGAAACTTTGCGAGATTTCAGACCGCTTTCTCGCTCCGCGACATCAATCTCGAACTTCAAGCAGATCCGGAATCCGGCTTTCAGGCCACGCACTTGGCAATTAACCAAGCTTCGTGGACAAGCAATGAGCTACAAGACGATGAGGTCAATCATTCTCATGACAGCAACGCGAACTGCCGCCGAGACAGCCAGATCGGGGCGTTTCACTCTGAGAAGGCATTGCGCTCTCACGACTGGTGCGGCGTCCGCAGTGGATGACGACGACTCTTTCGGCTGCAATGCGACGGGGAGAGACGATTTGCCGATCGACAGAACATTCAAGACCGCCGGCGGGATTTCGAGGATTACTTCGAAGACACGCCGACGTCGTTGATGTAGGATCCTGCCAAGACCGATATGAAGCCGGCGACTCACGAAGCTGTTCCCGCCGCCTAGTGTCGCTATGTCGCCGAAACGTGGAGAAGAGACAGGACAGTACACTCTATGAGCGGTCCAAGCACCGCTATTCATTCTGCGCTAACGGGTTGAGAGGCGATAAGTGTATCCGATGGTATACCGCATGGCGCACGAAGACACCTTGTCTAACGCACTATCCGTAGACTACTGCGTCTTATCTCCAACGTGTTGATGATACCATGGAGGCGGAGTGGGAGCGCTGTCGGGTGTGTATATGGAGGCCGATGCCATGCCTTTTTCCTTGAGTACGAACCCAGCCTTCTCTCTCCAGATCAATCGCTTTCTCCAGACAACACACCAACCCATCGACCAGGCGTCGTCAGCTGAGGCCCCTCCGTTCTTTCTCTTCATCAATACACGACTTCCCCAGAAGGCCAATCCCCACCATCACAACCATGGTCAACTTCAGCAGTGCCATCGCGTTAGCGTTCTTCGCCTCCGCATCCGTTGCGCTTCCCTGGAACGCTCCGCATTTTCAGGGCACGACCGCCTCCCTCTTTTGTCCTCTGCAATATCAACTAACGTGACAGCAGGAGCTCCGGCTGGCGGCATACCAGCACCAATCGGTTGGCCCAAGAAGCATTGGACACCTGTGCCAGCTGGTCATGCGGCTCCAAGTGGTGGTTTTGACAAGCCATGGACTCCCATCCCCACGGGCACTGGATCGGTCCCCACACCCACCAGTTCGCCGGTAGCGAAGCGCTGGGAGGCTCTGCCAACTCCTCCAGCCAAGCAATTCGGAGGTCCCCGTGGACCTCACTTCGAGCACTACTTCCCGTTCGGCCCTGGTCATGCTGGGCCTGGGCCTGCTGGTCTTGGGCCTGCTCATGCTGGACATGCTCATGCTGGGCCTGCTCCTACTGGTTCGCCTACTACCACTGGCACTGGCGCTCCATTCCCAACTGCCGCCTGAGAAGGCTATGGCAAGAATGAAAGAGCAGGCGACGAGACGAAAGAGGATTCGTCGGCCGAACGAAGAAGTCGCTGCAGGTCGGTGCTACGAGACGACCTAACGACACCACCCGCGGATTTGAGGCCTGAACGACAAGACTCGATACCTGGTAACTGACAGCATCTCTACAACGACCACCACCACCACCATCGCTGATTAGGATGTACTTTTTATGGGTTTTCGAGCGCTGCCGGCGACTGATCATGCTAGATCGGGGCGGCTACTACTGTTACCAATCAATAGACTACAAAGTTCATGTACCATAGACCAAACGACAGGAAGCGCATTGATACTACTCACCACAGTCTCACCCGTCAGCGTCATCGTCATCATCATAGCTGAAGGTGACAATCTGTCGCCATTATCATCGTCGTGATTCCTCTTTCCATCGCGAGAGTCACCTCGTTCTTGCTCCTTTAATATCTACGACAGTGTGTCGTATCGCCAAGTGAGGTTGCATCGCGCCAAGAGGGTTCTCGCGAGTGGGTGCAGGGAGAAGTTTGTTTGGATATTACTTTTTGGCGGTGCCTCGTAATCGGCGGGAGGGCAACGGGAGAGGCGTTTTTGCGCTATCTTTCCGCTCCGAAGGGGTTTTCGTGAAGCATCGCGTCAGCAAGGCGTCCAAGAGTAGCAATAGGCGAGCTTCTTCTCTTCTGCACGGCTCGTGGTGAAGGAGTCTTGAGGAGGAATGGGTGTGGTGTGTGTGCGGTGTGAAAAGGGAGCGTGTTGTTGTGTTGAGAACGCGCACGCGTGGGAATGCAGCCGTCCACAAACGGTAACGGTCTCGACCCGGATGGGGCAAGCGGGAGGGTATCGCCTGTGGGAATCCAGGCTTGTGATTGGCTGTTGCGTTGGGGAAGGAGCAGAGCTGACGGGTGGTGCTTTAAACGAGATTTGATGAGAGCCTTGTTCTTGTCGTTCGTTGTGAATGGGGAGGCCCTCATCTTGTTACTTCTCTTTCTTCTTACATTCATTTCACGCCGACGATATCATATTCCAGAATTCTTTGTGGATGACGACGGGGAGAAAGAGGCGGCTGGCGGGACAGGATCATCACTGGGGCGTGGATAGGGAACGGAAGGATTGAATACGAACCAGGAGGCGCCCAGTTGCCGTTTCATCTCGACTCGATCCTTTCACACCACCACACACGACAGCGTCACGCATCGCACCTCTCCAGGTCGTGTATCGATAGCCGCGGACACCTACATACCCAGACTCGGCCAACATTCTTTGGCGAGGAGTAAGGGTCGTGGGGACATTCTTCTTGCGGCTGACTGCCGGCGCTCGCACGCATCTGGGCTGCGCATTGGCATCGCTCGCATAGAGTTTGCCTCGAATCTCGCCCTCGCCCACTCACGTCGGCCCTGTATTGCGCGACGTATCCAAGTATCCAGGTCCGCCATGTCTTCCAACACCACTTCCATTGGTACGTCTCACTCCACACATCATCACAACACTCTCCATCCATACCGCTCTCTCTTTTCTTGGCTTCCCTCCCCCAACTCACCCACCGTCCACCTCGTCGCTTCTCGCGGCCGGCGTCGCAGACATGCCCAAACACGCCACTAACACCTCCCCAGCGACGACCAGCACCGCGCCTGGCTCGACCACCTCCGCCGCCGGCACCACCTCCGCCGCCGGCACCACCGCCACCTCCATCGATACCTCCTCTATCGCTTCATCCATCTCCTCCGCTCTCTCCTCCTCACTCGTCTCTCCTTCGCCCACATCCACCGTCACAGTCGAGCCCAGCACCACACGAGCAACCTCCACCTCGATTGTCTCCGAGTCAGCACTACCGCCCACCACACAGGTCATCACCTCGGTCATCACCGCCTCCGCTGCGCCTGGCCAGTCCACCGGATCCGCCGTCACCGTTGTCGTGACCGCGACCAGAGGCAGCACAGTCGTCCCCGTCTCGACAACAGAGGCCTCGACCGGCACCGCCTCAACCACATCTTCCGCCGGTCCCGCGCTCAATACCGGCAGCAACCAGAACAAAGGAACCAGTGGCGGCGGCGGGCTATCTACCGCTGGTGTGACTGCCGTCGCAGTCGTCGTTCCAGTCGTAGTCGTCGCGCTCCTCGTACTAGCCGGAATCTTCTTCTGGCGGAAACGCAAGCAAAAGAAGGTCCAAGAAGAGCAGCGTCGCAAGGAGATTGAAGAGTATGGCTTCAATCCTAATAACGACCCGACACTGCCCACGGTAGCATCGGAGAACGGACAGGAAATGTCGGAGGACCACAGCAGCGGGTACAGGGGCTGGGGAGCCGCTACTGCTTCCAACCGCAAGATGTCCACCACTCTTTCTGGTGGACACACGCAGGGTCAGCTCTCGGATTCAGGCAGTGCTCCCTACCGCGGCAACCCAAACTCGCCCACCGGCGGCGCCTCAGATGGTCACAGCGGTGACCCGCTCGTGATGGGCGGTGCTGTGGGACATGCACGGGAAGACACCATGGCAAGCGATGACTTGGGAGCTCTAGGCCATGGACCAGCCGCTGGAACGAATCCATCAGGCATGAAGCGCGGTCCCAGCAATGCCTCATCCACATATTCTGCAGGCAACCACTCGGACGTCTCGGATGGACCACCTCAAGGCAGCCTGCCTCAGTCTTATGAGGCTTACAACCCGAATGCATTCGGCTACTCCCAACACGGCCCGTACGGCGATGGTACATACGGCGGCGCGGGGGATGTGCAAGAGAACGGCATGCCCATTGTACGGGATGTTTCTGCGAGAAGAAACACCCGGATACAACAGCCTGGAAATTACCAGCAGGGCAATTCGGGCATTGCGCAGAACTTCTAGTGCCAAGTTTCTGGGCATGAATGGATCGATGACTCCTTCCCTTACCACCGCCACCACCGCCGCCGCCGCTACACTTAAGTTTTGTACATAAAAGCGCGCTCTACTCGTTGGATTTTGCTTTGAACGACGGCGGCGGCGGTGGCGGCGGCGGTCGCGAGTCATTTCAATTCTGTCCTTCCTTATTTCTGCTTGCGTGGTCTTTTTTAAAATCGATATCATCATGGCGATGGCGTTTTTATTTTCCGAGAATTCTGGATGAACAGATGAAAAGAGAGCGGAGGAACAGGATACCTACCCAACCAATTAAAACTACCCCCGTCTCGTTTGTTTGTATGGAGGAAATCTCAGCGCGAGAAGGGTTCTCAGAGGACTGACTATCTAACTCTCTGATGGGATGGAGAGAGAGAGAGAGAGATGGGAATGAAAATAGTCCGCGGATCATCTATCTGTAGTTAATGTTAGGAAAGAGAGAAAGGATCCCCTTTTCTCTTTCTCTTTTTTGTTTTCTCTTTTTGAATATAGATATATCATCTTATAGATATCATATCTCTCTCCTGACATGATTTGAGACAAAAGGGCGGCGCCGTGGCTTTCTTTCGATTTGGTATGTATGTATGATTGCATCCTTTTTGACTTGACTTGACTTGCGTATTGGCTAGATATCTAGTAGAGGTTCGAGTGTGTGATTCTTGGAAGAGAGAAGCTAAGGTATGAACGGGTGAAGGGTGACGGGTGGTATTGTTTGTTATGGTTGTAACTTGTGCGGCGATGGATGTGATGCATGGAGATATATGCATGTGAAGGAACTTCCTAGGCTAGGTACACTGCACGTAGAAGAGGGGATTCTTTTTTTCTTCTTCTTCTTCTTCTTCTTCTTCTTCTTCTTCTTCTTCTTCTTCTTCTTCTTCTTCGCTTATATCTATCTATTAAAAGAAAACACAAAAGAAAGGACCTTTTGATCTCTAGGATAATCGGGTTAACATATAATACAGGCCCCCCGAAAATGTAGGTTATGTGTATAACATGTTTCATTTCGTCTTCGTGTCTTCTCTATAAGCTAGCTATAGATATATAGATATCGATACGGACCGTTCGATAGATAGATAGATAGATAGATAGATAGATAGATAGATAGATAGATAGATAGATAGATAGATAGCGAGACTAGATAACTAATTAACCTAGGATTAAGTTTTTTTTTCTTATTATTATTATCGTTATTATTATTATTATTAGTAGATATCTATATATATATATATCTAGGCGATACCTATAAGGATAAATAAACGGACTTAGGGGGTTGTTTATATAGAATATAAAGGTACTTATTCTTTACTTATACTTATTAAGTCTATAACTTAATAATCTTATAATACATAAGGATTACTTATATAAGGCTTAATCGGTATTAGGCTCGTTAGTAGAGAGGTCTAGTAGAGGAAGAGTAAAGCGATAGAGTAGTATAGTAACTTAAGGGATTGTATTCTAAGTAGTAAGATACTATAGTAAGTTAAATATATCGAAAGCTAGAGGCATTCTTAGTGTTCCTATATAGATTTCTAGTTCGACTAACTTGTCCTACCTACTAGCTAGAAACTAGCTATCCGACTAGAGCTCTAGTCGAACGGTCGAACTTGTTACGTAGTCCTCCTTATAGAGTTCGACTACCGGCTCCTCCCGTTAGTCGAACACGTAACACGTAACGTGCCTCGCTATACGCGTAGGGTCTCTCTTCTATTTTACTAGCTAGGAATTCTCGAAGTAGCCTCGCTCCTACTTCGATCCGTAATACTATCCCCCCTCTTATCTTTAGCGCGTCCCGAGCTAAATCTTTCGGTAGGTGTCTTCTTTTCCTCCCTTTCCCGCTATAAGTAGAGAGCCGCTAACTCGAAAGGAGCGTCGTAAAAGACAAGCGTCTTTAATCGAAAGTAACGGTCGCGAAATGCCGTCTCTATGTTCTACCTACCGTATAGTACGATCGTCGAAGGAGAATCCGATTCGGTATATAGTAGATATTCGTTTTAGGTACTGTTCGGAGTGTGTTCGTAAGGGCTATAAGAATTGCGACGTTACGGTAACTTAGACCGAGTAGGAGCGTCTTCGGAACTAGCGTCGTTAACTAAAGCGTAAGTTAGACGATACTAAGGAAAAGGTAACGGAGGCGATAGCTCGTATCTATCGTCTTCGTAAACAACTTCGGTCGGCGGAGGAGCGGGAAGAGAAGGCGATCTCTAAGGAGTTCGCTAAGCTATAGAAGCTGCCTTCGGAGGGTCCTAAGGCTCTTAACGCGCCTTCCGACTTCCTACTAGAACCCGAGGGAAACCCTTCGGAGTTAGAGGACGTTTTCTAGATGCCTCTTACTTCTTAGGCCGACTTGTCCCTTATTCCTAACTCGGAGTTCTAGTAACTGCCTTATAATTCTAGTAGAAACGCTAAAGTAGCTAGCGACAGTTCGTAAGGTTATTCTCCGGTTCCTAGGTATTTTCTAATTCGTCGTATCCTTTCTACTTAATAAGATATCGCTAACCTTCCTTTCTTAGGATCCTTTCGACTTCGAATTCGTTTTCTTCTTCTAGTATATATAAAAATGTTTCCTAGTAAGGTGTCTCGGCGTCGGCTAGTTCTAAAAGAGAGATATAGAACACGGGATAAATCTTCGTATCTACCGGTAATTTAAGTCGGTAGTTTACTAGTCCTCGGGCTTCTTTAACTAAAAATAGCCCGACTTTAACGTAGTCTAGTTTCTTCGTTAGTTTCCGACTTCTTAAGTTCTTAGTAAGGAGGTAGACCTTATCCCCCTTCTTTAGCTAAGGCGCTATTTTTCTTTTCTTGTTATATAGCCCTAAAATCCGGTCCTAAGTGTCTTAGATTACGGATTGTAACTAGTTATACACCCGTTTTAGGTCTTCTAAAGCGATTATTGCCTTTTCCGTATTAGGGTATAGTCTTATTTAGTCTTATTATAATCTAAACGTCTTCGGATTCTTCCTAAAGTTAGTAAAGAATAGTATATATCTAGTAGTTTCGGAACGATAGTTGTTTAGTACAAGCTACGCTATTAGTAAGAGTGTTACCTAATTGTCTTATATAGTATTTATATAGTGTCGAAGGTATTGTTCTAGTGTTTGGTTCGTTCTTTCTGTCTAGCCGTCTGTCTATAGGTAATAGGCTATAGACAGCTTATAGCGTATCCCGATTGTTACTATAAGTGTTTTCTAGTAGTTCGAAGTAAATAGCTTGTCTCTATCTATAATAAACACTTCTAGGATGCCGTAGTATCGTACTAGTCTGTCTAGTATAAGGTATCCGAGTTGCTCTACGCTAGCCTTTTCCGTTATAGGAATAAAGTATATATATTTCGTTAGTCGATCTACTATAACTAAGATTATGTCGTAGGTGACTCCGTTAACCTTGTCCTTCGAGGGTAGTAGTTTAACGATAAAGTCTATTATAACTTCGTCCTATAGTTAAGTAGGTAGAGTTCTAAACTAGATATGTCCGTATTTAGCGTGTCTCGAGGCCTTGTTCTAATTATATATTACGTACTTCTTAATATATACTACGATTCGGTACCTTATATATAGAAAGCTAAAACTTCGCTAGACTAGTTCTATTGTCTTCGTAACTCCTAGATGTCCGTACTCTAGGTTATCGTAATATTGTCGAATACATTCTTCCTCGCGATCCTTTAGTACCTAATATTTCCCTTATTAGATTAGGAATTGTTCTTCGTTGTCTTAAAGAACCTAGATAATATTATTAAATTCCTTCGTATTAGCGCTTAGACTCCCGTCTTAGTTTGTTCTAAGTATGTTATACTACACTTGTTCCTTTCCTTCTATATAGTCGCTACGTCGGCTTAGTACGTCGGCCCGACTATTGTCGCGTCCTAGGGTATAACGGATATCGAACTTGTACTAACCGAGCAGTTCCGACTAGCGGACCTACCTACGTATTAGCGACTTTGTCGTAGTAAAGTAGGTAAGATTCTTATAATTAGAAAGAATCGTTAGTCCTAGTACTCCTTCCGCGTAGACTCTCTAGTACTATAATACTATAACGATTGTAAGTAGCTCCTTATTATAGATGTCGTAGTTCTCTTCTATAGGCGTTATCTTTCTTAAGTAGTAGGCTACTAGGTGTCGCTTCCTATTATGCTCCTATATAAGGCATACTCCTATAGCTATGTCTAATATATCGGTTTCGATCTATACGGGCTTCGTCCTATCGAACAGTCGTAATGTTAGTACTAAAGCGTATTGTTCTTTTAGTCTCTCGAATGCTTGTCGTTGTCGTGTACTCTATTCCTATTTCTTGTCCTTTTAGGTAAGCTCCGTAAGAGGTTTCGCCGTCTTCGAGTAATCCTAGATAAACTTTCTATTATAGTTCGCTAGGCCTAAGAACGATTGTACGTCCTTAACGTTCTATAGTTGTAGCTATTCTTCGATAGACTTAGTCTTCTTTAGATCGATTCGGATTCCTTACGTACTAATAATAAATCCTAGGAATTTAACTTCCTTCTTATAGAACTCGCATTTCTTAGGCGCTGTCTTAAAGTCGGTAGCGCTAAGTCGTTTAAATACTTCCTAGACTTGTAATACGTACTTTTGTAGTAAACCTTTCGTATAGACTAGAATGTCGTCTACGTAGTATATAACGTAAACGTCGAGGAGGTCTCGGAGCGTTTCGTTAATAAGGTCCTATTATAATATAGGTACGTTCGTAAGTCCTATAGGCATAACGAGGAACTCGTACAGTCCGTATCTCGTTCTAAATACGGTTTTCTACTCTTCTCCGGGTACTATTCTAATCGAGAAGAACGCTTCCCGTAGGTCGATCTTCGTAAACTAGTCTACTCTAGTAAGGCGGTCTTATACTTCTTCGATACTAGGTAATAGATACCTGTTCTTAATTGTAACTTTATTTAGTCTCCGATAATCGACAACTAGTCGTAGTTTGTCGGTTCCTACTTTTAGTACGAAGAGAATTAGAGATCCTACGCTTAAAGTAGATTTCCGGATCTATCCCTTCGCTAGTTTCTCCTTTAGCTATTAATTAAGGGATTTTAGCTCTTTTTCTAATAGCGGATAGATAGGTCCCTATAGAGGCTGCTTCCCTAGCTAAATATTAATCTTATAATCCTATAGTCTATACTTAGGTAGGGCGTCTTTCCCTTCCTCTTCCTAAAAGAGTCTCTTATACCCGCTATACTCTTTAGGGATATTAGGTAGTATACGAATTCTACTATTACTCGTAACTTCTTAGCCCTTCTAACCCTAGTTAGTACCTGTCCGAGTTAGTTCTAGTCTCTAGATTCCGGTCGTCGTAAACTACGTCGTACTAAGTTGTCTTAACTTATCTACTAGCGAACGCTACCGCTACGTAGGGTAGATGTCGATCGTACAATCGTATCGCTTAAATCTAAGTACTCCTCCTTTCTAGTCGATCGATAGGTTATACTTTCTTAACTAAGGTATTCCGAGTACGATATTATAAGTAGCTATCTTAGTAACGTCGAACGTTAGTTCCTCGTAGTACTATTAGATTACTAGTAGTAACGGTATCGTCTCTCGTTCTATACTCGGTAGGGGTAACCCGTCTACTACGACAAGTTTATACTCTCCGTCTTTCTTCCTTCGGGTTGCGATCCCGGATCTTTTTATAAATAATTTAGAGGCAAATGTCCCGCTAGCGCCTAAATTAACTAGCGTATATGTCTTACGGCCGTTAACGATTACTTCCGTACGGAAGACTACTATTAATACTTAAGTATTCGTTACGATATTAAACTCTCTTCGGTCGCTTATTCCTAGAGAGTTAATCCTTTTCCCGAGCGGCGTTATTCGAGCTACTATCGGATCTTTCTTCTTGTTTTATAGAGGTCCTCGGCTATCTGTTACTCGGCCGGTAATTCGTTATATACCTAGCGATTTTGTACGTATTATGCCTAGGCGAATACTTCTACGTAGCGTCGTATCTAGGCCCGCATTTCTTAGGTAACGACTTCGTTATTCGGTATAAGATACCCGTAGGGTGTTATAATACTTCTAATTAGGGGTTTCTCCTAGATAATTCGTCTAAAGTCTTCCTCTACCTCTATTCGTAGGTACTTCTAGGCGAGAAAACGTATCCTAGAAAGTATATTATCGAATTAGATAGGGTTAAGGTATCGTTTTCCTTTAATCTTTAGAAACACTTCCTCGTTACTTCGCGCGATCGCGATTACGAGTTCCCGTACTTGTCTTAGGGCGTCTACCGTAAAGGTTGTAATTTCTCCGTCGTCGTCTTCCTCCGTAATATCGCTTTCTTCCGAGGATTCCGGTATCTCTAGTTCTTCCGGAAGCTAAGGTAGCTGTTCGTTACCTTCTTCCTCGCTGTCTTGTTCTTCCTCGGGCGTTAGATTTTCCTTGTCTAACTCTTCCTCGCTAACCGGTATAGGTAGCTCGAGTCTACGTAGCTCCTCCGGTATAGGTAGAAGTCGGTATCTATCGGTCCTTTCTTCGTCGTTATCGGGCCGCGGATCCTATATAGGTAATAGTAGTCGTTATAGCTAGTATCCTACTCCTATCTTCGAGGAATAATATTCTTAGTATAAATCGTCGTAATAGTATCTCTAATAAAGGGTACCGTACTTTTCCTTACGACGTACTATTACTCTAAAGAGTCGGGGTTCCTTTTTCTCGTCGAGAGTAGGCATATTATATGCTCCTCGTCCCGATCTTAGTTGTATTATATTAAACTGCTCGCGGCGTACTATATTCTTACCGCGGCAATCCCGTACTATATGTCCTTCTTTTCTATAGGTATAGTAAGTTAGTTTTCCTACATTTTTCCTTCGAGGCGAGTTCTTACCTCGTATCTTACGACCTTTCTAGGTAGCGTCGAGTTCTATAGGCTACGGTCTATAGTAGGGTTAATATAATTAATTTGTCTTATTAAACCGTAGGTTGTAATTGCCCTAGCGTCGCCTTTCGGAAATGTACCTAGCGCGTCCTAATATTTTCGAATCGTAACGCCTTTCTATTACTCGTTCGTAGAGCTTGTCGTTAAGATCGATTGTAACCTAAACTAGTTCTCCTAGGTCTTCGATTAATCGCCCGTCGCGTATTAATTCGTCCTTAATATTATCCTTTAGTCCTCGTCGGTATATCGTTTAAAGTACTTCGTCGTCCTAGTCGGTAAGTTAAGCGTGTTCCTAGAACTTAGCGGCATATTCGGTAGTAGAGGTACGTTACGTAAGGTACTAAATAACTCGTACGGCGGTCGATTGTTCGTTAGATATACTAAACACGGTCTTTATAGAGGTCTTAAGGTGTTAGTATAACTTAAAGATTCCGTTTCCTAATTTCGTATCGCCGGAGTCGAGGTATTCGTAGAGAAAAGGTTTAACCTAATACTATGTACGTCCTCTTAAAAAGGTAGTAGTAAAGACAGGCTTAAGACGTTCTTCTATAGGGTTAAAGAGAAAGTAGAGGTCTATCTAGTTAACCTAGGTGTTATACTTCTCGCGGTTACTATAGTAGAAGTCCGGCTTACCGACCTTAAGGTTCTTGTCTCCTTCGTACGTAGCTAAAGCCTAAATAGCTTCGTTAGTCCTTAGTCGTCCTACTTTACTAGGGGCGGGAGTTCCCCTAGAACTTCGTTAATTAGACATCCTCGAGGGTGTTTAAAGCTATTAAGTCTATAACTTAATAATCTTATAATATATAAGGATCACTTGTATAAGGCTTAATCGGTATTAGGCTCGTTAGTAGAGAGGTCTAGTAGAGGAAGAGTGAAGCGATAGAGTAGTATAGTAACTTAAGGGATTGTATTCTAAGTAGTAAGATACTATAGTAAGTTAAACATATCGAAAGCTAGAGGCATTCTTAGTGTTCCTATATAGATTTCTAGTTCGACTAACTTGTCCTACCTACTAGCTAGAAACTAGCTATCCGACTAGAGCTATAGTCGAACGGTCGAACTTGTTACGTAGTCCTCCTCGTAGAGTTCGACTACCGGCTCCTCCCGTTAGTCGAACACGTAACACGTAACGTGCCTCGCTGTACGCGTAGGGTCTCTCTTCTATTTTACTAGCTAGGAATTCTCGAAGTAGCCTCGCTCCTACTTCGATCCGTAATAATACTCTAACGAGCGATAGTATCGTACGTACGGTACGGTACGTAAGGCTAATAAGAAACCGAAACGCGCTTTATCTACCCTCTTTTGATACTTTAATTAGTCTTCGGTACGGGGTCGACGGCTCTGTAGTCAGATAGTAAAGGTAGTAGGGAATTATCTCGCATTACGACGGGTTTTCGGAGTCTTAAAGATACTACGATTCCCTCGTGCCCTTAATATTATCGTACGTAAGAGGGAAGAAGAGGAACAAAAGGTAATAGAGGGAGTAGAGAAGAGATCGTCTTTCTTCGTCTTCTTGCTTTTTCTATGCAAATAAGCGCAACGAGAAGATGTGATGCTTCTACTTGCTTGATTGTCTGATTGACTGATTGAGTGGTTGATTGATTGATTGGTGCATTGACTGATTTATTGATTGGTTGGTTGCTGGTGTTCTTTTGAGGCCGTTCACATATATCCCATTCCAAAACGTAAAGGTTCGTTCTATCCATGGCTTTTGTTCGGTCGATACTCAAAAAGGAGAAAGAGAGATGAAGAAAGAGTGTTGGGGGAGACGTATTTCTTCGTTGATTCTGAGATCATCTCTCCAACAGCTATGCTATCAACAAGAAGTGAAGAAGAAAGAAGAATGGATGGCGCTGTGAAGGTATCAACAAGATGCGACGACCAAGATCTCCTGTTTAGATCGAGCGTCAAGCACCTATGCAATGATTTTTTTCCCTTTGCAGATGCGCCAGGCCTGCCGTGTTACGTTTTCCCGTCGTGTCCGTCGTTAGATAGGTAAGTGCTCCTCTGTAGATATGTACTCTTCGCCTGACGCAGAGATTCCACGAACTCCTTGCACGTCCAGAAATTGGACAATGTAAAAGAAGGGTATGTGCGCTGTTGAGCACGTTTTCTTAGTCGAAGCACCATTCCATGTTGGAGACACGACCATCGCCATTGGAGGTAGCATCGTTGAAGAGAGTTTCTGACAGATCGAGGTCGTTAACCTTGCATCCCGGGCAGCGGTCGACGATCTGGCCCTTGTAGGGCTGGCCGTCCTTGCCAGTGATGGTGACCCACTTGCCACAGAGAGGGTTGTTGTTAGAGTTGCCGTTGTTGTAGGAGTCGAACAGAGCCTCTCCAATGGCAATGATGGGCTGGTCTGTGGTGTTGGTGTAGCCGCAGGCGCCCAGGCCTGGAGCGTAGTAGGTCAGGTCACCAGAGTAGGTCTTGCCGGACTGACCCAGGCCATAGGTGAGACCGCTGCCGCTGCCGGTGGTCGAAGCGGAAGATGATGCTGGTGCCGCAGAGCTGGTGGTTGAAGAAGTGTATGCTGGTGCCGCAGAGCTGGTGGTTGTAGGAGTGTAGGCTGAAACAGCGGGAGCGGAAGATGAAGATGGTGCAGTGTAGGCCGAAGAGACCGGTGCCGAAGAGCTGCTTGGGGCAGTGTATGCAGGTGCGGCAGGTGCAGAGGACTCCGTTGTAGCAGAAGAGGCAGGCGCAGAGGAGGCAGGCGCAGAGTAGGCAGGCGCCGAAGACTCTGGTGAAGGAGTGTAGGCAGCTGGCTGGACTGCTGGCGCAGACGAAGATGCCGGCGCGCTGTAAGAGTCTGGGCCGGTTGGTGGAGTCTCGCCGGGCTCAATCCACACGGTCTTGGTGACGGGGACAGTCACGATCACCTCGTCGATCTCGGTCTGCCACACAATGTCACGCTTGTGGGCTCGATGATGTTTGTGGTGAGGCTCGCCGACCATTGGCACGGCAGCAACGACCGAGAGGAGAGCGCCAGTGACGGCGAGGAGGCTTTGGGCATACATATTGATGCTGGGGGAAGATGTCGTCCGGGGTTGAGTAAAAGACTGGCGTGGATCGACTGGCGATTCCGGGAGCTTTGCAGGATAGGATGTGTTTGCTTTGCCGTGCGACACCGAAAGGAGTGAGTGTCGATCTGTCAAAGATCCGGTGGGGAGTGAGTGAGGTGGTAAGGAATGTGGTGGACGAAGCCTTCAAACCCGTGAAGCGTTGCGTTGCGAGGACCAGCAGGAGAAGAGGAGAGGAATGTGGACGGTGTGCCTCTTTGTAGGGGGAAACGAACGATACGAGAGGCGCGCGGGTGCGTTGGTCCCGCGCTGTAGCATTCCGTGCGCTAGGACCACTCCATGATCCGGACGGCGGCTCCGTCCCTAGCGCCGTCGCCAACCGCCCAATCGCGTGCCCGGAGAGCCGTCCCCCCACCTACTCCCACCTGCGCCCACCTACGCCCACCCAGGAAGTGCAGAAACAACTTTCGATGGACCGCAGATGCACCACGTCTCCTCGCAGCAGAAGAGTTCTGGTGCGGGAAGATGCATCCTCGTCACATCGCATTGCATGTTCCAGCGTGTCCGCGATCGTGAGAAGCGCGGCTGAGACTCGCTTCAGCCACGCCTCCTTTCATGTTCCCTACCAAGACGACGAATCTCTCTGCGCAGTTTCATGAGGCCGGATGTGGGCAAGACTCGGGCAAGACTCGAGGCGCATCCCGACGGCCCGGGTCTGTGCCTGCCAATCCGGACGATGCACGCAAGGAACACGAGATCGGACGGCCACGCGGACTCTGGCGGACTCTTCTCCGTCAATTCTGCTTGGACACCCACCAAACGCATCCCGGCTTTCGCCCTCTGGTTTGCCAGCAAAAGTGTCGCCGCATGTGCCAGAGTTGCAATGTGCAAGCAACCGTGACCACTTGATGATGACTGCCGCCCCCGCCCAAGCACGGAATTGTGCCATTTCGTTGAGAGCCCTGCTTCTGCTGCTGCTGCGCCGATTTCTATGACCGCACCCTTCCCTGTCGGAGAGAGGCACCAAGCCCACCACCCCATGTAACCGCAGCCGTTCACGAATCATCACTGCCCCTCGTGGGAGAAGCCGAGATGAATGTGGAGTGTGCATGGGAGCGGCCAACCAAACGTCCTGCCGGTCCTAAAGCTTTTCAAACAAAAAAAAACAATACTACACATGTACTTGCCGAGCACATCCCCTCCGAGCTGCCGGCCGGTGGCTACAGTCTGTATAATGATTAAGCAATACCATCGGGATTGGACGATCATGTGGAGCGCTAAGAACCGCGAGACGAGCTCACCACGTTTCTTCGCCATGGCTGTGAGTGCTTGCTTACTTCTTCTGCGGGCTCGCAATTGGGTGTGGAAGCCTGCCATCTCGGTGATGCTCGTGGCCCAAGACCGACAGTACATGAGGAGTCCATCCAGACTGCATGCACGTCTACCAAGGACAAGATGTTCCTCAACGTTCTTCAAGAGGAGTCCTCGACCATCGATTCGAGGCCCAGATGAGATCGGCCGAAGCTCTGTCGACTGCTTGTACTCATGATTGTGTACCTGTCCGAGCCCATATGAGTGATGGATCTTTTGCTGGTCTTGAGGCTGGTAAAGTTTTCAACCAAAGCACGAACGGCCTGGCTTGGGGCTCGCTTGTGTTCGCCGGATCAATTCGTCATTGTCGCCATCACGGCCGGTGATCGTCCGTCTATCGGCGCACGTGTCTCGGCTTTGCAAAGCTTCCACACCTACCTTTCGCCAATTGTCGACCTCGCGGCTGATGTGACGAGCTTCAGAAGCAGTAGCACGATGGGCGACAGCTGCTCGTAGCTCAATCAAGTCCTGCTTGTCAATCGCACTGTCTCACTCTTGTTGACGTTTCGATGTGTTGCGCGACAGCCTCCCGTAAGATTCGGGAAATGCCGACAAGTGGACGGGAAAGAGTGTCGTATGTCTCAGCCTGCGCCGTGTTGTACATTTCTCTTGTGCTGCGGCACCAGTAAAGTGAGCGGCTACAGGAACCACCAACGTGCAAGTTCACAGCAAGGACGCAAGGGCTACGCGGACTTCGGCGGTGAGTAAATGCTTCCTTTGGCTGAGTTTTCACAGTTGTCTTGATATCACGCAAAGGTGCAAGTGATGTTATGATTCTACTTCAGTGCTACAAGATGGGCAAGTATCGAGTTCCTCTCTCAGATTTTACGTAAGCCCAGCAGACGCCACCACCGCCTAGGTATCTCCACTGCAGTTATGGCAACTAATGGTGTAATTGTGGGAGCTACGGACCAAACTTCCACACAGAGTATTATCGTGGACATCGTGTAAGCCTCCTGTACAGCACAGTCGGTGTGCAGCCGTCACATTGTACAACATGTCATTCCTCGCTATCGAAGGCTACCACGCTTTCGTAACGGGAGCTCGAGGTGGTATTGGGAGTGCAATTGTGAAGGAGCTCGTTGGTACGGCGAGAAGCAGTATCTGCACGACTCTGCACTATCAGACCTGACAACTACTCGTGTAGCAAACGGCTGCAAAGTCACTGCCCACGACCTCAAACCGGTCCCTTCATCCGAACAGAATCCCAACATCTTCCACATCCAAGGCGATATCTCTTCGGAGGAATCCATTTCCTCCAACATTACTACGGCAGCATCCCGCCTCGGACCCATCAACATCCTCTGCGCCAACGCGGGCATCACGAACGAAGCTTCCCACCCCAACATCTGGGAACTGGATCTCGAAACCTGGGAGAAGACCTACGCCGTCAACGTTCGCGGAACCTTCCTCACGATCAAGCATTTCCTCCAACACGCCCTCCAAGCCCAGACCACCTCCGGCAAAGCACTAGAAAACCTCTCCATCGTCGTGACAGGCTCCGAATGCGGCAAATTCGGCCAGGCCGGACACGCCGACTACGCTTCGGGGAAATCCGCCCTGCAGTACGGTCTCGTCCTGACGGTCAAGAATGAAATCGTCCGCATCAATCCGAGAGCGAGGATTAATGCCGTGGCGCCCGGATGGGTGGATACGGAACTGATTGGGGAGAGATTAGATGACCCGAGGGAATTGTGGGCTGAAGCGCAGGGCACTGTGCCTTTGAGGAAGATCTCGAAGCCGGAAGATGTGGCGAGGCAGGTTTGCGTGCTGGCTAGTGAGAGGGTGAGTGGGCATGTGAGTGGACAGGTTGTCAGTGTTGATGGGGGGATGGAGGGGAGGGTCGTTTGGCGGGAAGGGGAGGTTAGGGATGGTGGGGAGGGGTATTGGGGGAGGAAGACGTAGGATTTTCTGGATTTTCCTTTCCTCGATCGATGCATGATGTTGAGTATGGCCCTCAGAACAAGCTAATGTCGATAATCTAGTCTTATCATAGGGAGAGCTTTTCAAAGGCAGATAGGCGGTGAGCTAGGTCTCCAGCATCGGCGACCTCAGGTGGATCTATCTCCCAAGAAAGGTCTATACCTCTCAAAACTCCAACACTTCCATCCTATTCCGTAAAGAGTACGAGGGAAACAAACAAGCCACGTCCTCTCCACTCAACACTCCCTAAAATTCATCATCGCTCTCTCCATCGACTTCGACGCCACCTCAGGCTGGCTCGGAACAGCCTCCCACCCCAAACAACGACACCACCGCAGACCTCTTGTCGGGCTACTTTAGCGCCACAACAGACGTACCGCGCCTCCTCCATCTCTTCCATAGACTCTCCCTTTCCCTCTCCTTCAAAGTCACCTAGTACATAACCCGGCCATTCCATCGAAACTTTCCCCCTTCCAAACCCAAAGCAATCCTAGACCCCGGAGCAGAAGTCGCAGTTCATAAACCGTTATCAAAAATTTTACGGGCAAGAGGGAAAGAGGAAAAGAAAGGAAGGGCTTCTAGAACTGAATGTTCTGCTCCCAAGTCTGGTGTTACATGTATACACGGGTATCTTACAATGCACGCAGTCTGTGCCTTGCCTTCTTAGCAGCGATGATGGCGTCTTCCGCTTTCTTTCCCTCCCGGACAATGACCTCTCCAATCTTGGCAAGCTGATCTTGCGTGAGCTCCTTTGGTGGTTGAGCTTGCTTCTGTGCCGCTCTAAGCGCTGCCAGTTCTTGCATTGGTGTTCGCATGGTCTTGATGAGCTCCTTTCTGCCTTCCGTCTTTGAGTCTTCGAGCTCTTTCTGCTGTATATACTCGTAATCGTGCCGTGTTCGGAATCTGCTGTACTTGTTGCGCAGCTCGTCAATGACGGAAAGAGGCATAATGGGTCGTAATAAGTAAGGTCTGAAAGTCTCCTCTTCGACTTTCAAGCGAGGAGTGTCGATTTCGTGGTCTTCGAAACGATCGTCCGCTTTTGCAGGCCAGGGGATCATGATGTTTGTGCCTGGAATAACGCGTTCGCCTCTCTCGTCTTCGTCTTTCTTGGAGGCCATGCGGAACTTGGATTCCAGACGATCGATGACGACGTCTCGCGGGATGCCGGTCTCAGGGTCAGGTAGAGGGTATACCAGTCGTACGTCGTCCAAAGAAACGTGTCCCGGAGTAGGCACCACATGACGGTCGTCATTGTTCTCACTCCTCATCCACTCCGGCATCCAGACATCGTACATGTTCAAATTGCGGATCTGCAAGGCATTCTTTTCAGGATGGACGTTGGAAACTGTCCCGATTTTACCTCTGTCTCTTCCTGTGAGCATGACTACTCTGTCTCCTGCTGCAATGTGCCACCATTTGACTCTCTTCTTCGGATCGACATCGCCAGGAATCCATTCGTATATACTTATCGACCCATATGATGTTCGTTTGTCGCCGGCGTCCCTCCTCGGTGCTAGAGGTCCTAGTTCCCAGTCCTCTTTCCGTTGTCTCCTTTCCTGCCTGATGAAGCCACGGTCTCTGCGGGCGGTTTGTAGCTGGGCCTGCTTTCGTCCCCAACCTTCTCCTGCATCCCGGAGCCTCTTCTGCTTCTCCAACTGGCGGGTGGCCACCCTTTCCGCGCGCTTTGCGCGCTGTACGACCCGTTGCATCCCCCAGGACGATGCGCGGAGATGGCGGTGGTGGTGATGGAGGTCATGTGCAGCTGTCCAATGCTCAAATCTGATGAGGAACTTCATCGACGAAAACTCCTGGGACAGATCGCGCGCTAATCAGACACGGCTTAGCGTCGGCGCCGGGTCGACCGACTCCACTTCCTCTACCTTCCTCTCACTCCGCTAAAAGCTGAGTCTCCAGCTCTGCCCACTCTTCGTGGAGATATCGTTCTCACAGACCAAGCATTTCCCAGATCGCCACTGCCACCTCAGGGCGTCTTCGAGATTTGTGAAGCCTCAGCTGTGGGCTCGCCGGCCATACAAGCCTATCAAGATGGTTCCTCAGACTAAAAATACGCGCATTAGCACCATTCAAAAGTGGAAATTCAGGATGCGCTCGTAGGGATATCTTCACCGGAGTCGAGAAGCGCAAAGGCTACATCCCGGGAGCGTTTTGGGAAATCCATCCTATAAGCCTTGAATCGTATTATCCTTGGGAAGAATGCTTCGCCTTTTCGACTGGCGGCCCGTATGTTGTTTGTGCACCTTTGCTCTTGAGCGCTGCTCTGTCCCATTGACTATATGGCTTGCATCCTCACCCTCGAGATCCTGCCTTTCACTGCTGCTTTAATTCGTTCTCGCACAATGTCTTCAGTGAGGCTCAGCGTACATACAGCCTTCCAAATACTAATACAGGCAATCTAGGCGTCCGCATGTCAGAGTTTTTCCTACGGTCCTCCGAGCGTAAGACAGTCTGCTGACGTGAAATACAGTATATCCAAACACCGCGCTAGCTTCTACATCGCGCCAAGTCGCAGCATCGACATCTGATTCAAGGCCACCAGTTTCGAACCCTTTTGCTGCTGCTATTGTGCAAGGAATCTCGTCAGGATCGACGACCAATGGCTCTTTACGCTATCATCATCCGCCAGAGTGCTCGGCACTGCGACGCCACTCATAACAGCAGCCTCCGGTGTGACTTCGAGCGCATCGCACACTGTCATCGCCTCCTTTCCTAGCCTTACATCAGGCTCAGCTGTGTTCTACTACAATGCCACAAACGATCGCGAAGCTCTCTCAGAGGCAGTGCAATGCTGGTCCAAGGCCATGGCATGGTACGCATAAAGTCGCTCCTGGTACAACGACAAGGTCGCGGGACACACCTGGCCAGTCACCGTCAACACAAGCACCTATTCATGGGTGAGTCAACTGGTCAAGACTTACTACCAGGCTCACGTCAGTACATACAAGCTCTGTGACGGTTCAGCGCGTGCGGATGTCCGTCCGTATACCACCACTGTCGAAGAGACCCTCTCTTTGATGGTGATGACCCAGACATGGCCTGTCACTTCAACGTATGATCCATCTCCATGCTCCCCATCTAGGCAACAGTGTAATTTGTTGTACAATCAGTCAAATGTCGCCAACGTAGACGAGGACCAATTTTATGCCATCTGCGGCCTTCCAGTCCACGGACAAGGAGCATGTCCCTTTCAGATTTCGGGTACCGCGGAGCTTATACATTCTCTAGTACGAGTCGCATATGCGAATAGCAGCCTCTATGCACGGGATCAATCGACGATCGCTCCATCCGCGACAGCGAACGCAGTTACCACGATTTCGACGTTGGGCCATACTTTCGAAGCCGAATCCGCCTATGGATCAATTGGATCGCTTTGAGCATATTACGACGACTTCCATTTCACAATAGGACCGTCATTGAAAGACATTATTTTTACTTGAAGTGGTGTATGCCCAAACAACATAGCGCACGACCGTTATTCCTTCGACTCCTTCCCAGGCTATTAGCAGATCCTTGACCGCTTCGACAAGCTTGCCGCGCGTGACTGCTTCTGGCAGCACCTACTCCACCGGATCAGCTCCAGCGCCGACTTCCACGAGGTCACTGGCGGCTGCCAAGATTCCATGGTCTGGAGTAGCCAGGCTTCTGTTTGGGGTTTCAGTTCTGCGCCAACTTCTGACAAAAGACTTCTTGGACAACGTGTCTGCAACGGAGTGAAAAAACTTCCTCGAAGTCCGTAGAAGTGACACTCTCGGGAGATTATCGGGCGGGACCCCCCGTCTCACTAGCGAACTTCCACGTGAATTCTCGCCTCAAGGCGACATCTGCCGCACATACCCGAGCTACGTCACAAATCACAACTTGCGCTCTGCTCGATTCAAGTTTACCTCTACTCTTCAATTAGTCTTTGCAACCTGCAGACACTCGACCGTCTAACTCAGCAACCATGTCTTCTAGGGAACTTGCCTTGCACACAGCAACCGCCAGACAGCCGAAGATAATAGGCTTCCACCAGAATTGCGAAAGCGAAGATACCTGGTGGTTCTCGACGAAAGGAATTCTCAACCACGATGTGGTGGCGGTTCGCAATAACTGAAATCGATCCGAAACCACAACTGCTACCCCAATATACTCGCAACCTGCCGTTTCATCAACCAGGAAGGAAGCTAGCCTGATCTAATACGGCGGCTTTGAATCCCCCCTCGACTTCTATATAGCGAGCAGCTTCCTCGAACAGATCGCAGACCACGTCCAACATTGACACCATGTCATCGTCATGCACTTCGCCGACCTCGGTCTTGGATCTCAAGGGGCTTGTCGCAAGCTGGTCCAGGCGGCCAATTTGCTCGATACCTTGGCGTTGGAATTGCAATCTAGCCGCATTGATTTGGGGGGCTGTCGCCAGAGGAATTGCGGCAGAGGGTCAATGATATCGCGGAATTTCTGAGCGAGTTGGATCAAGGCTCGACGTAGTGCTCGGGAGAACAGTGAAAAGAAGGATCTGATGGATGTGCTCCAGCCGTTTGGATTCGAGAGCCACCAATTCAGTTGCAGCCGGTGCCGGGTATATGCCGGGTATATCGCGAGCATCAGAGAGAAGATCTCCCAGAGGCTGGGCCAAATCAAAGCAAGGGAAGGGGACAGCGAATCCCTGATAGGGGCAGGCCGTGAAGAGCTCGGAGGAGTGTGGCGCACTTGACTCAAAAGATAGGGATTGAGAGGCTGAGGAACGACATACTGTGCTTTTATTAGCTCTGTCCAGGCAGCCTTAATCTCAAATCTGCCAGTCTGTGGACTCTCAAACAGTCTCCTATGTGTTCTATTGCAGAATTCTCCCTTCTCATACAACCTCTCTCAAGAACCTTCAGCCCAGCACCTGCCAAACATCTCCGCCCTTCACCGACGTCCGACTTGTCTTAGACTCAGACCAGACTTCTATTCCGCCTTGACCTCATCGCCGGTCGATTGCTTATCCTCGCCCCACCGCTTGTCGAAACAAACCAAGAGCGGTCTCTGCTCATCCAAGATCCTCTCCACCACCAACCAAACCTTCTCCCTGTCCCTCAAACCCTTACACATGACCACCATGCTACTGATAACCATCTTGTCTCCTATACCCAGCATACTCAACACGCTCGGAAAGTTGCCAGTCTTCTTCCACACATGCTCCGGTGAGTACGCAAACATTCTCCGCCCGCCTTCCCAGATGTACTTGAGGTAGAGCTTGAGATTGCTCCAGTTGGGCGTGTCGTCCGTGAACTCGCAGGTGAGGCTCATCTTCTTCGGGTGAAGCTTCAGGCGGCGCAGAGAGCGCGTGAGGGTGATGAACGGGGCTGGATCGTATTGCTTGACGGAGATGCGGAATTTGCTGTTGTAGTAGAAGACGGCGAGGGCTTCCTGGCGAATGGCTTTGCAGGTCAGAAGCAGGCCGGGACGATCGTATCCGGATGGGCGGATCTTGATGGTGCGGGAGTCGTGCATGGCGAGGAGGAAGATTTCGTTTCTCATCTCCGCCGGCAAGTCGAGGAGGTGGCACTTCGCTTCCGGCTCTGTGGCAGGACGGGTTGAGGGGCTTGAAGGCGTGGTGTCGGTCTCGGCCTCAAGATTTGCAATCGTGAATGAGGCGTTGACGGTACTGAAGCTGTTCTCCATTTCGTTTTCTTGAGAGGGAACAGCGAGAAGGTCCGCTTTTGAGAGCATCTGCTCGATATTTGGGTTGCCGGCATCCATTCCGGCGTCTGCGCCTTCGCCAAGCACTGCTGTCGAGCAGCGGATGGTATTGCTGGGTTGGTGGATGGATCTGATGAAGGTTGTTGTTCTGGCTTTTGTTATTGTAAAGTCGGATGTCGGTTGCAAACGCGATGTTGGTGGAAAGAACGACTTGCGCGGGTCAAAGCGCTAATACCACGCGAGCGAATCAGAGCGCATTCACATGAGACATGCATGCATAACGCGTCTGCAATTCACCCAGAGAATCTCATCATTTGGGGGTCTCGGTGTCTAGAATCTTACACTACGCCACGATTCAAGCTTCACAAGGGGGTATCTTCATTCGTAAACATCGTTGTCGTAGGCTCCAGTCTGTATTTGCGTCGCACACCATTCCTCACTCGCCAGGTTCTTCTCCTTCAATCTCTGAATCTTCTCTGGGTCCTTGTGCCAGTCGCAGGCCCAATCGCAAGGTGGTGCTGTTCTCTCACCAAAGTAGTCTGCTATTGACTTGTGTCGGCAGGTGCTGGTGCCTTCGCAATACGCGATGAGCTTCCTTAAGCTCTCCGCACGGTTGGACTGAGCTTGCTTGTCAATCTGCTTGCCGTTATGCTGCTTGTCCATTTCTCTCCTCTGCACCATTGCCAGCTTGTCTCGGTCCTCACGCTTGTAGTACAGGATACAGATCGATGCTTTCCCGTCTCTACCGGCACGGCCTGCTTCTTGGTAAAAGCCTTCGAAAGACTTGGGCATCTGCCAATGAACGACGAATCGCACGTTCTCCTTGTCAATGCCCATTCCAAAAGCGGTTGTTGCGACGATGACGTCGTAGCCTTTGATGTTCTCAATCCATCCCTTCAGATGGTCATCCTTTTGCTCGGTAGACATGCCGGCATGATAGGCTTTAGCGCCGATCCCATCTTCCTGCAAGCGAGCTGCAAGAAATTCGGTATCTTTTCTGAACCAGGTGTAGATGATGCCGGGCACGTTAGAAGCTCGCTCATTCCTCTGACTGAGTTCTTGCGAGCGAGCTGGATTGTTAGCTCTGCGGTCGTGCACGTTTCTCAAAAACCGAAGAAAATCATCGTAGTGGTCGATGCTGTCGTTTGTAAATCGGATTTCATAGTGAAGATTAGGTCGACTGGTCGTCATCGTGTAGCTCTTCAAATTGCTTTCGTCCAGAGCCAGCGTAGTGACGATGTCGGTCCGGACTCGGTCTGTAGCAGTGGCTGTACAGCAGATCATCGGCACATCTGGGAACTCGTCTTTGAAGAATCGTAGCTCCTTGAAGCTCGGGCGGAAGTCGTGGCCCCATTCGGAAATGCAATGTGCTTCATCGATTGCGATCCGGGCCAGCTCTCTCTGCTCGTGGATGATTCTCAAATATTTGCGGAAGTAGTCCAATGTGCAGTACTCTGGGGTGACATAGAGCAGTCGTGTCTTGGGATGGCCACTCTTGAGATCGGTAAAGATTTCTGTCCTTTTCGAAACAGGAGTCGTGCTGTTGATCGTCTCTACTTTGATATTCGCCGCTCGGAGAGCATTGATCTGATTGTTCATCAAAGCCAGAAGAGGTGAGATGACCACAGTAAGGCCAAAGTCGACGACAGCGGGGAGTTGAAAGCAAAGACTCTTTCCAAACCCGGTCGCTGCTTGTAAGAAGACATCGTGGCCTTCCAGTGCTGCGCAAATGACTTCCCGCTGGACAGGCCTGGAGGGATGTGAGTGCGAAGTGTCTTCTATGCCTTCACGTTTGACATACCGGAAATGATCTCTCCCGAAGACCTTGCGTAGTGTGAAGTCTATGTCGACCTTTTGCCCGAGCTGCTTCCTCTGTATGCCGGGCATCTTGACGATCGGTTCGCGTGTCAGTAGAGCCACTCACCTTGCAAGGCCGAGCAATTACTTGCTACTTCGTCGCCAGTCGGTCAACAGAATATGTACATGGCTGTTGTAACGATGTACATCAGCAGCCCAGGATATTTGCGTGGCAGCAACCTCTGAGCACTTTCCTCGTCCGAATTGTGGACGTGTTGATGGACAAGTCGCGTCCCGTGGAAAGTCAAGGATGCACGAGAGCACGGGCCATCTCGCGAATCTCGTATTGAACCACCACCGACTATCAAAGCCAACGCCAAGTGGCTCAAGCCTCCTTCATGCGTCTGCCAAAAGACTTTTACAATTACGTTGGAGACCAAAGAACGCCATCTTATGAGACAGAATATGACCCGGTCACTTACGAACCTGGAAAGCTCTTCAGTCACCCGGTGTTCTGCTGTGAGCCAAGCCGGACCGGTGAGAGATTGTACTGGAAGAAAACTTCGGACCATAAACTCGGTGCCTCATTCCTTTCGTTGAGAGACTACAAGCTTGTGGACCGGTGTACAGAAGAGGCTGTGACAGTAAATGTGGAGAACGGGATGAGCACCCAGGCTGTGTACGGCAGCGTCCAGCTCCGCCGCGAGATGAAAGAATCTTCCTCTATCGCGTCGTTGACGGTATTGATGTCGCTTCTGGAGAAAGAGAGGAGGGCGAGAATAACAGGGGCGAGGGCGAGTCCAACTGGCAGGAAAGTGACGTCGTAAGCCCTCAGTTGACTTGCGGCACTCCACGATGTCCTTGCCTTCGGTTCTATGGCTTTTGCAACATGTACTAACCTCAATCTCCGTTTACGCTTGTAGCTGTGCTGCTGTCCGACTCTCCTTCAACAAATCGTCGTCGCACTCGTGGACAACATGACCTCGATCGTGAGTCCTTCCGCACATCGACCTCCTTGGCTCGGCGGCAATAACATTTGGAGCCGCGAATCATAGCTTCAAGCTTGCGTATCTTCCTCACTATCCTAGAAATTCGCGAAGCAGCGCAATCTTCTCAACGTGCCAAGTTCCACCGTACCAAGTTCCGCCGTACCAAGTTCCGCCGTACCAAATTCTGTCGTCCCAAACTCCCCCGGTCCGGTCTATCATGTCATCCCAAAATGGTCTCGCAGCGGACTCCGGCGCAAGATATCCAAAGCGTCTCACGCGCTGAGCCGCATCCGCCAGTTGTTGCAGATACCTTCTTGGAGCCTGTGGCACCTCCCACGTACGATCACGCGGATCGCCGAGGAGAACCGCCCAGGGCTGCATCAAAGATGCCCTCTCCTCTGCGTCAGGAGCCAGTGACCTGACCACACGAGCTTGTTCGTCTGACAGGAAGTTGTTGTAGGTCTTCATGGCTTCCGCGCGGATCTGGCGACAGACTCGAAGAATGGGTGGCTCGACCACGTACCAGGGAAAGTTGACAATGTCTCCTCTCGCGGGCATAGCGGATTTGCGAGACGTAATGGTTTCGGGTTTCGCATCGCCCTCTGCCATCGCAACTTCGTAGATGGCGAGTCGGATCTCGACTGGGATCTTCTCGAGGAATGTTGACGGTGGGATAGGCTCACTAGACGCCGCAGCAGCACTTCGTCGTGGAGCGCCTGCGCGAACGATCCTTTAGACCCGTCAGCTAGCGCATTTCAATGCAAGGCTTCGGGTGTAGCCCACAGATGTGCATCTTCATCGCTCTGCCGTGGAGCAGTACGCATTGGCTTGGGTGGGCTAGAGCCAGGATCAGCTCCAATGCGCGCAGCCAAAAGCAGACTTATCACTCACTCCCACGAAACATCGTCTGCGCTGCCGATCCCCAAGTTTTCGTAGAGCTCATAGTAGCTCTGGGAATCAGGAACACCCATGTCATCTGCTTTTGAAATGGTCAGTGTGGATGTGATAGCTCATTAAGTGGCGTTGTTCGAATGGCGAAGTTGCGAGGATTCAAATAGTCGATGAGAGCACGGACCAGGTCGCGTCGTTAGGGCGTCTCAAATTCACTCCCATGTGAATGTCTTGGCGCGTAAGACGCCTAGCAACTTCTCCAGGACTTAAAGCAGGTCTCGGACTTTGTGGTGTAAGACATGTGAAGCTTGTTAGGATTGAACACAAATAGTTGGGGCAAATTTTCTGGTGCTCTTTGATGAGCTCGATTGCCTGGGTGTCTTGCCTGACACTGTTCTACTGCCCTTTAGCTACACGAGCTCCGACCATTATCTCTTCCGTTCCCTCTGATGCTGCAGGTTGCTAGGATGGTCGCGAGGATGCATGTTCGCGAGGACAACACTGGACGCGATGTCAAGAACAAGCATCTCCCGCTAATCGAGAAACTCGCTCAGCAATGGAGCCAGCGAAGGCTCAGAGCGGGCTTGAATCGCACGACTGATCATATCATTCCACACGGGTCGTGCAACCATCTGCGGTGCGACGTACCCAGAGGTTCTCACGCGCTTGGCTGCACTAGCAAGGCCACGCAGATACTGCGCGGCGCCCGCGGGAGGTTGCCAGAGTATCTTTGATAAGCCTTCTTTTAGGTCTACAAAATGGAGGCGGTCCCACGCGGCGGGGAACAAGGCCGTGATGACACGAGCCTGCTCCGCCTTCAGGAAGTTATTGTACGGCTTCATGGCCTCGGCGCGGATCTGGCGGCAAACCCGAAGTAGCGCTGGCTCCGTGGTGCTCAGTGGGTATTCGTTAATTTCGTTCTGCCTTTTAGAGGATTTCCTTCGGGCCGGGACGATGTCAATGGTTGTGTCAGGTTCGAGTGCGTACTCGTAGATCGTGAGCCGAATCTCTACTGGAATTTTGCGAGGAGGGCTGGAGAGTTGTCTGGCTGCAATATGAGCGCGGTGAACGTGCTCGAGGTCACCATCCTGGTATGTGCGTAAGCTCTGTAGGTCTGATTAGTCGAGTCCTTACTACCGAGTGTTTACGGGTTACCGCTTACGGAAGGCCTTGTGTCAAAGGCGAAATCTGTCGATAGTGCCGATGCTAGTGTCGTGAGTGAACGATGCTGGTGATGCGCAAAAGCTGTTGGAGGTAGTGTGGCCGGACGGAGTCTTGAAGTTGCTGAAGTTGTGACCAGCTCCTTAGGGACCAACCAGAACTCGCGAAAGCACATACCTCATTACGTCAGCACAGGCCGTCACTTCCATGTGATGGGGAGGTGGTCCACTTATAAGAGCATAAGGTATAATCGATGGTAATGCATTAATTCCCAGGCTCAGGCGCCTCTAGTGTCTACATTAGCACAGAAGTGTCTAAACAGTCATAGTCGCGAGTAATCATTTCACTCCGACAGAAACTGCGGCACGCTATTCTATCCCATTATCCATCCAGCCGGACATACCAATGCCCATCTCTACCTCTCGCGGCATATTCAGACGCACTAGGCGGGACAGCTCTCTGGTCATCCACCGCTCTTTCTCGCGGACCCAACGACCCATGCCCGATCAGATTAGGACACTGCACTTGGGTACCCAAGGTCGATCCCGTCTGCCCGCTCTGGGCCCCTTTTCTCTTTTGTATAAGTGAACTTTGGACTTTTTCGGGGAAGCTTTCAGAAACTTCGCTCTATCAGGAACTCAGAGTATTACTTCATCGCCTCGGCGCGAAATCGACGACAAAGTCGAAGTTGTTCTTGGACCGGTGTCGGATGTCGGTGTTTCGGCTTCGTTCGTTGGGGAGCATTTGTCGGTCAGACAAGCTCCGAAAGTATTGCGTGAGCTTCTGTGCGAAGCGGAGAGACATCAGTGACGGCAACGCTGATGCAAGGGCCTTCGCCTCCTCCAGGAATCTTTGAGTACTTTCAACATTTCAGTTTCGGCTTTGCTATCTGACTGAGAGTTTGCAGCGTTTTGCATACCGCTCTCTCTGAGCTTGAACAAACTTGCTAAACCCACTTCCCCAGCATGTTGCAAATGGATTGGATCATCCTCGCGTCCTCCATCGGGTCTCCATCTCCTCCTCGACTGCACAATGATGGTGAAGTCGGTCCTATCATCTTTGAGATGCCAGCTTCTCCTCGGACGTTCAAATAGCTGGACCACGCGCTTAGGTCCCCCTGAAAGCCGTTGATTCTGTGAAGCGAGGTCGCAAAGTTCAGCTCGAAATGTTTATCACCAATCCACAGCCTCTCTGGGAGGATTTGTCCCAATGTATCCCAATCCTACCGTTCGTTCCAATTCCTTCTCAGCGCCCGGAGGATTCGTCCCAATGTATCCCAATCTTACCATTCGTTTCAATTCCTTCTCAGCGCCCGGGAAATCGGCCATTTCCCCCCATGAGTATTTGTTCCCGGAGCCACCAAAGCAGCTCTGGCCCGCCCACATGGCATTCCCAGCCTCGATATTCCTCTGCATCTCGCGGCAATGTGCTATCCTCGCAGCATCCGTTTCGGCTATGCTGACGACAGACTCGCAGTACAGCTTCATCGCTTCCACGCGGAAAGTGCGGCACACACGCAGAAATCGTGGCTCCCAGAAGTCGCCCGCAATGCCTAGGTCCGACGCCGGGTACGGCAAGATCATCTCTCCGTCTAGCACGTACTCGTAGATTATGAGGCGTATCTCGGGCGGGAGCTTTGCAAGAAAGAGAGAGCGCGGCTTCGTAGAGTGAAGGAAGTCGATGATCGCGTGTTGCGTCTCGCGATCGAGTGTCGCCCAAGGCGGCTTTGCAATCTTGGAAGGGAACTCGAGGGATCGACTGAGCAGCATGGCTTCGACCATATCTCTATTCTGCTGGGCCTTCCAAGCTTCCTTGGAAAGGGTGCGATTGTTGAAGGTAGGCGCCGTCATGTTTGTAGATTTTCTTGCGGCCTGTTGTGGAGTGGAGAAAGAAAGTGGTGTGGATGGTGTAAGATGGTTAGGTTGCAGATGGAAAGTGGATGTGCAAGGTGAGAAAAGGGATCCATTTGAACTGCGGCCCATGTGAAGGCGCACCATCTGCTTGTCTTAGCTTCTTGTCTTAGCTGCTTGTCTTAGCTGCTTTTCCTTTTGTTCTCAAGAAGCGTGAAGCAATGAATAAGTAGCGCGTTACCTACAATAATGCCCTCCTGCTCAGACTCGTCCAGTTGCTCTGTCCGCCGCAGCTCTCTCGAGACCAGGCCACAATTGTTTGTGCTGCGATTGCCCACCTCTGGATCTCCCGGCTTTGTTTCTCATCCGGCGGTGGCATATCCCAGACGCACAATCCGACGAAGCTCCTGTCGAAGATACCACACCCTATGCTGACAAGCCACTCTCGTCATGCGATAGGTCCTAGTGTAGCCCCTACTTTCCACCATGAGATCTTTGTTCTGATTCTCCAACTCGTCTTTGCGGCGAGTGATTTCCCCCTTGAGAAATGTGCCATACTCCTTCATGGCCTCCATCCGGATCTCGCGAGAGGCGCGCAGGATCGGCGGTTCACGGGAGCTCTGCGGAAATCCTCTGGTGTCGTTGTCTTTCGGGATCTGCAGCCTGGATCCGTGGAATACAGGGGCCGGATAGTGAGAGATTTCGAAGCTCCCGGGAAATGCGTGGACGTAGATCATCAGGCGGATCTCAACGGGTATCTTGTCCATGAATGTGCATATGGCAGATTGGACTTCAGGTTGTGGGTGCGGTTCTGGCTTTGGTTTGATCTGTCGTGCAGGTTCTGATTCGATCTCTTGAGGTCCCTGGGGTTTCTTTCCGCGGGCTTGGGTCGGCGCTTTCTTCGCGCGAGCCATCCTGCCAGTGCTCTGAACAGGTTGGTCAGTATTTGGCACTAGCTGCGCAGGATCGTCATGTTCACTCACATTTGGCCAATTTGTTGCGTAACTACGGTGGATATGCCTATCTACATGTGCTGAGAATGCTCGGAGATGATGTTGCTGTGAATCTTGGGAAAGCGCGTCCGTCAAGCGTAGTGGGGCAAAGCACGAGCCGACAAACGGGGCGCTGTCACATGAACGGATGTCACAGGACTAGGTACAGAACTGCACCTTTTCACATCCAAAGCGCTCCTCCATCAAGATATACCATCGAGACATACGAGATCTGGTCCCCCGTCGGAGTGTCTTGCAGCTTGCTCGGCATATACACAACACTCTGACTGCTGAATCTCCTCCCGAATCTCTTGTAATCCGCTCCGACTTCAAATCCCAAGAATCCTGGAAGGCTTGATCAAAACGAGCGCAGAGCTTGTGGTCGACTGTGATTCAAGCTCGAAGCGTCGACGGTGACTTCAAGATTCCATCGACCGGGTCAAGCATCTATCATCCACCGCCCGTCCAACGACGCCAGAATCGCCCGGTAATGGGTCGAAACTTGCTCGGCCAGACTCCACGGCTGATCTCTCAGCTCGCACGCCGTACACATCATCGCAAAAACCGTCGTGACAATGCTGGAATCGCCCCTTCGCGCACTCGCTTCTGAACTCGTACCCGGTCTCGTAATTGCCCCCTGATGAACCCGACGGGTCCATTCCAGCAGATTCTTCCAGTTCGGCGTGAGTACGCGCTGCGTGTAGAAGTCCACAGTGTACCTCACGGAAGCGTTGGAATCCGAGAGTCTTCCCAAAAGTGTCTGCGGGTCGAGAATGTGGCGGGTGAAAGAAGACAGTGCGTCGGAGTTCCAATTTGGTACCTGTATTTGGAAGAGGCCTTCTCCGTAGAATATGCAGAGGGTTTCGCCGCGGATCTGGCTGCAGGTGTTAACCAGGCCTTCAATGTCGAATCCGGAAGCAGTAACGGTGATCTTGCGGTGCGCTGGCAAGACGAAGCGATAGATGCGATCTCTCAGTTCAGCCGGAAGCTCCAGCAAAGGACACCCTGCATCTGCTAAGCTTGACTGCATCCCATGGGGGGATGCCATTTCGCCGGTCATTGTCAGCTTTGCAGAATGCTCTTGTCGTTGTTGCTGAAAAGTCGGAGCACAAAATTGGTCATCATGGATTGCAAATGGATTTAGAGTTAGTACTAATAGTGGCAGGTAAGCAGAAACCCGAGGCACACTTTCCTTATCGAGTCATAGGTGCCAGGTCAAGCTCTATGCATCTCACACCGTGAAGATACATACCACGCTATCCGAACTTCACACCTTTCGCAGGATCCCAAGTCCCATTCGCTGCACCTCTCGCTTGCTGTCCACCGGCAGGAGGCGGCCCTCCAAACTTGATGGGCATGCCTTCCTGCCAAGTCTGATTCACGGTCATCGCAGGGCTCTGCACAGCCGCAACAGATGGCGGCTGCTGTTGAGGACGCTGGGGCATGGGAGCCGGGATGGGTTCCTCCACCATACGAGCGGGCGGAGGGACATGCTGCGTCTGCTGCTTCGCCTTCTGGGTCAACAGATTCTGCTGGTTGTTCTGCTGGAGCTGCAAACCAGCCAAAGCAGTGGCCACATCAGACTCCAGAGCCTGTGCTTCGGACCGACGGGCATAAACGAAATTCCTACATTCGTCTCGGAAGCGGGTCGTGATCGCAGACAGGTCATTGTAGAACTTCCGTCCAGTCTCCAGATTCCGCATGATTTCCTTGTAGGAATTGTACGCATTCTCCAAGTTCTGCAAAGCTGTCTCGCGCTCCTTCGAAGAAGCGTCACCACGCTTGGCGCTTTGAAAAGATATGTTGGTCTCTTTCACTCTGTCAAGAAGCTGCTGCTGTTCCTTCTCTTCCTTTTTGAGATCTTGCTGATCCACGTCGTACTTCTTCAACCGCTCGTCGAACAGGTTCTCAAACTGCGATGCCTGCACAGCCTGCATCGGAAACTCGCGCTCGAGTCTGGCTGCCTCTTTGAGAAGGTCAGGATTGACGTCGTCCTCCTTCGCCTTGGTGCGCAGCGCCTCCACCTTCTTCCGCCGTCGACTCTCCAGTCGATTGACTTCATTGAGGGAAGCACGTAATGCATTGGCCTCACGTTCCACCTTCGCCGTCATCGTCGCTCGTCGGCTCGAGGGTACGTAGTCTTCCAGATCTCGATCTGTGCCGCCGAGCAGGCGTATGAGGCTTTCGTTTTCCCGCAGTTGCTTTTGCACCATCTTATCAGAGGAATCTGCCTGCTTAAGGTAGCCCTCGATATCTGTGACCTGCTGCGCTAGCTTGGGCACAGCATCCTGCCACGATGGGCGATTCCACCGCTCCGTACCATACCTTCGCCGCGCTGCCTCGTCTTCGCTCGCCTCCGTCCGCAGTAAATCAAGACCCTCCTGGTACAACACTCGATTGTTGGCTTTCAGTTTCTCAGTATCAGAGATGGTTGCATGCAGTCTTTGTACGCCATTGGACTGTCGTATGTCCTCCGCATGGGTTGCAAGCCCGGGTGGCAATCCTAACGGCTTCTCAAGTGCTTGAAGCGATCCTGGGAGGTTCAAGCTTGACAGAAGCTCATGTATTCGCTGGGTCATCGATTCCAGCTCTGCGATGATGACGTTGCTGACAAGTCGATCTCTCCTGTCAGCGTAGATGGAGGCGGCGACGTGTACACTATACGGGACGAGTTTGGCAAACAAAGGCTTGCCTAATGCGCCGTGATCTCCCAGCATTTCCTGAGAGTTGGAGACTTCCTGGGGTATTCTTGCCGCGACCATACTTGCGCGATCCAGTGGAGTCAGCTCAGCTTTGGAAGGCTCGGGCTGAAGATATATGGTGTCGTTGTCCTTTTCTGCCCGCTTCAAGTCTTCCGATACACGATTTTTCAGTCCATTGAGATCCTGACGGACGTTCTGATTCACATGTCTGCTCTCATTCAGGGCCGTGTTGACCGCATTGAGACTGTCCCTCAATCTTGCAACCTCCTCTCCGTATTTCCTCTTTTCCAGTGCGTCGCGTGCCGCACGGTATTGGGCAGCCGCAGCAAAATGATGGTGCTTCGCATTCATATGATGTATCCATTCGCTTCGTATGCTATCCGTCTTCAAGGACCATTCATTCGCCTCGTTGTAGAGATCGCTCACTTTTGCCGCGAGCTTTGCAATCGTTGCATCCTTCATCCCGTCTTTGACGGCTTTCTGCCAGAAACATTCCTGAGCTTGGGCAAGCATCAAGTGTCCCAAAGCTTCTAGAGTCGGGCCATCCATGTCCTCGGGAGGACTGCTCCTGAGGTCGGGGATCACATTCTCCTTTATGTGGTGAAAGACTCCTGCCGCAAAGCAGAAGTTGTTCGCCGCTGTCTTGAGCCCATCGCTAGTCGATCGATTCGAGGAGAGCGCTACTTGAGAGTACATCGCAGCCAGGTTGAACAAGACGTTTGCAAGCTCGAATCGGATGTTGTTCTCCGTCTGCGGGTGGTTGGTGTGATACCCCAAAGACGGATACCAGGTGAAGTCTGCTCCAATCTATATTCTCGCATCAGTATCTGACCTCCATAACCTCTCTGCATCTCCTCTTACATCAACGGGAAACTTCCCACCCATCCAAACCAACTGCGCCGCATATTGCTGTATCTTCTTGACACCACTGCTGTGTGGTTCAAGCGCATTCACCGCATCTTTTCGTAGTTGCTGGATAATCTCTAGATCCCTCGCAAAGGTATCCGGATGTTGGTCGTACTTGGTCGAGATGTACTCGCGGATTGACTGCGACAGATCCAGACTGTGCGTTCGTCGGAAGGGAATCTGGAGAATGTTGCCGGACTGCATGTTGAGCTTGAGATTCTGGTCCGGATCGAGAAGGCTCATGTCATGGCGAGGAACTACATGTACAGACCTGTACTGCTGCCAGCTTTCTAAGTTGATGCATGCATCTTGGTTCTGTTTACGCAGTGAAGTCATTCACGCAACGGCGGGGCAATTCCGTTTTTGTCCTGTGCTGTCGAGCCGCCCGCCGTAGAGCAAGCTTCAGCCCATCGCAACGCCCCTCACCAGGCACGAGGGGGACGTGGCTTCGTTCAATTTATAGAAAACTTGCTCAATCCTCACCGGTATTTGATCGCAACACCGAAAAGACAAGCGCGAGCACGCGAGCACGCGATCTCCGCCATTGAAGTATAAGTCGGGATCCGTTTTTCTCCTTTCGCCTTTGTCTGTTCTAGAACTCCCAGCTTACTTACAAATCCACCGGGGGAACGCTCTCAAAAGCTACTAGCAACTTCAGCTTCAGTCCAACGATCTACACAGCAACGACGAGACCAACATGGCCGAACACAACTACAAATTCAACGTCACTATGACTTGTGGCGGCTGCTCCGGCGCCGTGGAGAGAGTCCTCAAGAAACTCTCCGGTAAGCTCTCGAGGCTCTCCCTTCCTCTCCTCCTCTGACCCTGCTCCAGGTGTCAAGAACTACAACGTCTCCCTCGAATCGCAGACCGTCGACGTCACGACCGAAGAGAGCGTGCCCTACAGCACTGTGCTCGAGAAGATCAGCAAAACGGGCAAGAAAGTCAACAGCGGAGAGGCGGACGGTGTTTCGCAGTCGGTGGAAGTCGGCGCATAGAAGTGGCAGGGACAAGAGCGATTGTAGATGTGGCATGAATGAAATGATATGAATTCTCCGGCAACGGAAAAGCTTTTGCGGATTCGACATGCACATCATCGAGTTGCGGATGCCCCCACTACCCGAGCCGGTCTGCGCAGTGATTATCGGCAATCACGCTTGGAGAACGAGAACAATCCCGGACCCTGCTGTGAGAGCTCGCATGATATTAGTGTGCGTACAAGCACACTGGCAAGACGGTATCTCCGCGACTGCAAGAAGGCGGTAAGTAAATGCGATTTCCTGTCATAAAGCTACCTATTCATCACGTCACAATCGTCTCATACAACTTCTGGCGTCATAGTATCCCATATACACATGCCCTAGAATCTGCTCTCGACCTTCTTCTCGATATCTTGAATGGCCCAGTCACTCCTCATCTTCTTACTCCTGACAGCATCCACCTGGCTCCTGGTGAAGCCCTTCGCCTCAACAGCAGGGTTGTAGCCAAACCCGCTCTTCTTGGCGACTTCTTCGTTACTGACGCTCTTCGGTGCCTTGCCGTCGGCACGCTTGTAGACCGTCACAACCACAGCGCCCCCGAGACCCAGGTTGTGCTGCAGAGCCACCGTGGTGCCAGGGACCAAGCGGTTGTTAGCCCAGCCTCGCAAGTGCCAGACAAGCTCTGCGCACTGAGCGATACCAGTAGCACCGAGCGGATGCCCCTTGGAGATGAGACCACCAGATGGATTGATGACCATCTTGCCTCCGTAAGTGATGTCTCCCTTCCTGACCATCTCGTGCGCCTTCCCAGGCTCGCTGAGCTTCATCGCATCGATCGTAATCATCTGATTTGCAGAAAAGCAGTCGTGCAACTCGCAGACTTTCACATCATCAGGCGTAACACCAGCCTCCTCCATAGCAGTCTTGGCCGCGTACGCAGACATATGGTAACCCATCAGATCGATCGAAGACCTCGAAAACAAACCAGGAGCGTCCGTGGCGAGAGTCTGCCCAGCAATAAGAATAGCATGCTCTTTCAATTCCGGCCTCGCGTCCAAGAAAGCCTGGCTGACAACCACAGCAGCCGCACCTCCGTCCGAAGTAGGACAGCACTGCAACTTGGTAAGAGGCTCATGGATCATCGTCGAGCTCATCACCTGCTCCAGAGTATAATCATCCTTGAACTGCGAATAAGGATTCCGCTTGGAATGCTCGTGGTTCACCCGCGCAATCTCCGCGAAATCCTCATTCTTCGCTCCGTACTTCTCCATGTATTCCCGTCCGGCATTGCCAAACAGCTGCGCGGCTTCGGGTGCATTCGTTCGTCCGCGCGTCTGTACCATCATCTGCCCCGTGGTGCCGGTGGGATTGGCCCGGTCGAGGAAATAGCTCTGCAGGGAACCCGGGTTCATCTTTTCGAAGCCTACCACGAGCACGGCGTCGGCCATGCCGCCGGCACACATCGTCCGGGCCAGGTGCAGGCCTGTAGAACCCGTGGAGCAGTTGTTGTTGACGTTGTAGATGGGGATTTGCGTCATGCCGAATTGGTAGAAGACTCGCTGGCCGCTCGTGCTGTCTCCGTAGCAGTAGCATGCCACACCGGCGTCCATATCATCGTAGTTCACTTTGGCATCGAGCATGGCCTTGATTCCGGCTTCGAAGCCCAGTTCGGTATAGTCGACCTTGCCTCGGGGCTTGATGAACTTGGTCATCCCCACACCGAGGACGTAGACCGGGGCCTTGTTCTTTGCTGCTTTGGCGGCCATGGTTGCGGTTATTATGCTGCGTAGAATTGTGGAGAGACAGGTAAATGGAAACAAATACTAGAAGATCGCAAATGGTATTTAGATGTTGTCTCGAGCCGAAGAGGCGAGGTCAAGAGCTGCAGCCGAAGCTTTGTACATCCGTCTGACAACCTCGGCAACGATTCTACGAGAGAGTGAACCCGAGCTTTGGAGTCGGCAGAATATGAGAAACGCACATGAACAGAGGGGCTCTCTCTGGTCTGATGTTATGCTCGCCAATAGGCCCTGCTCGGGTGAAACAACTGGAGCAAAGAGACGGCAAATGCAGTTGAGGTCAGGGTAGGATGGCGAAAGAGAACGTCTTACTAATGACGGAATTCGGCCGAACTGGGAACAAACCGAAATACTGTAGACATGTGGAAAGCAGGACGAAAAGCGTGTGCCGTAAACGTAGAAACTTGTTGCTTGTATCTGACCTGTCCCGGTACTTCCGACGCAGGTCAGCACAGTGTCGTGAACCCCATAGCATGCTCAGAATCGACCTCGCAGGTCTGATGCCTCCAAGCAGCTCTGCGCCATGGTGCTTCCTGATGATGCCGCTCTTTCAAACGCCTGATACCCCAGCAGCCAGCAACGCAACGAGGTAATCGTCTACGAACGTGGCTTCTCCTTCTTCTCCTTCCACAGAGCGCTCAGACCCACACCGGAGACCTTGACAACCTTGAAACGCACACCGGGAATATCACCCTTGGCCTTGCCCTTACGACCGAAACCAGCGAGCAGGACCTCGTCGTTCTCGTCGACGAAGTTCAAGCAACCGTCGTTGGGCACTGGTCTACGTCAGTGCGTGTTCCTCAAGTCCGTAGATTCGACATATCATACCGAAAGCAGTGACCTTCTTGCCGTTCTTGATGAGCTGCACACGCACGCACTTGCGGATGGCAGAGTTGGGCTGCTTCGCCTCAACACCGACCTTCTCGAGGACGATTCCCTTGGCGTGGGAAGAACCCTTCAATGCATGTCAGTCTGTGTCCTCACTTCACGCCCATCTCTCTCGATTCTCCCCTCATGCAATCCGTCTCTTCATCATTTGTGATGCTATCGGGCTGTACGTACTCCGAATGGCGACGACTTGTAGGCGGTACCGAGCAGTCTCTTCTTGTAGTGGAGATCGGCCCATTGTTGTTCACGGCGGGTGTTGCGCAGCTTGCGCGCGGCCAGCAGTCCTCTTGGCTTTCCCTTTCCCATGGTGACTGCAACGAGGTGTTAGTACGATCCTGATAATGAGTCTGAGGTCGAGTTCGCAACGGGTAATTCGGTGTGCGGGCTGGGAAAGGAGTCTGCGTAGGCGTTGTGGAGTTGTCTAAGCTCCCATCGCTGCAAGATGTCGAGACTGATCGGATATGGCAGTGGGCGACTCACCAGATGTGTTGTCGTGTGATGGGTGTCGGCGTTCGTTCGCTGGCGACTTCAAATTTGGATCTCGGAGCAGAATTTCAGAGGTGGACAGGGCTTGGCAGAGAAATTTGCGCTAATCCAAATGTGGGATCTCATCGGGACCCCATAAAATTTTGATGATATCGATGGGCGCTTAACAGAGCAAGGTAAGGTAGGAATGCATGTGAAAGCTCTGTCGTATCATTGCGATCCCAACAAGGTCATTCGTAATACTCGCAGGCTACTTGCTATAGCATATATCTATAATCAGGACGCTTGTCTCCCAACTCCGTTTTCTCATGTTCCGTCAACCCTACATTCAGGGCCGTGTTGTCTCTCTTGCGATTCTCAGCCAAGCAGGCAATGCCATAGATAATGCAAGCGATGATGCTCAAGACTGTAAAAGCAATACAGATCGAATAGCCAGGGACGTATTTGGGCGAATCTTTCTTCAAGAACGCCCAGACGGCGATGATACCACCAATGTTGCCGAACTGTCCACAACGTTAGTCTAATCTCACTTTCTTATAGGCACAGGTACCATATGACTTACTCCGATTTGCCAGGCACTTCCCACTGATCGTCTGTGGTGACCTCCTAGGTTCATGTTGAACCAACAAACGATGACAGGCATCGCCGAGTAGGTGCCCGACGTAACCAGAAAGAGTGCCCCGTACTGGACGTTCGTGTTATCGTGGACGGAGAGCAGAATCGCAAATCCAGCAATTGCGATGCAAATACTGAAAATGGCAAAGCCAAACCGATGTTTTGTCCGATCGGACATCCACGCCACGATCATGGACCATCCAAAGGCAGCAGCCCAGGGAGGCACAGAATGTAGTTGTGTCTGAATAGTTCCGTAGCCATACGTTTTGATAATGCCTGGTGCGAAGTAGGCGTATCCGTACGCGGGAACGACCAGACCAAAGTACATGAAGCCGGCGACGATGATCTTATAGTCTTTAAAGACGTTGGCGACATCTTTGAGAGTGATGTTGCGTTCAGCTGCGGTTTGGCCTTGGTCGGCTGTGAGTCTGGCCGCGACGTAGGCTTTTTCGTCTTCGTTCAGCCATGTGGCTTGTTCGGGGAAATTTGGGAGGATGAAGAAGAAGAGGAAGGCGAATGCTACGGTCAGGCAGCCCTCGAGGATGAAGCTATCCACCTTGTCAATGTCAGTTTGGATATCCTGAGAGATCAAAACTTACATCCATCTCCAACCAGCATAACCACTGATTCCATCCATCTTGCCAATAGCCGCAGCGAGCAGCCCTCCAAAGGCACCAGCCAGACTCGTAGAGCTGAAGAAGAACGAATATCGCGTTTGCGCTTCGTGGCGACGATACCACATGCCAATCAGATAGAAGCATCCCGGAAACATGCCAGTCTCGAAGACTCCCAAGAAGAATCTCGTCGCAAGCAAACCACCATAGCTCTTCACAACCCCCTGCATGATAGTCGTGAATCCAAAGAAGAACATATTCGCCGACAGCCAGACCCTGGGACTGAACTTCTTCAGCAGAATATTACTCGGGATCTCCAGCAATACGTAGGGTACGAAGAAGATGACCAGCGCGGTGTTGTATTCGTTGCCTTTGAGATTGAGTTCCTTTGAAAGGCCGAAGACGTTCGCATTGGCGATGTTCTATGGTTCAAACATTAGCCATTCTCCAGCAATAGCGTATCCGCGGTGTTGACACGAGCACTCACCACCCGATCCAGGAAAGCCAGCAAGTAGAGGATACACAAGAATGGCACTACATGCCAATCGATGCGCATCACCAGTTTCCGCTCCGTCGTATGGGATGGACACGGCACATGAAGGTCCTCATCGTATGCGTCCGTCTGGTACGGCACGTTCGTAGCTCCATGGTGATCCTGGATGTGTTCATCATCCAGTGAGGAAGGCGGCGATGCCTTCTCGCTATTCCAGAGTAGCTTCATCTTCGCCTGATGATGGAAAGAAAAGAGGTGAAGGAGAGGGAAGGAAATGAAATGTCTCACCGCGCAGCAGTGGTGACACCACCGGCTGAAGGACTTGTAGATTACCACTCGGCAAGAGTGAAGGTACTCACGGTGTGTGCCGTGTATGCCCTCAGCACCTTCCTCCGACTCGCCCAATCATCTGCAAAGCGCCAGTCGAAGTTTGCCCTTTCCCTCTCTCCCGCGTGAGGTTCTGCATCTCCACACCGGGGTCTCCAATTGGCCGATCCGGGGGTCCCGGTGGTGGTCGTGATGACCAACCTGCAATACCAAACACGGGGACACGAGACAATGGAACTCGATCTTCACATGTGAGAAACCACTGCAACTCCTTCGCTGCAATTTGTTACAGTGCTCCGATAGCATAGGCAAGAGGCCACTTCTTCCGTGTGGCATGGTAGCACACCATACTGGACACGGATCGACTGGTCTCACGGCATAAGCGACACAAGCTTGTCAGCACATCGTATGCTTACCGAAAATAGCCACGAAGCACGAGGTTGGAACCGCGGCGGAGCAGACGGAAGAAGCGGAAAGTCCTCGAATATCACGACTTTTGAATTCGAAGTAACGCCAGCTTTTCTGATGCCAGAGTCGCATCGGCCATCAAGCGGCATAGTAATACAGAAGCAATCCGAGAAAGCACTCGCTCAGGTTGTAGGTCCCAGGTACTTTATCCACAGAATCTCATCATCGCCGTATCACCAACATCAAAATCATAATCTCGGGTTTCCGCGCTCGACTCTGCCGCTTCGGACAGTATCAAGTTCACCGTCACGGGGACTCGATCTTCTGGCGGTATGTGGGCTTCGATGTCTTGGCCGTGTTCTGGACAGATTCAACCCCATGGACATCCACCATTCCTCGGGTACGTCGTCGCGCGCCGCTAGCCTTTCCACGATACGGCGCATGGAATCGAGCTCCTGGACATCGCCACTCAGCAGCGCATCCGATACTTCGCGCTCGCTTCGCTGGCTCGGCGGACTGACGGGATGAGGCTCAGGTCCGTCTCGAGATGTGAAAGTGTTCACATCAGGGTGCGAGTTAAGGGGTTCGTACTGTGGCGGCGGCGAAGTCGAGCGCGGTCGCAGCGTGTCTGCCCCAAACCGGCGGAAGTAGTCGTGAACTTGACTCCTCGTCTCCTCAATCACATCGCGAGTCTCTTGACTGTATCGGTCTGGGCGAGGTCTTGGTGGCTCGGGACTGTCTTCAACTCGAGCTGACCGTCGTAGACGTCGATTCCGAACCCGCCTGCTTGCTGCGAGCATGTCTTCAAAATGCTGGACATTCTCCGGCGCGGTATGACGAATCTGCAGGATGCGTTCGCGGCCTTCGTCGGTCTCTAATGCCTCCTCGATAAGCCTGAAGCCAATGTCCACCAGCGCAGGTTCGGCTGCGAGAGCAAACCGGTTGCCCTCTTCGTCGCGCAAGCGTTGATGAGCTGCGATCCTGGATCGACCCTCGGAAGTGCGCATTTCATGATAATACATGTCTTGCGCAAATGCCTCCGTACTAAACATATCCTCATCCGTGCATACCAAGTCGTCCGGATCCACTGAAGAAGCTGAATCGCTCTGCTCCGCGCCATTATCCGTTTCGCGACGACTGCTGCTATTCACGCTCAGGCCGTCTGGCTCTGTGATCTGCGTGGAATTGCTCGAAGCATTGAAAGATTGGCTCGCCGCTGTGCTGGCAAAGCTGCTCTCCGCACTGGGCAATGTTTCGTCTGGTGTGATGGTAATAGTCCAGCCGTCCCCTGGGCTTGGACTGCGATTTCTATCCCCCAGACCGTCGACTGGAGATTCTGCGCGCCAAGTATTGCTGAGAGGATGTGATCGCCGCCGGGTTGGCATATCGCGATCTCCGTCGTCCGGGCCCGATGTCTCCAGCGGCGGCGTTGGAAGCGCACTTCGTCTCGAAGAGGATGATTCATTGCGCGAATGGGGACGGTTTCTTCTATGAATAGGCTCTGGGGAGCGAATTATACGCAATGGCTCTCCGGGATTGAGAATGATCGTGTGCATGGGTACACTGGGATCGTTCCTATCTGCAGGAGGCGTTGGCGAGCGTCGTAACCCATCTGCAGAGTCCTCCAGAGCCTCGTTCTCGCGTCTGATTCGATCGCGCTGGCGCTGCAGGGCGTCTCTGCGATTGCGCAACTCGGCGAGATTACGCCGGGCGTCTCGTATCTCTCTAGACTCCCAGCGGCCATGAGGCTGTCGACGTCCTCCTCGCTCTTCTTCCTCGTCTGTCATGGTCAGGTCGACCACATAGTTATGCGACTCTGGGACGGGTGGCGGAGGAAGGCCATCCCTGTTCCTGTTGGCTGCTTCGAGGAGGCTCGAGATGGGCGGTACGCCTCTGTCTTCTGTGCGCCGGGGCTCGCGCAGCCCATTGAAGCCTGAGGATGGCGGCGGAGAGCGTTGGAATCGCGGCGGGATGAGCGAAGGGTCGCGTGGTAGGCGCGTACGGATTGTGCGGCGGCCATGAACCGACGGCCGCCTACGGATAGAAGACCGCAGGGCAGCGGTCGCATCTACTTTGACGACATTTCTGGCGGATTTCTTCTCTTCTGGATCGCGCCAGATGCTTTGGCGCACGTCGCGTTAGCCTGGAGTTACGATGTGGCTCGTTCGCGATGCTCGCGCAGCGCAGGCCACGCGCCAGGCGGGGCCGAACGAGATGTTTGGCGGACATGACTTACGGGAGCCCCATGGCGAAGGAGGAGGGGGAAAATGTAGAGAGGTGCAGTCGGCGCCGGCACGCGACCGCGATGAGGGGAGAATAATGGGGTGTTGTCGTGTCGCGTTTGTGGAGATGCTCAGCCTGGCAAGGCAACGCAGCGGGTGAAAGTGAATGTTTCCCGTGAGCCTCCACTGCAGCCAGCCTCCAGCCGCCGGGCCAGTCCGCAGTCCGCGGGTAGAGTGCACGTGCCCCTGTCTGTGTACAGTACAGTACCACCGTTTTATTTAGAGCTTCTCTACTCTGTTATTAGAAATCCTCCACCCACACTACTTCAATTCTCTCCCTGGTTCAGACTAGGTGGACCCAACTCGATCCGAGGCACCATGCACCCCCTCCGCCAGTTGGTGGTGAGAGGAGAGTCCACGACAGTGACAGTACCAGTGCCAGTGCCAGTGCCAGTACCAGTACCGACATGACGGACCCCGGAGACAGACCACAGACCGCACGGTGCACTTCCTCCACAGCCAAGCCCCCAACTTCGCATTCCCTTGTGACGGGAATACCACCACAAAATGATGAGACTCGGCCTGGAGAGGGCACAGCATCTGTTGGCGCACACCGCCATGCCATGGAATCCAATTCACGTGGCTGGCACAAATGGAAAAGGCTCCGTCTGCGCGTACATATCCGAGATGCTCAACATCTACAATCGCTCCGAGTACCGAAAGAAGACCGGGCAGACGATCATCAAGCATGGAAGATTCACAAGCCCACACCTGATTGACCGATGGGATTGCGTCTCCCTGAGTAACCCGGAACGGGATCATTGCGAGATGCGGACTGTAAGCCAAACAATGTTTGAAGAACTAGATAAGAAGGTGCTGCTCCGAGATCGCTCCCAAAGAATCAATGCCACTGAATTTGAGCTCCTGACCGCCACAGCTTTCAGCTGCTTTTCCCGAGCTGGGCTGGACATTGCAGTGGTCGAGACTGGTATGGGTGGTCGACTGGACGCTACCAATATCATCGGCCGGCGAAAGAAAGCAACATCCGAACTTCGCTTACGCCGAATGCCACTCGTCACGACCATTACCAAGATCGGAATGGATCACCAAGCTTTCTTAGGAGACACCATTTCAGCAATCGCTCGCGAGAAAGCGGGAATCTTGAAGGCCCAGGTACCGGTGGTTTACGATGCCTCGAATCCCGATGAGGCTATCAGAGTCATCATCAAAACAGCCCAAAGAGCCCGCTGCAAGCACATCATTCCAGCTGGAGACCGAGTGATGGTAAAACATCACAGACGGCAAAATACCGCCATAGCATTCGAGTCGACATACAGAGCGCTGGTAGGGCTTGGGCGCATACCAGAGTTGCTAGAGGAGCATATCGAAGAGCATGACGAGCTCGTGGAGCGAATGAAAGAAGTGTACCAGCATGTCCGCTTCCCGGGACGGCTGGAATATGTCGACATTGGACCCCTGGTGGGAGGAAAGCATGAGGTGCTCCTAGACGGCGCACACAACGCCCAATCCGCAGAAGTCCTCGCCGGAGAGGTCGACGGTCTAGTGCGAGTGGTACACTCGGCGAGATCCAAAAACATCACCTGGGTTCTAGCTGCATCAGACGGCAAAGACATCGCCTCAATCCTGAGCATCATCATCCGACCCGGGGATAGCGTCTTCGCCGTAGAATTCGGCCCCGTCGCCGGCATGCCCTGGGTCCAACCCATGAAAGCCTCCACGATCCTGTCCCACCTCCAAACCAGCGAATCCCCCCCCTCTCCAGGTCAGATACAAGAAGACTGCGGCGACTCCCTCACGGCCGGAATTCAAAAAGCCGCGGCGCATAGCCGCGAAACAGGCAACGGCATGGTCATGGCAGGAAGCCTCTACCTCGTCGGCGACGTCCATCGCCTCCTCAGGAACGCAAAGGAATAATTATGAGCCGGAACATATCTGTACTTTCTTAATACTCTCTGCTCAAGTAAGACCCCCCACCGGGCCAAGCGTCAGCACAGACCACAGTCATCCCAGAACCGAATGCCCGGGTTTGACCATCAGCAGCAGCCTAGCGGATCCACAGATGTGCACCGAACCTTCCACTTCCACTTCCACTTCCACAAGCGTCCCCCCTGTGATGAAAGGGACTGAGACGAAAAAAGGCCCTTCTTATTATACCTACCTACCCCGTAGTAGAATGAACTCTCGCTATTCGAAACAAGAAGATCGGAAACGGGAAAAAACTGCTTCCCTACTACAGATTGAGTTCAGCTTTAGACCCTCGTCACCTAGTGCCGTCGTACGAAAAAAGAAATATAGCCTGGCTTTTGTTTCGAATGGCAAAGACCCGAGCGAGCGGCTGGCTTGCTCTTTTTCCGGAGGAGAAGAGGGAATCCGGAAAACATGACCCGTTCCCCCGGTTGTCCAAATCCAGACACCTCATCAAACTTTGACCATCTCCAAAAGATCCAAGTAAAGTGATGATAAGATCCAAGATCCATAGATGATTATTTCAATACTAGGTATCATACTCATACAACATACATACCTACTTCTTTCGACCAACAACAACAACAACAACAACAACAACAACAACAAAGACTCTACTCTAACTCTACTCTACTCTACCTAGTAACCTTTTCTCGCTCTCTCCCGTCTGCTCTTCGTTTCGTTTCTTTCCCCATCCTCTTACTCACTCACTCACTCACTCTCTCACCCACCCGCCTCAATCAATCAATCAATCAATCAATCAATCAATCAACCAACCAATCAATCAATCAAATCGACACCACAAAAATACATCTACATCTACACAATACCTACCTTACCTTAGTAGTAATTAATAGGAAGACTACTGCCAAGAGTGAGAAATACCAGACAGACAGACAGACAGACAGACAGGACAGACGGACAAGACTCCTCTCTCTCTCTTTCCATCTATCTATCGTCGGTCGTCGGCCGTATCGCCCTGGATCTGATCTGATCTGTGATCTGGGAAAACAATCCCTCTCCAAATCGGACTGACTGACTGGCCTCCCCCCCCTCCCCCCAAAAAAAAAACAACAACAACACAACACACATCATATCAAAAGATATAAAAGCCATCCATCCATCTCTGCTTTCCCTACCCACCCATCCTTTCTCTCTCTCTCTCTCTCTCTCTCTCTCTCTCTCTCTCTCTGTGTGTGTGTGTGTGTGTGTGTGCCCTCCTCTATCGTCGTGTTTGAATCAATCCAAAAACAAAAAAGTTATATGCTGATGATATAACAAAACCCCACAGTACCCGCCCGTGATGCTTCGCAATGTTGATCCCTTGGATGATGCACCTCGAATTGCGCCTTCGCTTTCGCTTTCGCTTTGCCCTTTGCCCTTTGCCCTTTGCTCCCATGCTCCCAAAAGATGCATATACAGTTAAGTTGTGGAGGGGAAAAATTTCCGAGTGAGTAGGGCTTTTCCCTCTTGCCCAACCCCCCAAAAATGCCCCTACCGTCTAATACGCCACTGGTACTCCCTCGAAAAGATGAAATTCTGTCCGTTCGCCCGGCACGGATGATGATGATGATGATGATGATGATGATGATGTTGATGATGCTGCTGACGCTGATGCTGCTGCTGGCGAGCCTTCCCCACAGCCCACTCATACTCTGATAAGTCTTCACGCAGCCGTTCTAAGGCTCCGCACTCTGGGAACTCAATCCCAACATGCTCGCGACAGGTTTCCGCTTCGTGCGTGCCTGCTGCAATCTTGGCGCTCCCTGTATGCTCCTCGGCTCCTTCATGAGCGTGGAGTCCAACTTTGCAGGAGTCCTCCCCGCCTCTGTCCTTACGTCTCCCGGGAACCGACTGCCAGGAGGCGTAGCAGCCGCTGATCGCCACAGATGGTCCGAGGTATCCGACAGGAAATGGGTGTTGGACTTGTTGAAGAAGGACGTTCGTCCTCTGTTGCGCTTCGAGAGGATGATCTCGTCAAATAGCTTGATCGACGGGTCTTCGGCGCGGCTGGACTCCCGGTCGTGAATGAATTCGTTAAAAGCTTGCGTCTGTCGCAGCATGTTCATGTATTCGCTGTCGCCATGTGGAACGCTTCGGAGGAACTGTTCCATGTTGAAGTGATAGGTCAAGCCCTGCTTCTTGCGCTCGCCCGAAGCGGGGTGCATATAGCGACGATAAGTGTAGAAGAGAGATGCGAAGCAGCGGACGAATGCTGCTCTCACCTGGTCTGCTCGGAAAGCCATTGGGCACACGACGCAAACCGTCGGTGCGCAGTGGGCGTGGATGGTAATGCCACAGCCTAGATTTCGTCAGTGAAAGAAGTCAGTGAGGCTGACTTGTAAGACATACCGTTGCATCTGAACACATCCGCATCGCACTTGTCGTCGCAGACAGAACAGTAGACCTTGCCGTCACCGGCGCGGCGTTGCAAGCAGTGGCCTTCCACCCATTTGGTGGCTTCGTTATCGCGCACAGGCTGGATGGTGGGCGTTTGCATGATTGTACTCGCCGCCATTGTGCTGGCTGCATATACACTCGGGGCATAATTCGAAGGTGCTCCGAGTGTAGAAGTCGACATGCTTGGATGGTGGCCAAATGTCGGTGCACTAGGCCGTCGGATTGTACTGAGCTGGTCCTCAGTGTTAGTCTTGTCCTGGAGCGGATGCCGAGCATTAAAGAGGGAAGTTACAGCAGAATTGCGCCTGGCGAGGCCATTTTGAAAATGGCCAGAACGCTTCTCGCGGAGTGAGGCCTGGAGCGCAAAGCCTGAGTCGTTCCGAGACTCTCCTGAGCCCGGGAAGCTGCTGGAGATTGGTGACGTTGCCGTAGTGGGCGACGGTGGTGAGGCTCCTGATGATTGGCTCGTCGCTCCAGTGCTGGTCGAGCTGGTTGATGGCCTGTCGCTCCCCCTGGTCGCGTCTGGCCGCTGCGACAAGAAAGCGTTGAACACGGTTTGCCGCGACAGGGCGGGCAGGCCGGAGACGTCCCCGAACGTTGTCGAGCTCTCACTGACGTAGTTGGCGATAGTCGATGGCACCGCTCTGGGGTTGAAGACCTGCGGATTCTCAGAAGAGAAAGCATCGCAAGGGAACGTCTCGATGGCATATGCAGGAGGTCCGACCGGGACGCCGAATCGTGTGTGGTGCGGAGCCGCTGCTTGCAGGAGAGCGTGAAGCTTCCTCCTTTGGGGCCGAGGCAGCATGGTGGGTGGCTCGGTGCTTTCAATGGTGTTCAGGTCCAGATCCACCAGGCAGAAGTCATCGTCAGGAAGCTCCAACTTTTCGTACCTCCGCTCCACGCCCGCTATGTAAGGACAGGGCGCCTCGAGCGCCTGGATGAGACGGTACGGCAGCACTGGGATCAACACGCCAGCCCACTTCAGCGGGTAGAGTAGGCTTGTCAATGCAGCACAGGCCAGCTGCAGCATCGCTGTGTGCGACGAAAGCAGGATGATCCGCGACTCAGCCAGAGCGTACTCAAACAAGGTGATGATGTTTGGAACCGTCAGGCACCGGAAGAGTGCGTACAGATCCGTGTTTCGTGAGCCAGGGATCTCGTTGATCGCCTCTTTCCGCGCATACAATCGGAGGTCCCGAATCGCAACCTCAACCTGGGTTATCGATGTGATCGGGCTCAGTGCTTCAATGCATAGGTTGCACACATATCGCTCCAATGGCTGCCACAGTCCAACCTTGGGCGAACTGGCCGGTACACGCAGCACCGCCCCGTTCAGCATGGGCACCGTGATAGCTTTCAGCCACTCCTTCCAAAAGCTGGTCAAGCTCGCGTCCCTTCCCAAAATGCCGTATGCACGAGGTATCCAGAATCCACTATCGCCTTCTGTCAGGCCATCAATTTTCGATGCAGCACCGTGCCGTACCGGTCGTAGTAAATCTGTCATTAGGGCAATCTTCTCCTCGACCGTGCTAATCTCCTCTTCCAACTTCTCTCGCTCGTCAGATCCAGATGCAACACCAGGCAATTCAGCAAGCAGCCTGCTCAGCTTCGCTCGCTCGTTGGACAACCGTTCGCCGAGACTGCTGGCCAGCTCGCGCTCCTCTTCGCTCATGTTTGCTCTTCTCCACTCCTCGCACTGTCTTTCCAACGCATCCGATGCTGCATCATGAAGCGGCACCCATAAAGTCACCACCACACCATAAAGCTTGCTATTATCCGAGTTGGTCATGGCAAAGCCGTGCCACGTCGATCTGGGCCGTTCGTCCAAGGAAACCACCGACACATCATTCGGAAATGCGAACATGGGGACATAGTCCGGAAAGGGTGTCCTCCGTTTGGACTCATCGACCATCGTCTTTGTAGGATACCGATCAAGAAGTACTGGCTCATACCTCCGTTTGAGAGGGTGCATATCGGGCGTTGTCTGAAACGGCTGAGGCGCCGGGATGACACTGTTGTATCCACTCAACCTCTTCGACTGCCGTGCCGTGCGTGTCGAGGAAGCTCTCTTCATGCTGTTCATCGTAGACAACCTTCTGCGCAGACTGCCAACACCCCTCTGGATCCCATTGACGCTCGAGGCGCCAGGATCATCCTGCCCATGAATTCGGACCGTCTTTGGCCGTGTTCTCTTCTGCGGATTCTGCTGAGTGACTGTGCCAGCGGAGACATGAATGTCCTCGAGAAAACTGTCCCTCTCCGAAGCGAACTTCTTAAGCGCCTCTTCGAAAGCATCATCGTCCCCCAACAGGCCCTCGTTGACCTGCACGGCCCTGATTGTTGTGCTGCTGCGATTGCTCGAAGGTATCTTCTCATCCACCGAGTTGATCATACTGCCGACGCTCTTTCTGGCCTCGAAGCTATACCGGGACCTCCTGTTGACGGTGTCGGTGGGCGAACCGGGTGTCGTGGGACGGGTGTTGTGTATGCTGTCAATCTCCAGCTCCCGATCCTCGTCAATGGTGTCCTCGACCGGCTGGGCAGCGGGTGGGGCGGGCGAGAGTCTCTCATCGTACACCTGCGACGACTCGATTCCGGCAATGAAGAAGTAGTCGGCAAGCGGCGCGGAGGTGTCGCCGGTAGATGGAGGGCTGGAGGCATTTTTACTCTTTTTGGCGGGAGCCATGGAGCGAGGAGGAGGAGTAGCCAGGTAGATTAGGCGGAGTTACTCAAGGAATGGACGTGCTGGTGGTGCACGGGTTAGCGTGAGTGTTGGTCTGGGCAGAAGGGCGCTCTACTCACGCATCCGCCCAAGGGGAGAGAGAGGTGTGGTAGGCAGAAGGTTGGGCCAAGTCAGAATCTGCTCGAGTGCGCGTTTGGGGCTGCATATGATGTCGGTAGTGGCACAGCAGCTGGGCGCAACAGGTGCCAGTCGATGTATGGCAATGTCAATGTCAATGCGTGCACCCGGAGCGGTTATGAGCGCGGCGAAGGATGAAATGGCGGGCGGTGTCACGTCAACGGGTTTGGGTGAGGTGGTCGTGGGAGCGCGTATCCGTCCTCGTGGGCCGTGGGCCGTGTGCCTTTGTGTAATATGTGTATCTTGGATTTTTCGTTTCGGGTGGTGCCCGTGTGGTAGGTTTGGCTGGGGGAGGAAAGATTTGGGACGCGCACGGAGTGGATGTTCCGGCTTCTGCGCTTTCTATGCGCGGCAACCGGGAAGCAACGCGCTGCGCTGCACGGCACTGTGGACGCACGCCGGTCGTCTGGATGTTGGGCCGTGGTGTGGTCCGGGTCCTCTGGCACAGGCACAGCGTAACGAAGAGACGCGGGCGTTTGGTGATTATTTTCCGTCTCCGCCGGCCGCAGAGTCGAGGGGGCTTGATTATTAGAGGCGTAATGGCAGTGGTACGGCGGCGGGTGGTGCGGAGGGGAGAGGAGGAGAGGGAAGGGAACTGTAGTGTTGGAGGAGACGAAGGTGAGGTGTAATGGCGACGACGAGGTGGGCGGAGATGGATGTGATGTGGTGCATGTGCAAGGCAGGGCAGGGTGTTGACTGATGGATTCTTCTCCACCACATGTTTGCCGCTGGCTGACGAGGCCGGTCCCTGCTGTGCCTGCGCCGTGCAGGGGAATGCGAACCGTGCGAACGGAGCGAACATCTCTCTCTAGGTAGCTGTGGTAGTATAGAGGAAGCTAGTCAGGTCAGGCATCCACACCACCCACCACCCACCACCCACCACCCACCACCTGCACACCTGCAACACCTGCACAATACAATCCAGTCCAGTCCAATACTACAATCACAGACGACCTCTCGGCGGTAGGTATGTGGTAGTGCCGACGGGTGTACAGTACCCTCCGGATGTATCTATCCCGTCTCCCTCCTGTGCCTCCCCGATCGAATCCAATCCAATCCAATCCAATCCAATCGAGCGAAGCGAAGCGAAGCGAATCCAACCACACAACCTGCCTGCCTGCCCAGCAACAATTCTCCTCTCAACCTCATATCTGCACCACGAGCCCGTCGATGGATGACACGCCCGCCACCGCTGTACCTGCATCTGCATCTTCTGCACTCCTGCACTCCTGCACCCGCGTCAACAATCATGCACGTCACCACCGTCAAGGCGAGTCAGACCTGTGAGACCGTGAAACCTCCCACATACCATTTTCGCTCGCTGCACGCCCGCCTGGCACCGATCGGGATCGTCTCTGACTCGCGGCGCATACCCGATCCGTGCCCCCGTCGTCCCTCCTTCTCTACCTTCTCTAAAACATCTTCAGGGTCGAGGGTCTCCCAAGCAAGCGCCGGCTCGACGGGAGATACGGCATCGTGTAACCTCAGCGCTTAGCACGCCTCACATCACATCACTCGCCTCTCTCTCTCTCTCTCTCTCTCTCTCTCTCTCTCTCTCTTGTCGAATCGGGAGAAACATCTGCCATCTCAGTAAACTCGGCCAAGGACTTGTTAAGATGGGGCGCCAGTGTGCAGTCCGTGTCGCCTCGGATCACAGATACACTTTTACGTGTCCTTCCGTCCAACACGCTAGGGTCCGCTGAACCGGCAGGCATCATCCCAACCCTCGTGGTCCTCCTGCCCTAACCCCTGTTCCCAGCGTCCAGGGAAGCCGCTTGGCCCGCCGCTTGCCGTTTCACCCTTCAACGCGCCGCAGCACCACGCTAACCACCCTCAAACACCCACCCTTTTACCCTCTCTCCTGTTCCATCCAACAACACCCGTGTAGCACAAGACCATCATCGCAAGAATAGATGAGCATCTACTACCGGTACAGATCTGGCATCCACGAAACGCCGGGTCCCGGGAAATCCTCATTCGTCTTCTCCACTACTCTCGGACCAACACACTTATCTTCTCACAACAAGATCGCACAGATTCACTTTCGACGCGACTGGGCGGACATGAACATTCCTCGTTCACATCAGTCCTATTATGCTTATCTCGTCCGAATTATGAGCATGATTACGTCAACCACCATCCTTGGCTCTAAAAGAGAGCTATCTATCAATTAAGACGCCCAGAGAATGTGCAGCCAAAACCTCTCGCGCATCTTGCCTCTCAATCATGATCCTAGGACATCAGACTACCGGAAGACTGCTGAAACTTACCACGCGCCAAAACTTTCTCTCCCAAGCACTCGACACGACAACAAATGCCCGCGCTGCTTGATGAGGGATCATCGTCTGTGAAACCAGTGACTTTTCCGAGCAGATTGTTGAATGGTACATCTCACTCCAGCAGATTGCACGACCCAACTCCCTCACGCTCGGCACTTGGGCGACCACGTTGTTGGAACTTCAACGGTCATGGAAATGAACCCCTGCCTCGTATGACCGTTTCCGGGCGTTGCGGAAGGCCCCGGGACTCTGTGAGAACCCATTCGAGCATTCCCTCGCCTTCGACGGCTTCTGCAGCTCGGCATCGTGTTCACACCTCCAAACATTCACAGCAACACTTCCCATGGTGAGTAATGCCATCGTGACCCAGCCAGCAACACCGCTTGCCATCGTGGTCCAAGTCAACGACGCCGCTACGTCCTCGTCATCGCCCTCTGCTCGATAACCATCCCGTCGTCAGATTTCCCTTTTCGCCCATCGCACTCCTCCAGTCAATGTCCAACTGTCCAAGCGGTACCCTCCCACCACCCTCGTCCGACTTCTCCACCTCTTCAAGCACAAACATGACCTGCTCCACATCCTGCGGTTTCAACACAACCGCCTCCCTCCCTTCCTCCCCCTGCATATCCTCACTCCTGATCCCCTCCTTCTCTCTCAACCCAACCCGTTCCAACACCACCGACGCCTCCCCCACATTCTCCAACTGTGCTTCCAAGATCCACCGCCGCGCGGAAACCCCCGTCTCCCTCTTCGACTCCGTGATCTTCGACCGTACAGCCAACAACTGCTGCGAGACAAACTGATACAATTTCCTAAACGTCCTCGCGCGCCCCGCCGTCGCCGCTTCCCCGGTACTCGTATGCAGCGTTTCGGTATACGTGACCGTCACCGCCAAGACGTGAGGTCCCTCATCTTTCAATTCATACCTCAGAGTGCGTTGGAGGGTATTCCCCGGAAGCAATGGATTCCCGTCTTCGAGATCGCCCTCGGAGCTCTTCTCGAGCTGCAATTGGTGCCCGTCGGGCTTGCTGGGTGTCTGCAGTTCGGCGGTGATCTTCACGGACGTGATGCTCTTGCGGTGCGTGGCCGTGTCCGGGGAGAGTTCGTTGTTGGCGCAGAGGGTGCAGGTGAACGTCTCCCCGACGTACGCGGCTCCGAAGGCGGCGGGCAGGGTGAGGAGGGGCGTGAGCGGGAAGCCGGATTTCGGGTCCCCGTTTGGGGAGGCGAGGCCCGCGGAGGGTGGGATGTCGATGGAGGAGTTGTTGGCGAAGTTGGTTGGAGGGAGGGGGGTTTGGGATGCGAGCGAGGGGCGGGAGAGGCGGAGGACTTTGAGAGAGACGGCATGGGGTCCGCTTAGGGTGCCGCTGCGGGTTCGTGTGTGCGTGGCCATGAGAATAATGTGTAGTGGTGGGGGGAGGTCATGGTTTCGTGGTGAGGTCTGAGGTGTGGTCTGTGGAAACGGACGGGAGGATGGTCGAGACGACGGCATCTGTGTGATGAGGTGTGCCCATGCCCCATATTTCGGCAAGTTCGGGACCCTGATGGTGTGGGGCTAGCGCGACCAACCAATCTCGTACATGGAACTTGGAAGTCTTTCGTGAGCTATAAGGTATAAGGTAGCATCCTCTAGTAAAATCTCAATATTGCTGTCACGAAGAACAGCCAGGCAACTCACGTCTTTGCAGAGCATCCTCTCAGTCAGCGTGTCAAACAGCACTGCATCGAACACGTTCGCCTCCTCCCAAAGCTGGGTACGACTTGGTTGCTTGAGCTGGCCATCGCCTGGGTGGAAAGAGAAGAGTAGCACAGGCTACTTATTCTCAACAGGGCACGACAGTTCTCAAGAGCCTCCGTACAAACCACACGGATCGCAATCAGCGTACCCGCCATGACAGTTGCCAGGGCTCGCAGGTCCTCAATCCTCCTCCCCCTCCTCCTCCACGCCAATCCCAATCCCAATCCTCCCCAACACCTCCTCCGCCCCCTCCTCCTCCTCCCCCTCAACTCCCCCCCTCTCAACATCCTCAAAAGTCAACGCATCCCCATAAGAAATACACAACTCCTCCCCCACCGCAACATCCCTCAAAGCCCAATAGAAAATCACTCCGCGCTCCAAATCCCGCTTCCAGCCTACATTCTGCTGCGATTTCGAGTGATTGAACATGGAGCCGAGGCCGAAGACGATGGCTTGGGTTTGCGTAGTGGGAGTTTTCGGAAGTTGTGTATCTTCTGTTCGTGGTGATGAGGATGATGATGATGATGTGGATGCGGCGGCTAAGGGCCAGTTGTAGGTATAATGGTATAATTCCGTCTTCTCGATGTGGGTTTTATTTTCGGTGGGGGAGAGGATCAGCACGGGGGAGATGTCGATTGTGGTTCCCGAGGGGATGGGTTGGCTGGCGAAGACTCCGCGTCCTGGTCGGACGGAGTTTTAGTTCATGTGTTGTGTGCGTGTGTGTATGTATGTATGTGTGCTTTTTTTTTGTTACTCTTGGCATGTGATAGAGATGCTTGTGCTTGTGCTTTGTGCGACGGAGTTGAGTGAATGATATTTCACCTACCTTTGGGGGTATTTTTCACCAGGCGGAGATGCGGGAAACGCTGCAGTGGGAGGTGATCGACGACAGGAGACATTGTCTCCTTCAGAGATGTCATGTGTCGTTCCAGGGTCGATGAGATGTGTAGGTTCATAATCTGACCAAAGGACGGCCTCAGATTTTCAAGTCGTGCGCTCGGAAAGCCCCACTTTAGAAGCTCGACGACGACCTCACACTGCTCGCAAGACGCCAATCGATTCAGATGTGGTGCAGAAAAGAATATGCAAATGTAGCAAATGGGAAGAGTAAAAGCCTCTCGTACTCAATAGCAGCGATCCTGTCTATTCCGATGCTCTTCGGCCGAATTCTCTTGCGAAAAGAAAGTTCCAGCTGCACACATCCATCCTGTTCTCGCTGGATGGAAATGTAGACATCAGGCGTTCACTCCGCAAGAACACGTCCATATTTAATACAACCACCAACTCGCAGGCGAGAAAGAAAAGATAAGGAACCAACAGCAGTGTCGCTTTCATGTCATCGTCAATCGCGTTTTCCTTGACCAGCTTCGGGCTCTACTCATGTTGCGCCGTCGTCTTCCTCATCGTCCTCGCCCTCGCTCAAACGCCTCTCAGGAACGTCATGCAGAATACAACTGCCTCCCAGCTGTTGCGAACATAGACCTACTCCACTCTCGTCGCTTCGCCGACTTGCAGCGTCGCGCAAATCGGCTTCAGTCTCGGCATCCGCATCGATGGGCGGGAGCGATCCAGTCGTTCCAGGCCTTGGTGGCAATGGTTGCAAAAAATCCTAGTCTTTACTTCCGACACCGTTGAGCTGTTCAGGTACCTTGGTCTCCTCTTCGGCCCTCTCTTGCGCATCATTCCGGAGGTCATACGCAAGCTCGAAGCACTCTGCTAGCAACGCCGACACAGAAGATTGTCCTTCAGGGATGTCGTTACCAACCATGAATTTGCCGTCTTTTCTCATGTTGTCAATCGAGTTGAGTTTCATACTATAAGGATACAATTCCCGCGGGCTGTCGACGCCTCCCGACTTCTTGACTTCGACTAAGCATCGCTTCAACGTGAGAAGCTGATTGTAGATGGGCATCAGCGCTTCGGAGACCGGCTCGGAGGATGTGATGTATTGATAGATGAAGGCGTAGCTCTTGCGCAAGAGGTAGAGAAGCGTTCGCTGGGCATGGAGGTCCGCCGGCTTGCCTTCCGCATCCACAAAATTGCCATCGACCCGTGATTCATCCACCCGATCCAATTGCCGTTGGTAGTCGTAGAGATCAGTTTCCCGCAGTGACCAGGCTTGTGTGAGGTTCATTTGGTCGAGTACGTCTCTTGTCTTCTTAAGCTTGACGAAAGTCTCTTGGAATCGAGGATCGATCTTGCCCTGATTCTCTTCTATGATCTCCACCCAAAGAAGGCACCTCGCCAGTAACGACTTGACGACAACCTCGGGAGGCTGGACACATGTCTCGCAGATGTTGACCATTCGGAGACGCTCAGCATATACCGCTTCAGCACTCTTTCCGTCGTGCGCATCGCGGTTCTCGTGTAGTTCGTTCGAGATCTCAATGAGCTGCTTCTCGAAGTCCTTAACCTCCTTGACCGGGAACTGCGAAAGTCAGCACAACAATCACAACATGTTCTCTTGATCATACGTACCTTACTCCGGCAATTGCAAGCCGAAAGCGATCGCAATATCGAAACCAACTTCTCGTACATCCGCATGTAATTACCCTCCAGCCTCTCGATGTGCGCTTCCAGTTCTCTGAGAGTAGTCTTGCACACCTCGATCCTCGCCTTTAGCAGAGGGATCAGATGCTCTGAATGTTCCTCCTCCTGCCTATCGATCGTACCTTCCCACTTCTGAATATGCTCACTGATGCTCTTCAAATCCGCAGGAAGATAGAATCCGGCTTCTTTCAGATGATCCAATAAGCGCTTCGTCGTGCTCACTGCCGCATATATGCCGGGCGCTTCTCTGTTCCGACCGATAGTGAGGAAGAAGAGCGATATGAGACGGAAGCAGTCATCGAGAACGGTATCGACGCGATTCTGTTCGTCGCGTTTGCTTTCGCGGACCTTGTTGAGAAATTCGACTTGTTCAATGAGCTGCTTGTAGTATTTCACTACATCTTGCGACCTAACGTAGGTGCTGCGATCTTGTTTCAGCAGAGAAAGATGATCCCGGATGACGAGAATGCGGTCCAAGATGGGTTGTTCTTCTTTGGGCAGAGGCGAGCGTTGCCAGGGCGAATCGAGGCCGGAGGCCATGGCAGGGTTGGTCAGATCCTGTCGATGTTCTCTTGTCTTCAAAAGATGGTCCTATGGCGATGTGTGGTGTCGTGCTTGGGTGTCTTGTGCGTGGTTGTACAGAAAGGAGATGCGATATCCGGTCACTCGGTTATGCAAGCACCACCGCACCACCACGACGTCATACCCTTGCTCTCATCACGTGTGGACTTGCGGGGTCGAAAGTCTTCCATGCTGCCTCAGGCCACAAGAGCACGGTTTGTGCCGAAAACTCTTGGCAGCAAAAATTCCGGGGCGCACTGTTGGCATTACCGCACCTCGTTCTCCTACCAACAAGACAACCACAAAAGACGAGAAGAAGTCTTTCACGGCAGCAGAACGTGTTAGCATCTCATCACCCACCCAATCACCAAGTCGTCAATTCAGCAAAAATGTCCACCGCCGAGCTCGCCTCTGCCTACGCGGCCCTCATCCTCGCCGACGATGGTGTTGAGATCACTGTACGATGCCCCCATCGCAAGCGCCATACGCAGGACGTCCAATTTGTGTCATGTTCCATTACTTATTCTCATCTCCTTTAGGCCGACAAGCTCCAGTCCCTCATCACCGCCGCCAAGGTCCCCGAAGTCGAGCCCATCTGGACCCAGCTCTTCGCCAAGGCCCTCGAGGGCAAGGACGTCAAGGAGATCCTGACCAACGTCGGCTCCGGCGGTGGCGCGGCTGCTGCTCCTGCTGCTGCTGGCGGTGCCGCTGCTGGAGGTGACGCCGCTGGCGCCCCTGCTGAGGAGGAGAAGAAGGAAGAGGGTAAGGCCTCGAATTCCGGGCAGGCAGAACATGCGCTAACTATGCGTGACAGAGAAGGAGGAGTCCGACGAGGACATGGGCTTCGGTCTCTTCGACTAAGCGCATCACATTCCGCGCAATCGGCAATCTGGCAACCGTCAAGATGGGAACGCTGCGGCGACGGTACTGCATCGCACGGTGCACATGAGGAGCGGGTTGAGATCCGGATCAAGTCAGTGTGCAAGCTGTGCATTCGGTCTGCATTCTTCGCTGCCCTTATAGTACAATTGCCTCGTCGCAATCAAGCGCAAGCCCAATCACGTTCGCCGCATATCCTCCCTGCTTCAGTTCCTCCCCCGCTGCACAAGTGTCAAGTCTGCCGTTTCTGTTCCCTCGTGCTGTCGTTACGTCGTGATGCGCCTCCAAGAGCGCTGTTGTTACAATGCAAATGCAAATGCGCGAACGGGTATCTTTCCTCCAGCCCGTTCGCCTTGCTCACCGATCGCGCCAGTTTCCGTCATGTTACAAAAGGTAAGCCCTTTCAATCCTCCTTGCGCCCTTTTTGACTCCCCCGCTATGCTCGCTCCTCTGCACTCCCCCGCTGCTGCTCCGGCTGCTCATAAGGTGAAACGTTTGTACATACCTCACGGAGAGATTCACTGCCTGCGCGGGTAGCTAGGAAGAGGCAAGATGTTGTCGTTTCTCTCTGCTGGCATACGGGGCCGTGTTTGGCCTTGCGGCAGATACTCTGGCGAGTGAAGTGCCGTTGTGGAAATTGGTGGGACAGTCGCTTGCACCGCCGGGCCAAGGGCAGCACCAAGAGGCGTTGCTGGAACTGGAGTGACTGGCCCAGAGACTGGGGCCACGGCCGTGTTAAGCGTCGGTGGGAAGCCGCCGTGAAGACTTGCCAAAGGTGGTGGTCTCGTTGATTGAGACGGTGGCTGCGAAGCAGTCCGGTTCGCGTCCTTGACCGCATACTGAAGCGGCTTCAAGGTGCGGCGGATGTTGCCGATATCGATGCGCTGGTTGGCAAGTTCGACTATTGCCGTGACAAAGTTTGTCCAATCCTGCGCGAACAAATTAAAATGAAAAAGTAGCAGCTGAGTTGTTCGACTTACCCTTCCAAAGCTCTCTGTCATCTGCGAGAATTCCTTCTGATAGCGAACGGCATCGCCGACCTTCATGGTCTTCAGCTTGACCTGGAGCTTGTTGTTGGTTGCAACCACGAAGTCGCACTTGTGAACTGCTTCAGCATAGTATCGCGAGGCATGCGACTGGCCACTGGCATCTGCGTGGGCCTTCCTGGAGGCGAGGTCTGCGCGGACTGGTGGAAGACTCTGCGAGGCGAGGTCACAGCAGCTCTTCAGCTTGAAATATACCCGGTCTGGGCCCTCGTCATGCTCTCCTTCGGTCGTTAGGCTGCGCATGGTATTGCTCCGGGAGGGAAAATTACTCTGCGATGGAAGGCTTGTGAATGAGTCGTTGGAGCGCGGAATTGCTGTAGTCATAGAGCCCATCGAAGTCATCGTATTAGTCCGGCTGCTACTATTTAACGGCACAGGTGGAGCCATGCCGCGGAGATTTGTGACGCTTCCAGAGCTCGGAATCACAGTGGGGCCTCTGCGTCTTACGCTGTTTGAGGGTTTGGGCTGTGTTGGCGTGACGGTGCGGCTGCTCCAGGCCTGCGAGGCACGAAGAGTATCTCGCGCCGATCTTGTGTTAATCTTGCAACCCAGCACCTCGCAAATGTTTCGCGACTCCATGATGGTGCTGAAGGCCATGTTCATGACGTAGCGAGCGTGGAAACTGTCGACCTCCTTGATGATGCGCTGGCTGTTCCGGGCCACTGCTCTGATCGCGAGGACGTACGATTTGAGTGCGGTGGTTGCAGTGCGGACGATGGAGGCCAGTAAGGCTGGGTTGAGTTCCGCGTTATCTTCGATGACACTGTTAGCGCCAGTAACCAGTCTGTCCAGCTCTTCGACGTGCGACTGCGCTATATAAAGTTGCCGCTCCAAGGCAGACTTCTTGGGTGGTCCTAGAGTGAGCTTTTGCACAATGTCCGACATTGGCCTGTGTAAGTAAAATAGCATGAAAAGCACACGCTTTACAGCCTTGGTCGATGTGATGGTTGGCAGTGTCGAGTTGCGGCCCTCTGGTAGACTTGCCAGCTGGCGTGACAAGCCAGTGCGACTGACGGCTCCTTCGACAGGACTGACAGCGGCTGAACTTTCGCCACCACTGCCAAGTTCGAGATAGTTGCAGTAGCTGGAGGTTACGCTGGGGGCGCGCGAGTGAGGTGGTGTGAGAGCAGGGGCGGCAGTTTGACCGCTTCGTGCCGACAACTGGGAGGACATCTCGTTGACCGAAATCAATTTCGTATTCTTCCGAGGAACGTAGCCCTGGCGTCGATTCTTGATGTTGGCAGATGTTGCGACTGACTCGCTCCTGCTTCGACTCGCACCATTGTCAGCGAGCAGAGGCGCAGGACCAGGGCGTCTGGTGGGCTGCGCGGTGTTTGTTGAGATGCCGCGAGCGTGAGACCTATGCGGGATGGGCGGTGGAGCTGGCGGCGAGTCGGACGTTACACCAGTGATGCTCTCGATCCCGCTGATGCTGGGTCGTACGGGGAAGCGACCGCCTGTAACACCACGCTTCGGCGGCTTGGGTGTCTCCACGTTGCTCTCACTATACACAACATTAGTTTGGTTGTTTCAGTACCTAATCGACAGGCAAGTAAGCAGGTCCCACCTCAGATCTTCCTCGGACGTCGACTTGAGCCGCTCACGCAGCGCCGCCGCCTTCATGAAGCGCTTGACTTGCTGACACATGTCCTTGTCCTTTTCAGATTCAATGGTGGATACTGAGCGATCACCTGCAGGCTTCAGAAACTCCAGCGGAGGAAACTCGATTGGGTTCTCGTCGAACTTGAGCTTCACCAAGTTCATCTCGCCGAGCGCAAAAGGCAAGCGTTTGATCTGGTTGCGTGCGACGGCTAGGAATTTGAGATTCGTCATGTTCTTGATCTCCTCGGGGATGCCGTCGATGGCGTTTTTGCTGATGTCGAGTATCTCCAGCTTTGAGAGCGAGAGTACCTGTACCACCGTCAATCTCCACATCCCACCAATGTCACTTTGTTTGCCATACCGCCTCTGGGAAGTGTTTCAGCTTGTTCCATCTGAGATTGAGATATCGAAGGCGGTCGCATTGGCCAATGGCGAGCGGGATAGAAATGCGCGGGTTGTGTGAGAGAGCGAGCCTGTTCGATATCAGTCCACCGCCTCGTGACTCCCCCGTGCTTGCTCGTCATGCATCACCTTTCCACCTTGTCCTTTATCAATGAGATGACCTCCGCAGGCAGCGCGCCAATGTTCTTGTGGCTCAAGTCGAGGGTCGAGCCGGTGGGCAGCTGCTCGCCGGGGGTGGTGGCGGAGACGGGAGCCTGGCGCTCCTCGTCGGCATCGAGCTCATTCTTGACGAATCGGACGAGTTCGTTCGGGGTCATCGGCGTCTTGGAGGTGGTGCTGCTGCTGGTGTCGGACGCCATGGCCGCATATTCGAGGTGGCGAGGTGCCGAGAAGGAGCGGGGAGGGTGTGACGGGCGTCGGTATGGAGGGCGGAGGTGTGCGCTGCCGGAGGGGGGGTGGTGGAGGGCGTGCAGCTGCGGTCCAGCGCCAGCATCAAGGGAAGTCGCCGCCGCTGCGAATGCAGAGACGGCGTTAAGGTTCCGTCCCCGCCGTTCCTGCATCGCGCTAGCCAGCATCATTGCCGCGACAGGGCTGAAGGGGACTGGAGCGTCGGTCGCAGCACAGATGAGGGCCGGTCACTCTGTCGTCGAGAGACGACACCTCACAGACACAGAAACAGAACAGAACAGAGAGAGGTATAGACGGCCGACAGACGCAGACGCAGACGCAGACCGACCCGACGGACAACCTAAAGGTGAAGTCGCTCCGGTGATCCACCTCCCTCGCGGGCACGCGCCGCCTCTCGCTGTTCCGCCGGTCGGGGACCCGCTGTGCGGCTCCTGATTCGCGCGTCGCCGAAGCGCTTGCTCCGCCCGGGGCTCTCCTGCAAAGAAAAGATGATGGCAACATGGCTCCATGATTGCCCGTCACCACCTCTGGAGGAGCGCGCCAGCCTTCGCATCATACCGCGCACCACCGACGACGGCGAGATGGCTCTCCAGCGCACCACTGGACGCTCTGTCGCGCCCTGTTCAGACCTACATCTCCGCATCGCGTGACCCGTTCCTGAATCTCTCCGTCGAGCATTACCTCCTACAGAAGACCGCTCCGGAGTCTGCCGTGCTCTTCCTGTACGTGAACCGACCGAGCATCATCCTTGGCAGGAACCAGAACCCATGGGTAGAAGTCAACCTTGCGTTGCTCGACGTATCGCGGGACCGACCACAGACCGAGCCTCCTGGAATTGGCGCCCTCGATCTGGTACGCAGACGTAGCGGCGGCGGCACCGTCTTTCACGACCAAGGCAACGTGAACTGGACCGTCATATGTCCCTCTGCGCAGTTCACGCGTGATAAGCACGCCGAGATGGTGGTGCGGGCGTTGCGAAGTTGTGGCGTTGCCAGATCCAGGGTCAACGCCCGGCACGACATCGTCCTCGATCAAGGCGAACGAGGTGCCGCTACAGATCCCGAGGACACGCACTGCACGCCTTACGAGGCGACAGACTTTGATACGCCTCGCCCTCTGAAGGTCTCCGGGTCGGCGTATAAGCTGACCCGCGATCGGGCCCTGCACCACGGCACTTGCTTGCTGTCCAGCCCAAACCTCCAGGTCATCCCAGACTATCTGCACTCTCCAGCCAAGCCATTCATCACTGCTCGTGGGGTGGAAAGTGTCAGCTCGCCCGTTGGAAATATCTTGCTGAGCAATGATGAATTCATTGGCAGCGTCCAGGAGGAATTCGCTAAGCAATATTCCTCCCAGGGGGACCCCATCAGTCTGGGCGACGAGTTGCTGGAAGAACAAAGCATTGCCAAAGGCTACGACGAGCTCAAGTCGCCGGATTGGACGTTTCTCCAGACGCCGCAGTTTACAATCTCGACTAGATCTCAGGCCGTCCTTGATGTCGACCTGGAGTTAACTGTCCGCTATGGAGCTGTGACAAATGCCTCGTTGACCGTCGATAGAGACAGCGGCGCAGCTGCCGCCGTGAGCGACCTCAGAGGGGGTATCATCGGCCAAAAGATCCATGAGATTGTCGACTGGGGGGCTGCATTCGGTCCTGAACTCGACAAGCTTGACACCTGGCGAAGGGAGCGGCTATTGAAATGGCTTGAGAGTATGCTGCCGAAGCCGTCGCATTAGACTTGAGCTGCTGTTTTCAGAAGCATACCGCCAGAGATGAACGTCACAGCGGGTCGGATAGCGTCAAATCAGCGGTAGCGGCCGGAGAGATATCATCCAAGTTGCGAAGACACTGTCCAGGTTCGAGAAAGCCAGAAAGCGAGATATTGGGACGATACTGAGAAGATGACAAGGGAGACCGGGTCGGGCGATTGTAAGTTCCGCTCTTCATTTGAACTCCAGTAAATATGTCGCAACTCTCTGAGCGCATGCGGCATCTTCTCGTACCATTAATAATTACTCGTTCTACAACCGCTCGTGAATGTCTCTTCGCGCCAGCTCCAAATTGAATACAAACAAATTCCTTTCCTTCCCTCTATCGCATTTCTCTGCAACGGAAGATATCCACCCCGAAGATCAATCGACCACTCAGAATGCCTCCGCAGGATATCGACTTTGCGCCGCCGATGACGGCTCTTCCGTACCAGTGCGAACCCAGCACCAAGTCACCTTCTCGCCTACTCGCACCCCCAGCCGAAGTGCAAAACCGCATCTCTCGCCTCGTACTGCTGCTGAAAGCTGGAATCGAAATCCACCAACTTCGGCTTTTCAATGGAAAGTTGCCTATACACCTCCCGGCAAACCCGAAAAGAAGTCTGCCTTCAGAATTTAATTACTCCGAAACCACCGATTCCTCGTCAAAACACTACACTGGAACACGAATGTAGATCTGCGTTTTTTTTTTTCAAAATACTCCAGCGCTGTGGCTTGAGAGAAGGCTCGAACCATGGCGTAGCTGAGAACAAGTGAGTGAACATGCGATCGGGGAACTCGAGTAGGGATGAGCCGCATTGGGGAAATCTACTGGAATGGGCGCGTCGTCGACTTCATGCTTGTGAGCTTCCCGCGGAAGCGTTTGGGGGGGTTTCCCGATCGTCGAGCCTAGCAGGCTTCTCCATTGGACTCTTCTCGCGGTCAAGCGTACGGCGCTTGATCTTATTAGACGTCAGCCGCGAGGCCTCGTGGAGCAAGTTCTTAGGGCATTCCCGAGCTATTACTAGGGACTGTGGATCGCAGGTGGATGGAAGATTGAGGCCAGGTTGATGGAGACGAATGCAAGCACCTCCGGCTGTTGATGATGATACGCAGCTGACGAAGTTGAAGGCAAAGGTATGTCAAAACCTTTTCCTTCATCTGCTAGCTGCTTTGTGTAGCTTTTTCCGCGGTGAGAAGGGCTTTAAGACTTGAATCCCGTACTCTGACGATTTTGAATCATCGCGAAGGATGTCATTGACTTCTCCTTTCTTTCAAGATATGTGTGCAGGTTGCGGATGTCTTCTCCCTTGCACGTGCCCTCTTCTTGACCGTCACATGAACGCAAGGAGCGACTAGCGCAAAACTCTTAAGTTTGAAGTGAATTCTAGTATTGGATTTCTCTTCCCCTTCGAAGGAACGACAAACAAGAACAACACAAACAAAAAGCGTTCCTGAGTCTCACGCACAAGCTACAAGGGCATCATGTTTCCTTTCACCAACACTTAGAATCCGCCTAAGCGCGAGGAGGCACATCATCCACCGCCTTGTACTTGCGCGCCAGTCGGGCAATTCGAGCGCCCTACTCAGGCTACCTGACGATAGGCGCGGCGATCCACTATCATCATCATGCAAGCAGATCCGCTCGGAACGAAAGCGCTAAAGATCTCCTTCTCCTTTCACGTGGCAGAGAATCGTATGTAGCGTGGATAAATGCCGCGATACAATTAATTTATCAGACAACAATCATGAAATCTTTCTTTGAGCAAACGAGTGTGAGCCGCGATCCACGCAGGACAAAAACTCGCAGTGGCGACCTCCACGGACGCGTCGGATCCATCTTCCTCTGAAATTCCGTGAGCACAGACAGAGCTCACGAGGAGGCGAACAGCGCCATATCTGAGAGAGCAGAGAGCAGAGAGCAGAGAGAGCAGTGGTAGGTCTTCGTCTTCGTCGAGATGCCAAAAAAAAAAGTGCTTGCTTGCTATACTTGCCTCGCTTGCCGGAATAATAATGCATACACAAGACGCTAAAACCCGAGAAAACTCGTATGTCTTACCTCACCTCACCTCACGAGAGAGAGCATCAGATTCCCCTGTATTAGATAACGACTTGAGTTCAACTGACGCTGAGCGAGATTTTGAACATTTTAGAAATGGAGCATGAAGAGTGAAAGTCAAACACCCACAAGAAATAAAAGCGATAGCTTCGGAACGTCTCCCGCGAGGGCTTCATTCTAAGCTAGTCCTACGGTGGTGGTTCTCCTGAGCGAAAGCATTACCCAAACGCCTCCTCGCCCACAGTATGCGTCCATCCATCATCATCATCAAACCAACATCGCACGCTTTCGACCTCACTCCTCCTTCACAACAATCCCCCACTCGTGATCCTCCTTGCCGTACATAATACTAACCAACCAACTCTTGATCAGCTTCGCATAAGCACCCGTCTCCCCCTCTTTCAACGGGACTTCCAGATCTCGTCCGCGGAAATTGATGAGTCCGACGGGAGCCACGAAGAAAGCCGTCCCAGCAGCGAAAGCTTCCACCAATCGTCCTTCTTTTTGTGCGTCCACGATGTCGGCCATCGTGAAGCGCTGCTCGACCATCTCCGCGGCTTCCACGTCCCCGACATTCTTGCTCAGTCTCTCCTTTGCCAACTCGAGGATCGAAGCTCGCGTGACGCCCTCGAGGATGATGCGCTCTTCTAGCGGGGCGGTCACGAGCTGTAGTCTTCCCTCTCTTGTTCTCCACACAACGAAGAAGTTGGAAGCACCGGCTTCAGTGACATAGCATTCCTTGCCGAACAACCAGAGGACTTGGTCGAAACCCCTTGATCTCGCCTCTCCCTGCGCAACTAATGAAGGACCGTAGTTGGCTCCCAGCTTCGCGTATCCGAATCCACCAGGCCACGCGCGGATCGTATCCTCATTGCTTGCCAAGAGTTTCAGACCCGGTCTCGCGACGAGTCCATTCGCAGACCCATTCAAAGCAGGAGGGATGGACTTGGTCATGTCCGGAAAGCAAGCAATGATGACATAAAGCAGTGCCTCCCTCGGTCTCTGCACGCCCAGCGCCTCATCCGTCCCGATAAAGGTCGGACGCACATACAGGAAATGTCCCGCTCTTTCCTTGGGAAGCCACTTATCCCCATCCTGTGCACAGAGGGCCAGAATCATCTTCTCCAACTCTTTCGGGTCGAAGTCGGGGAGAGCGATTCTTCGCGCGGACTTGAGCATTCGTTGGCAGTTCCTCTGCGCTCTGAACAGGCGCAGTTTCCCGTCAAAGCCGCGGTAGAGTTTCAGTCCTTCGAAGCATTCGGTGGCGTAGTGCAGGACACTCGCCGAAGGCATGATGCTCAATGGGCCGTAAGGCTTGAGTTCGGGGGCTTCCCATCCGCGCTCTACGGTCCAGCGAGCGGAAACCATGTGGTCGGTGCACGTCTTCTGGGACTTGGTCTCGGCGGAATCGGGCGCGGGGACTGCTCGAGGAGTAGTAGTGAGGGTGTAGGTCATCTTGGAGGCGTCCAATTCTGCCGAAGACGAAGCTGGCTCGAAGGCATGTTTGATGCCGGCTTCGGTGAGCTTGCTGGCAGAAGTAGTAGTGGGAGTGGAAGTTCCAGACATTGACTCCGGTGTGAGAGCAGCTGGCGGCGCCATGTTGTTGAATGTGAGGGGTGTGACTCAAATGGAAGAAAGATTCGACTTGGGAGGAGAGGAAGGGATGCGCTGTCTTGTTTGATGTTTGAAACTTGTTTGTAACAAAGGGCAAGCGATTGTCGAGCTGCGAAAGGGATCGAATAATGAGGAGAAGGGCAAGGTGCGTCAAGGAGGAAAGTCAAAGAAAATTAATGGATGAGGTGGGCATCGGGATGGGATGACTGTTATCTACGATGAACCCACCCTTCGCTCCTGTCTCCGTCCCAAGGAACTCCAACCGAGACCGCCGTACGCCCTACAACAGGCGGTTATGCACGCGTGGCTTTGCGAAGAGCCGGCAGTCAAGAAGAAGGAGAAATTTCTTGGATGCAGTCATGGTTGCAGTTCTGGTTGCAGTTAGTAAGTCCTCGCGTCGCATTGGAATGCAGGTACATACACTTTTTTTTCCTCCCGCTTCGGCTTAAGCCTCACAAGCCGTGCCTAGCCGACCTTCAACCCACTTCCGATTCTCGGCACACAGGTTGACAGGCATTGCAGAGATCTCGACCGAATGCCGCAAATGACACGGACAATTGAAGTCGTAATCAGGAGACTCACGCTGAACCCTCATCATTATTGATATTCATGCTCATCATTCAAAATCTACATCGCCGTCCTCCACGTCAAAACGCCAGTGCAGTGCAGTGCTTCGGGGGTATCATTTCGCCATTTTCTTTCCGTGGCATTTTTCCTTCTCGTTCGCATTCCTGGCATACTTTCTCCCATCATCAGCAACATCCGTCATCATGGCTGCTTCCCGCAGCAGTAGCGTTAGCCCGACTGACCGGCCTAGAAACAACCAAGCACCCCAGAGGACCCATATCCTACATGAGTCCCCCCAGCGTCAACTTCCCCAACCCCGCCATCTCACTCTTCACTCCGCTCCGAGTCGTATCCTCAAACTCCCTCACCACATTCGCTACCAAGATCTTGCGTATCGCTTTGTCTGCCTTGGCGAACTCCGTCCCGACACTGCCCGAGCAGGACTCGGGCCCGCTCACCAGATCCATCAGTTTCGCGTACACATCGATGAGCGTATCGCAGAGGGTGGCAAGCGTGGTGCCGAAATCGGGTTCGAAGGGTAGGTGCGGGGTGAGGAGATATGCGAACTCGTGGCCGGTGGGGTTGATGGGGGACGCGTCGTGCGGTGAGGTGGAATCCGAGGGACTGCGCCCTGCGACGGGCATGCCAAGGAGATCGGCTTGGCGTGGATCGAGGGCTCCGGCCATGGTGTCGACGCTGGTGCTGGAGCGACGACCTTTGCTACCGCGACTGCCGAGCCCGATTCCGCTCTTGAACATTTGTCCGACGCGCCCGCGGCTAAAGCTATTGCCGCTGCTGTCGTAGCCAGAGAGGTTCTGGTATGTCTCGAACTCTTGCAGGAGCGAAGAGAGCGCTTTGAGGTATTCGAGTGCGTTGCCGGAGTTCATGTCCAGCAGTGCGGGCAAGCTGAGTCCAAGGATGAAGTAATTCGTCGCTCTCCTGCCAAGCTTGTGTGCTTGCAGTGAAGGCATTGCGGACAACGAGGTCGGCGAGTAGTGTAATGTGCTAAAGTAGAAGATGTCGCCCTCATGCAGCTTCCGCAAGTAGTCAATCGTCGCCATTCGCTTCGACGAGGTTTCATGAATCGAACTGTATATCGTATTCGCGTTCAGGGTCCCGCTGCCGGCAATCGAACTCGTAGTGGGGGCATGCGCCAATGTTGCGCCATTGGGGGCTCCGTGTGAAGAAGAGATATCGCGCTGGAATGCGGTCTGCGCATTGACGCCTAGTGTAGTTCTGCCGCCGCCCGTGCTGCCGTCCGAGGGCGCAGCAGACGCTTTCTTGCCGGCCGGGACATTGGGCGTAGAGCTGACGAGCATATGCGGAGAGTCGTTCGGATTCGAAGCGTCGTTCGGATGGCTGGTCGCGGGAGGTGTGCGGGCGCTGTTGAGGCTCTCGAGGTATGCGGGGTTGTTCAGGAGTGGGAGGGCCTCTGTCGACTTGAATCTCTGGCTGAAGCCCTTGGCGGTCAGGGAGATCTTGCGCTTGAGCAATGGCGCCTGCGACTGCGGCTGCTCTTTCGCTTGCTGTGGTTGCTGCGCACCCGAGATGGTGCGGGTGGGGGAAGCTGCCGCTTCCCGCTGTTTCTCTTTGCCCTTGGATGGGCTGAACGCTGCGATTCCCCCGGGGCTCTCGACGGGAGATGTGCTGCTCAGCGGAGTGAAGGCGTTGTTACCGCCGCCCGACGGACTGCGCGTCTTGTGTCCGAAGCTGCTGCCGCTGCTGAGGTTGGTGCGATGGCTCCGTAGGCTGATGCTTCTCTTGACGCTGCCGCCGAGTTCGGTGAGGTTGGAGGTGGTGAGGGAGAGGATGCTGCTGTCACGGCGATGGGGATTCCAGCGGCCCCTGTCGTGGATGTCGCCCGCAGCGTTGAGGGGGGTGGTCGTGGTGGTGGTGGTGGTGGGAGTAGCGATGCCTGGTCCAGCTCCAGCTCCGGCACCAGCACCAGCACCAGCAGCGTGGGCGCTGGTCAGGCCGCGATTCAGAGTCAGGTCGGTCGTACTGGCATTGTGCGGGATGTTGTGCGGGTGGTGGTGCTGGTGGTTGTGCCTCTTGCCCGTCAAGCGTCCCAAGGTCGAGGTGCCGAAGGAGGGCATGGCGGCTCGGGCACACGACCAGCTCGCTCACTCGCTCGTCGAAGTTGACAAGCGGTGCGGTGCGGTGCGGTGCGGTGTGCCGCCTTCGCACAACAAGCCAACAATGGTGAAACACTGGAATATCGGTGCACAGTGCATCCCAACTTCTCGAATCGCCGTCGGCTGCCCGTCTGATTGGCCATGCTATTTCAGGGGCAGCAGCGCACAGCGACTTCGCGCTCCACTCTCCCTCCACTCTGACTGCGGTGTCGAGGCGATCGGCAGAGTTCGATGGCGCAATATGCGACCTGCAAGGCCCCGACGCAGTCAGACCGGACCTGCTTCTGCTGCTTCTCACTCTCGTCCTCTGTACAGCAACAACAGCGAACAACACTGGACATCTTACTTGTGAAGAGGTGGAATTATCGTCCGGCGGTATTCTTTCCCGCGGGAAAAGGGCGGTTTTGTGCGGCTGGGCAGGTTTGCTGATTGGCCGGCGCGGACTCGGTCGCTGCACTGGGGATGATCTGATCTGAAGAGGGGAGGAAAGAAAGGTCGAAGAAAGAGAGAAGGATGAGGCCGTGAAGGAGGCCTTCTCGCTTCTGTTGTGGGAGCAATACTTGTCGTGTTGCGTGAGGGATAATAGCTGCGCCTATGTGACCACCCATTCACTCACAACACCGCCAACATCTTCCAAACACTGGATGGAAGCTTGCAAATAGTATGTTGTCATTCGTTACGCTACATGTACTGTTTCTCCTAATGAGTCTGACCAGATCGTACAGCTTCGAGAGCATCGCGGTAGCCTGCCTCGTATCCTGCTTCATATGCTCCACCCATTCCTTTCGCTCGAGCAGCGCCCGAGGTTGGTTGGTTCGCCGGACCTCCAGCATTGAAGGGAGTCGCACCCACACCACCACCAGTAGCAGTAGAAGGTTGAGTGTTCCTCTTCAAAGTCCCGTGTTCAGCGCCATGCTGTCCTGTACCCTGATGGTGATGCGCAGCAGCCCCCGCTCCCAAAACACCAGCACCCGCTCCACCAGCCAGAGCAGCATCACGACCATAGTGATGATCTTTCGGATCCTGCTCGGTCGTGCCTCTGTTCTTGTACGAGAAATTCTGCCCATACGGAGCGCCGGTAGTCGTGCTCGTGGTGGTCGTCGGATGGTGCTGTGTCGTCGTAGTGGTCTGATGCGAAGGACTGCCGCCGCCATATTCTTTACCATCCATGTGCTGCAAATTCTCCCGATCGGGCTGTACGCGCGGATCCATGATGTTCGCCACATTACTCTCATGCGGACCAACCGTCTTCGAAGCAGGCCCTCCATGGCTTTGATATTTTGCTGCTTCATACGCACCGAGACCGCCGGCACCAGCTACGCCGGCATCTGTTCCATAGTGGTGTCCCTCACCGGCTCCCAATTTCTGTCCCCCAGCAGTCGGGACTGCTTCCCGGTTTTCCAATTGACTATGTGGTCCCGTCTTCAAACCGGCAACCTGATTCGTCACGCCTCCGTGTGGTGAACGCTGGACATCATCAGTAGCATTCTGACTGTCGAAGCCCGAATAAGCCGCTCGGCTACCCAGATCGCCTGCCTGCGCGCGGTTCTGGGAAGCACCATAACCAACACCAGGCCCAGTGCCAGCATTCCTAGTATCAGCGCCTGCAAACCTCGTATCGGCGGCGTTTGCGGCAATCTGTTGGCCTTTGGCACTGTACGGGTCATAAGGCTGGCGGGGTACATTGTGTTCGTATTGACTGGAGCCACCGAGGTGTGTATCGCGCAGTTGGTCGGTGGTGGAGGCGATATTGCTGCTGCCCGTGCCGTGTCCGTACCCATGTCCACCTTCATGTCCACCACTTGCATAAGGAACCCCATCTTTCATCGTGCCGCCTGTGATGCCACTTCCACCTGAAGCGGAACCGATAGGATGCTGCAGGGGATTGCTCGAAGACCTCGTGCTTGAATCCGTCACGTTCGAAGTCCGTCCCATGTCTTGTCCATATCCAGAGCCATACTCCCCAGAATGCTTGGTGTTGGTGTTGGAAGTGTTCGCCGAGGGCTCTTCCTTGTGAGAACCACTCAGTTTATTTTCAATCTTGTCAATGAGACCCATTTTCCGTTTCAATCGTGCTGTCTGGTGCTCGACTCGTGAAGGGGGTGTTTGGAGAAAGGACCATGAAGGACAGTAGGAAGATATAGCAAGTATGCGCCCTCCTCAGTATTCTACGTCATACACACCACTTCGTCTTTGTTCCTTTGTTGCGCAAGCAGGGCTGCTGCCAACTTTCTGCACAACGCGCCATGGTCTGAGGAAGCAGCCGAACGAAGCAAGGAACATCAACCACCAAACCACCAAACCAAGAAACCACTTGCGGAATGGCGGATCGATCAGATATCCAGAGAACCAATGAGATGTTTGAAGAAACGAAGGACGTGGCTCCGCTCATGGCACGTGGAGTGAAAGAGGCGGGAACGAGATCTGCACATCTGGAGCTCTTTGCGTCATTGACGTCATTGGTATGCCAACAATCCACAACTCAGCGCTCTCACCGCGAAAACCTGTTACGAGTCAAGACACATTCGCAGCAAAAGCCGAGACACATGTAGTGAAGATAATAGATATAGAATTCGGACTGGTTCTCATTTCTTCACACACAAGGTGGCCTGTCTTATTTACACGTTCTATTTGAATGATAACGCCCTCTCCCTTGGGGAGCTCTCTTGTGGAGAAAGCTGGCCAGGAGAGAGCGCGAACTAGATAATATTTCTTCTGATAATTCGAAATCGTGATCGTCGGTAACCCAATACGGGATGCATCATGACACAGATGCTCCAGAAGTGATCTGCCCTCATCGTCAAGAACGACAAAGCAGCTGGCGACAGCAGTATGGACTACCGTCGTGCAGTTTGGGTATCCGAGAGAATGTAACAAAAGCCGCCCATACGGTAATACTGCCCGAAAAAAAGGCGCATAGGCTTGCAAGGCCGGAAGAGACGGTGGTATCGCTTACCCACTTCCCGCCGTGGAGGTGATATGGTTGAGCTGCGAACAGCGCCTTCGCTTTTTTTCCTACCGATTTTTCCTACTCCAGTTTTAGTCCGAGTTCGTTCCCCAATGGCGCCGCGCTGATTTTTGCGAAACTTTTTTGTACACCGGGTGATATCAAAGCAGTGATGGTTTGTGGGGTGAAAGAGGGGTCATAAGATCGTGATCGTGGTATCGTGATGTGTGGTCTGGTAACACAAGGTTCAGAAAGAGACGGGAATCTCCGACAAAGCTCCGACCAGGGAGTCCCTCACTTGCGCACGCTGAGGCTTCGTCCAAGCAACGAGGAAGTGTCGGTGAAGAGCTTCAGGATTGAAGGCTTGTTGCTTGAAGGCTGTTGTTCGTGGTGGATTTTCGCGTAGCGCACCATCGGGCCGACGAAGTCCTTCTCCTCGACAGCCGGGAACTTGAAAGGCTGCTTTGGATCGTTGAGGGAGGGCATCTTGGACACCGGCTGCGTCTCTGCCAGGGGTTGAAAGATCGGGCTTTCGCCTTTAGCCTGAGCTTCAGCATTGGCTGCTTCGTGGTTGGCGCGCCACACCGCATCGATTTCGGCCCATTTCTGCTCGGTGAGCTTGTACGTTTGAGATGTCACACCGTAATGCTCGCTGATGCGAGCAGCTTGACGCATGTACTCGACGCGGGCAGCCTCCCAATGATCCGCGAGACGCTTGCAAGCCTGTGCATCGCAGACAGTAGGCATGTAAGGTTCGGGGTTGATGTGAAAGTTCGCATGCCCGAGCTTGATGGCCCAAGGGTCTGTCTCCGCACTGGTCAGGTGAGGAATCTCAGGTGTTGGATGGATCGTGGCCGAACGGGCATGGCGAAGCGAAGATATAGAAGCCCTAGCGGATAGGTTTGGAGTGCCAGAGGGCGTGTTGATGAATGAAGCGGCGGCGGATGCGACAGTCGGAGACTGCAATGGCGACTGCATAGCTTCGTTGGAGTCGTTGAAGTATGTCGCCATCATTGGAGGCAGCAGGGGCGTGGACGCGAGCTGTTCGCGTTCAGCATCGTCCTCCTCGGGCAGTGGGATCTCAATTTCGACGGGCCTGGAGGTGGCTCGAGACGACGCTCTCGCCCTTGGAGGGCTTACGGATCGCTCACTTGGGTCTGTACCGGCAGACAAGAAAGGAGGTGTTGACATGTTGCACAGGTCCGTGGCAATGGGCAGAGTAACGGAGCGCGTGGTTGGCAACCTCAATGAAGATGCGCGTGAGTTGGGCGCGCTGCGCATAGGGGTGCTGGAGACAGACGCGGAAGCTCGACGACTTTGAAATCGCCTCGAGATGGAAGTGAAGTGGTGACTGAGACGAGAAGGGAAGCTATCAGTCGACTGTCCTCTGGATCTGCGGCGCTTTGGCAGTGGTTCTCCAGGAAATTGGCCATCATCGAAATAGTCGTCTCCAGGACTCCATTCGGGAGGAGAGTATGGCAGCACACGACACTCTGCGCTTTGACGATGCTCGCAGTACGGCGTGTCGCAAATGCAGAGTGGCTCAAGGCTGTCGCAGAAGGCCTCATCGCGCTCAGCAGGCTCCTCCACAAGATCGTGGAGCATTGACTTGGAAGTTGGCGCGGTTGCAGGAGAATCCGGATTGGTAGCCAGAGAAGAAGTAGAGCTCGGGCAGCGGGAGTGGCCGCGCGTAGAGAAGGTCGGAGTGACGGGCGAAGAAGTGGTGGAGTCGGTGGAGGATTGGCGCGAATGCGCTGGCGAAAGTTGATACGGCGAAGGCATGGCTGAAGCGTCGTTCCCAGGATGTTTGGAGGTGTTGAGTCGAGGGAAGGAAAAAGTGCGCATCCTGTTCATGTTTGCTTGGTTGGACTGGTTGGACTGGTTGACGGGCCTTGGAAGGGGGGGGGAAGGGCTATGGGGAGCGATCACGAGACATGTTGGCGTGGACGTCGTGTTGTTATTGTTCTGGTAGCATGTGCACCGTCCCTGGCGGGATGTTGTCGACGGTGGTGGTGACGGCGGTGTTGGCAGTTTCAAGGCGCGTCGGGTGGAAAACAGACGTGTGATGCGCTGGCAAGACCTAGTCGCCTGTCGTTCTCCAGCTCAGTCGCGTGGCCGCGATTTGTCAAGCTGTGAAGTGCCGAGCAGGAGCCGTGCGAGGCGAGGCGAGGCGAGGCGCAGCGAGGCTTGGGTGAGGAGAGCGCAGTCGTTGCTGGTGTGGGCAAGCAGCGGTATGGCGGCGGAAGCGGTTGTCGACAGAGACCGTGTGGTGTAGCCAGTGGAGGGAGTGTGAGCTTGCAGAGCGGCGAGACAGCAGAGCAGCACGCGTGTGGCGACCGAACCGAGACGAGACAAGACAAGACGAGGCGAGACGAGACGGGCACGGGAAAAGAGGGACGGTTGTTGATGTAGGAAATGAAATGGGACGGTGGCAGGAAGCAGGGCAGGATTGGGGATTGGGATTGGGTTTTGAGCGGTACGCCGGCTGTCACAGGCGCTAGACCAGGACTAGCCGTGTGAGCGACTAGCACTGCGAGCGACCAGCACAGACTAGCTCCAGGTACGGGACGGTACGGCTACGACTGGACAGCACTGGTACCGCCCGCCCAGAGGAGAGAGTGGAGGACAGAGGGACAGACTCTTCCACATTCGCTGAGTCTTGCAGGAACAGTGGACACCAAGCGATCGCGTGCAGCAGCAATAGCAGCAATAATCATTGCAGCCAGCGAGCGCCGCAACAGTAGCAACACAACCAAAGGACCGTAGTCCAGAAGTCCACGGCATCGAAGAACAAACCACCGCCTCGGACTCCTCCCGGGCCAACGACTGAAGGGCGATTCCGCACATGCATGCACAATGCACTCGTCGGCTCCTCTGACTACTGTCACTGCACATCACTGACTACAGTACTGTCACTACTGACTACTGTCAGCTGCCTGCGCTGCTTCTGCTTGCTGCTCACCACTCTGCACTCTGTGGTCCAACACTGACCGCAGGAGACACGACTGCATCCATCCACGTGCACCACCACTTCATGTAGCCGGGCCAAATCACGCGATAGAGGAGGCCGAGGCCGAGGCTGATGACGTCCGCTCGCCAGCACTTCTGGCCCTCTCGTGCATCCCTTTCTGCTGACGTGACCTCCGAGCAATAAGCACCTCGCCGACTCCTTCTTCGCCTCTGCGACCTGCCTGTGTGCCATCGTTGCCCTCCATCGGTGAGTATGTACCTTAGTTGGCCCTCATCAGCCGCGAACCCTTGGCTGCACGTTTAGACCCGGCCACCACGTTCTGCCGTTGCAACAGCCAGCAGCGCTCCGCACAAGCCGCACTCCTTCCAACGGCGATGCAGCCGCCATGGTCAATAATCATCACTACTGACAGCCTGTCATTATTGCCCACCTCACCTGCTGCGCCAGCAATCTCCTACCACATAGATTCGACGTGGTACGGACGCCGTGCGACTGTTTCATCCGCACACAAAGATGCGGTCCGTGGTCAGCCTCAACTTCTCTACAGTACAGCACCCCCATCTGTGCACGCACGGTGTGTGCATTACAGTATGATTCGACATGTCGGCTCCGAGGCCGTGCACCGTTTGGCGGCCCCAGTGGCTTGCAGGAGGCCTTGTCATTCTTGTCAGCGCGAACTACAAAGTGTACCACTCTTCACTCTCCCACGGCGGCAGGCGGTGCCCGGACTGCGGCCTGTCAGCCACGACTTTGCTTTGTCGCGACCACAATCGCTGCGCAAAGAACGGCTTGCAGCTATGCCAGCGTGCAGCTATGCTATGCTATGCTATGCTATGCTACGCAATGCTATGCCAGCGCGCAGCAAGCCGCAAGCAGCAGCAAATATCGCGGTCGCAAACACGGCGAGCGAGGGCGTTGCAGCCGGGAGAACACTGACTTCTGACAACCAAGCTGGGGGAGCGTAGAAATCGACTAGAGCGGCTCCCACCGCCCCTTGTTATTGGGTAATAATCGTGCACCCGCTCTTTCAGCCGCTGATTCTCCCAACAACAGCAAATGGAAGGATTCCTGAGAAGGCCTGGTTCCCACCCGCCGAACTTCGCCGCGGCACACTCATCCTTCTGCAACATGTGATCAGGTAGCGGCCGCCGTCGCAGCGTGGGTCGGTGACCTTCTCACACTTCTCATCAATTAACTTCTCACTGCGGGGTCTCTGCACCCATCATCACACTTTCTTTCGACTTTTTCCTGTCGGCAGTACATGTAGTAGTCCACACGCAACGCGTCAGCTCACTGGCCCGTCCATGGCGTGCGCCTTCCCCTCGTTCAATACTCGATCGGATCAGTCATAATAACCATGATAAATCTACTGTACAAACTACTCCACCCCACGAAATGGCTCGTTTGGGCAATTTCGCCATTACCAACCATCCAGGTACACGTCTTCTTTGAGCGAAGCGACCAGGTGAGGTATCAACTATCCTCCGTCGTACCTGAACAAATGCGTCTCAGAGTCTCCAGGATGCCCAGCAAGTGTGACCGAACATGTTCTCCCAGCAGACAGACCGACAGACCCAACAGAGACACATATGCGCCCGCTACCAAGAAAAACCCGCCCCACTAGCTAACGCCTGACGCTCCCATTCGCTACCGCAGTTGGGTCCCGCTTGCTAAAGCCGGGACTTGGAGAGCCCGTGCGGGTTTCCCATCCTCCTACTACTGCAGGTACGTCAGAATCATCACAAATCAAACGCCTCGCAAACGCTTGCCGGGAAATCTCGCCCATCTCACCCGCCGCGGCGCCGGCTGCTCTGTTCTGCTATTGAAGAAACGGTGCTCTGCCCCATCTCACCTGCCGCGGCGCCGGCGGCTCTGTTCTGCTATTATTATTATTGGAGAGACCGTCGGTGCATCTCGGACGAACAAAACCTTGAGTACATACTCGACAGACAGGCATTCCCAGAAATCCGGATTCCGGAATTCGTAAAGTTTTCTTTCTGTGCACTGTGGTGGAGACTCAGACTCGGGAATCGGTGTGATGTGTGATGTGTGATGATGAGTGGGAACTAGATTTTTCTTCTTCTTTTGTGGGGGGAGGGGAGGGGGGTAATTTTTTTCTCTCTCTCTTTCTTTCTTTCTTTCTTTCTTTCTTTCTTTCATCCTTCCTTTTCGGCAGTCGATCGTCTGACCGTGCATGATTTAATACAGGGAAGATGCCTACAAGACCTACAGATTTTATTATTCAATCAAATGTATCATCTCATCATACTTGCGTGCTTTTCCACAATAACAACGACAACAACAACAACAACAACGACAATCTTTGCCCGTTTCTTTCTTTCTGCTGCCTTCTTTTTTTCAACAACAAACTATCTATGATATGATACCTTATCATATTGATCGAGATGAGTAATAGAGTGGTTGGATTGCATCTCCACAAGCAAGCAAGTCAAAAAAGAAGTTTCCTCGAGATACGTGTCGATCTCCTCTGTCATCAGTTCGGCTGCGATGCGGTACGAGAAGAATAATGCCTATTCCACGGCCGCGGCGTCGTCGTGTGGGATGGGATTGGGACGGGACGTGCGCTGCTGCAGCAGCCGTTCCGGATCGGTCGAGGCCTGGGCCTTCTGTTCCTCCTGCTCCTCCTCCGACTAACGCTGCCGAGTCCTACCAGTAGTCCGCGGGCGCCTGATGATGTGATGTGAGGAGATGAGAGGAGCAGTCGGTCGGTTATTGAATGTCTTCCACATCGAGAAGGTCGGTTATGCACCATACCTGTAACATCCTGGGAGCAGCAGCAGCAGCTGCTGCTGCTGCCTTTTCCCGCTGCTGGGGTAAGTAATGAAAGAAGTATTTTTGCTGGGAAAACCTACTCCACATTTCCTTGTTCTTGGTACGGCTGTGGGAGTTGGGAGGATCTGCGTTGTCACGCCATCCTGGCAATTGGCTTTTTTCTTTCCCACATTCCTTTGAGAGTGCGGTGGGACGTCATTCCGCAATGGCTCCTCGTTTCGCGATGCGGTAGCGATGACACATGGCGTGGCTAAATGCTGTGCAGTCTAGTGATGTTGAGTGAAACATGGCACTTCGCAGGCGGTAAACTTCCGGTCTGTCTCGGAGGACGATTCATATGGTTGGCAATGGTCATCATCGACCGGCGAGTGTCTGCAGTGGGCTGGCCAGGCCAGGCAGGGTTGTTTAACCATGTGATATCGAAGTATACGATCCCGTTCCGTCCAGGAGGCCGGCCAATTCAAGTAATCCAGTACTTCTCCCAACGGGCCTTATCCTCCTCTGTTCCTCGAAAGAGGAATTCAACCTGGGTGATGTCCTGGAATCCCTCCTCGAGATGGGGCTCGCGGTACCTGCTTGCGAAACCCGTGAAAGCCATTTTCGGCAGGAGGGCGCGCTTCTCTGGGTTGAGATGCGACTGTGATGGGTCAGCTACCACGGAACGGGACAGGTACACAGCGTGGCTGCCGATGCAGGGTGTAAGCGAGAGAACTGAGGGTGTGTTATTACTTACCTTGCTGCCATCCGACAGGGCGCGCACGGTATCGTTGTGCTCGCAGAGCTTGGCGGGTGCGGTGAAGAGGACCAGACGAATCGGTACTTTGAGCTTCGCCGCGAGGCCGATCCACGCCGCGCGCGTTTCCACGTCGGCGTTGGTGTTGTCGACTACCACGGCTTTCGTGTCGCCTTGGATGAGTTCCGTGGCTTTCTTGATGCATTTGTCTCGTGTCTTGAGAATGTCCTGGTTGACTCGCTCGTATCCGAGAGGTTGCATGTGTTGCCAGAAGAACGTCGATTTCCCGGACCCGGGGCTTCCACAGAACAGCACAATCTCGACTGCGTTCTTCTTGCTAAACGCGACAGGGCTCGGATCAGTGCGCGAGCGCAGTGTGGCTTGCAGATGTGCTTTAGGGTCAAAGGACCGTACGAAGGGTTTCACTTCCTCGCCCAAGAAGTATTCCTCTGGTGTATGGAACGGGATTCCCACATTCGCAGCGAAATCGCGGTCAGAGCAAGAATGATCCTTTCGAGTCTTCGCCGCTTTGTCACCCTCGCGACCTGCAGCGTCGCCGACGAAAATGCTCTTTTCGTGATCCACGTCAGCGGCTCCCTCCAAACCGTAGTCGGCGAGCATCTGCTCCCACATGCCGGTGCGTGGCTTCCGGTAGTGGTCGACTCCAGTAGCAGCGTACACGGTGATTGGCAGATCGAAGTGCTTGAGTACCGCGGAAATCTTCTGTTTGAAGTTGCTGAGGCTCTTGGTGTCGCTTCTTTTGTCTGATTTGAGGGAGATGCCGTTTTGGTTGCTCACGACAATGACTGCATAGCCTTCTGCGCTGAGCTGTTTGATCTTGGCAGGTACGCTCGCGTCCCACCACTGCCAGTCATCGGCTCCACGCGCGAACGAGTTGCCGGATTTGGTCTTGATGAGGGTGCCGTCGAAGTCGAAGGCTGCTATCTTCACCGGCTTGGGACGCGTTGCGGTGTGGGCATTCTCGTAGCGTCCCACCAGTAAGGTATCGTGGAGGACATGAAAGACGATCTTCTCGGGTTCCTTCTGCGAGGCGGGCTTGAAGAAGTTGGCGACGGCCGAGTTGGTTGTTCCCACTGCTTTCCGCTTGCTGGGTGGAGGGGAGATGTCACGGTCGGTTGTAGCGGTACGCTTGAGCGAGGCCATCTGCAACGCCGCAACACATCTGCTGGACCAGAACAGCCCGGTGCGTGTTATCGCCAAGTGAGTAGTCAACCAAGTGCAGTGCATCCAACGTGCTGTTGCGATACCAAAGTGTGCCGTGTGTCGTGCCGTTTGTCTTGGAGACGCGAGAAAGGCGTCACGCAAAACTCACGAAGTCAGGCGTCACTGCTTCTGAGGCAAAGTTTGATGGGGGTGCATCAAATCTTGATGGATGTCAGGTGGTTCCGAGCATATGCTGTCTATTATCTCAATACTACATGTTCTTGCATTACAAACTCTTGAAGTCGTCAATCGTATCCTGTACAAATTCCCGCTCCAACGCCATGCTATGCGAATGTCACGCCATGCAATTCTCTATCCCACATCACCATGCAATCACAACAGTACTCAGGACGGCAATGAAGAGTCCACCAAAGCTGGTACGGACCACTGGAGCGGCAGACTGTTTCAGGCCGCAGCATTGCTGGGTGTAAGTCACGCCGTTGGCAGTTGCTGCAACATCGAAGACTGAGCCTTGAGTCGGGCTTCCGATGTTGTAGTAGTCAACAAGCAAGAAGTTCGGGGGACGATTCCACGTGTCTATGGAGGGAGGGATTAGTGGTTGGAGAACTAGGATGGGCGAAGGATAACTCACTCGTGCAGTTGATACTCATAGCACCAAGACGTCCGTACTCATTCTGCTCGCCGTTGGTGATGTTGAGCTCTGCAGTGTTTGGAATGAGGATCTGCGAGGCCCCCGAGATTCCAAGGGAGGATAGATCAATGGCGGTGTTGAGGTTGTGGTTGGCAAGGTACATGAAGTCGTCTCGGGCCTTTGTCTGGTCGAGATTCGGAGGGCGCTGCTGAGTGCACGGAAATGCCTGATCGGTTGGCGAGAAGGGCGTCTCCCACACCTGTGAGAACTCGTCCAAGATGTACGGGACGGAGTTCTGGTTGGCCTTGTAGTCCATCATGAACACGACACGCTGGTTCTTGAGAATCATCTCGCCCAGCGTCGGCCACTGGTCCCGATATTGCGGGATGTAGGATGGCGTATACGCGTATGATAGCAGGCCAGAGTTCGTGATGGGTGCCACGAAGTTCTCCACGGCCGTAAAGTCGCTGTTCACGATGAGAACGGTGACCACGTCGTACGGGTGATCATCCAGCCACGACTTGAGGGTCTCCAGTTCAGTCTGCCACGTCCCAGCATTCAGAATGTTGCAGTTCGTGTGGCAATTGTAGAGCGTATTGTTGACGTAGTGAACTTCGCCCGTCAACATGCGGATCCCGTCATTCAGCTGATCTCGGATGGGGAGTTGCTGGTTGCTAGCAGCATTGTTCTTGATGACAAAGGCCGCATTGTGGGCAGCGACCATGGTGATGTTGCTGTACTTTCGGGTGCAGAACTCGGGGAAGCCATTGCAGGGCAGAGTATTCGACGGCCGTGCGGAGCTGGTGGTTGCGGTAGCGGTCTGGTTCGTCGTGGAGTTGGCGGCAGAACCGACGATGGCTGTCACCGATGCGGAGGTCATGGCCACAGTAATCTGCGAGTTGGATGGCATGGATGTGGTGGTGATGGTTGCCAGGGTGCCATTTTCGGATGTCGTCCTCACCAAGGTGACGGGTGTCTGAGTGGTGTAGGAGAGGTAGGTATACTGGGTTCCGGTGAAAGCAGAGGTAGCAATCTCGGAGCCGGTGAGCGTGGACCAGCCGGAGAGGGTGAAGGAGAGGGAGGGTTGGGATTGTGTGCTACTGGTGCTCGTGGGCGAAGTCGAACTCGAGGTGCTGCCGGATGATGTGGCAGAGGAGGAGGTGTCTTGCGCGTTCGACCCAGCTGCCGCAAGGCACAGCAGCCAGAGTGCGCTCGAGAGCATCGTGGGCGATATCTATCTTGGCGAAATCTCCTGGGCGATATCTCCTGGGCGATTTCACCTGGAGGCCCGGTGCAGCTCGAAGTTGGAGAAGTCCGGGGCAACGATGGGATGGAGTGTGAGAGTCGACACGTCCTTGGCCCCCGGCGTAGACGCGGATGCGAGGAAGGGGGTGGCACCGTGTATTGGTACAGCGACGGTGGAAGTTTACGGCTCCCAATTTCTCAACCAACAGCCGACCTCATCATACAGCGCGCGCCTGGAGGCCAGGAGCCCAAAGCCTCCCGTCGCGTTGGGACTAGGCGCACTAAATCTCAGTCCGCGGCGCAATGACGTCTCACACATGGCTTTTCTCTGGAGCCGCGCAATCCTCGCGGCTGTGGCTGATCTGCCCCTTCGCCGCACGAGTTGTGCACACGCCGGTATGAAGTCAGGATGCATCGGAGCAGCGTATCAGAGCAGCGAGATCTGCAGATAAGGTTGGCGACGAGACGTCCGGAGTGCTGGAGCGCATGTGGAGAGAGATCATTGTGGGTGTGGATAGCGCAGGATGGATGAGGAAGCGTGACGTTCGTTTGCTCGCTGCCCTGTCTTCCGTTGCCTTGCGGCTGGGCTGGGCTGGGCTGGGCGTTGTCCGTCCTTTTCGCTGCTTGATGATGATGGACTGAATCTCCGCGTTCTCGGCACACGGGAGGATGGTCGGCACGAGCTGCGTATGTCGTCGCATGGCACGCGTGCGTCTGGCTCTCTGTCCTGTGTGTGCTGTGCTGTGCTGTGCTGCTCTCGGACTGGCTCTCTGACTTGCGGCGAGGTGACCTTTTTTCCTTCCTCTCCAGACCTCATCCACCGCCATCCTCCCGACTCCCCTCGTACGTGCACTGCCGCCGCCGTGAGGGCACTTCAGTCTTGTCTTGCGCTGTGCTGTGCTGTGACTTTCCGACAGTATGTTTGGCCGCAAGAAGAAGACGGAGGAAGGCGAGGGTGCCGCCCGCTCAGGCTCCGACCGCACCCTCACCAACGAGAACGAACCCTCCAAGGCCCAGATCAAGCGAGCGACGCGCACCCGACTCTGCTGGGCCCTCCTCACCTCCCTCTTCCTCCTCATCTCCGTCGTCTTCCTCATCCTCGTCGAAGTCGGTGACACCAGAGTCGGCAAGATCCGCAGTGCCATCTACTTCATCAAGCTCGACCTTTCCGACATCATCCCGGTCTCCGTCCCCAATGCCGTCCTCATCAACAGCATCGCCCAGTCCCTCGGGCTGCACGACTTCTACACCGTCGGTCTGTGGAACTACTGCGAGGGATACGATGGACAAGGAACTACCGCTTGCTCTCCCACGCAGACGCTTTACTGGTTTAACCCGATCGAGATCATTCAGAGTGAATTGCTCGCAGGCGCAACCAGTATGTTCCCACTCCAAGCGTCGCACAAGCTTCGCCCAAGCTTCTGATGACAAGCCAAAGCCTCCAGCATCAGGCTTGCAAGATCTCAACAACCACGAATGCTGACATGAACTCTCTTCCCTCCCCCCAGTTGCCTTACCCGCCGAACTCAACAACATCCTGGACCTCATCCGCCTCGTGTCACACTGGATGTTCGGCCTCTTCCTCGCGGCCGCCTGCGTCAACTTCCTCCTCATCTTCATCGTCCCCTTGTCCATCTACTCCCGCTGGGCCACCTTCCCCATCGCCATCTTCACCTTTCTCGGCGCCCTCTTCGTGACGGTTGCCGCCGTCATCGCGACCGTCATGTTCATCATCATGAAGGACGCCATCACCTCGGCCACGCAACTGAACATCGGCGCCGAGCTCGGCGTCGAGATGTTTGCCTTCATGTGGATCGCTGCCAGCTCCGCGATCCTGGCGTGGCTGATTCAGATGGGCATGTGCTGTTGCTGTGCGAGCAGGAGAGACGTCCGGACGGGCCGGAAGAGGGGGAGCAAGAGAGCCTGGGGCACGGAGACGCCCGGTGTGAGTGAGAAGCCGGCGAAGAAGAAGAAGGGCCTCCCAGCCTTTGGCCGGACGAAGAGGGAGAAATAGAACGACGACGGAGCGATTTTTCATAATGTCCTACCTTTTGACGACGATTCTGATGTACATGGCCCTGGTTTTTCTTGCGATGGAGCGCATTTTCTTGTACAGCATAGCGTGGAGGTGTTTCAGTCGGGCTTGGTTGGGAATGTAGTAGGATGATTGGTAAATATTTTCACGAATCATGGACTGTAGAGAGAGAGAGAAGAACGATTCAGCATCCCAAAATCTCGTTAGATGTCCGAAGCTGTATGTACTTTTACATGTGTGAAATTAAATCTGGATCATATCTCTAGTGCTGCTTCCCCAGAGTATCCCACGTCAGCATCCCAAATGCAACAAAGATCAAGGCCCCGCCGATGTATGTTGCCAATGAAGGGCTCAGACCCCAGACCACCCAGTCCGCCAATGCCACGAAGAATACGCTCAGACTGTGGACGGTCAGCTTGTTCATACGGAGGGAGGGACTGACTCGGGGGAGGAGTGCTTACACGTTCGCCATGGACCCAAAGACCGGGTCCGTCCAGACGACCAACACCGCGAGCAACGTAATGGAGACTAGTGAGCCGTGTTAGCCCGAGGTCGGAGTAGTAACCGCACAGGATCATTCTTACTGGAGCCCGCCAACACCGCAATGACGATCCAGAGAGCAGCATGGGCACTCGGGATCTCGAACCGCTCCAGCCCCAAGAAGTGCAAGGGAAAGAAGGCAAGCCAGAGGACTCCAAAGGTGTAGAAGCCTGTCAATGCAGATGCGGAGAGCGTCAAAGGGAGACTGGATTCCTGGCTCTCCGGTCTGGAAGAGCATGCCCATTTCTTGAAGAGCACTTCGTACAACCCAAATGCCACCGCGCCCACGCATGCGATGATGTTGCCCAGGAGGCGTGAGGCTCCGATTGCGGATTCAGCATGCTCTGCTGTCGTGTCTCCATATGCGATTGTGAACGTGCCGCCGGTGGATAGGGCGACTGCGGCGATGCTGATCCAGCCCAGCTTCTCCTTGAGGATTGGCACCGAAAAGGCAGCGGCGAAGAACGTAGCGCAGTTGTAGATCGCGGTCAGGTCGGCGGGGGTCGTGAGTGAGAGGGAGGTGAACCAGGAGACACCGCTAACGGTCAGCACCACTGTCACGAGACCCATCGTTGCGAGCAGAAAGTCGAGAGGACCGCCCGCTTGGCCGTGCCGTTTCCATATCAACTTGGGGCCTGTCGTCGCAAAGGCATCGATTGTGGCGATGGAGCCGCGCAGTTGATTGTTGTAGTCTCGCACCCAAGTCAGGTAGGGTACTCTGCGGTCCTGCCAGCGGAGATAGAGAATGTGGCACAGCCATGGGAGAGCCAGAGAACTGTGCGTGATGTAGAGCGTCGCGAAAGGCTTCTTCCACTTGAGTTCATCTTCGAAATATGCTGTAGCCTCCGTGTTGATCACGAAGCCCACCACACATAGGGCCAAGGTCAAGGCGATCCAGATCCAGGACACGCGCTTTTTGGGAGGCTGGTCTCTTTGTCGGTAGTGGTCGTTGGGCGTCCGCTCGCCTTCCAGTTCGGTGAGCTCGATGTCGTCGTCTTCATCCTGGCTCGTCCAGCCTTGATCCAGAAGTGGTTCATCGTGCTCGTCGTCTTCCAGCTTCCTGCGAGCAGTATCGGGCATCAGGCGGCTCATATTGCCGTGGGTTTGCGCGGGCAATTGGAATCGGGACCCTTTATCTCCCTTCCATATCTGGACAATGGCCTTTCAATCTCCGACCGCGCGTTACAAAGAGGGATGAGCAGCACCGGAATGACTTTGGAACGGGGTAAAGACCGAGGGAAAGGTGCTGTGGTTGCAGTGTCGATTGTATGTGAGGTTGCAGCACGGCGCCAACACGCTGCCCTGGATTTCGGCTTACTCGGCTCGATCCCGGAGCGGAAGCTTACCTTAAACGACTGAGACAACATCACCCGGACCCGGACACGGACACAGACACTTTCGACCTTAGGTTGGTACCTTGGTGAAAGCAGGGTCACTGCGCTTCTTTGCTTGGAGCCTGCACCACCCCACTGCCACCACCACCACCACAACCCATCGGCAATTTTCATCGTCTACCTCACCTCACATCATCCTCACCATTCACGCTGGTGGAGACGGTGCATTGGCGGCGTGCTTGTTGGCGCACAACACAACCCCATTCACCGGGCGCCACAAAGGCTTTCTCTCGACATGAGCCTTAGCACCATCCTTCCGCCCACCTTGCCGCATCTTCTTTATAATCACCGTAAGTGCTTGCTCCCGCCGTCCTTGCGTGGCGCCGTGCTGTCGCTCCCGCGAAGACTCTTACATGGAGTACCCATCCGCTAACACCTCCCCTCCTCCACCCGCAGACCTTCCCACCCCACCGCAGCAGCAACCGACCATGTCTTCTCGGAAGCGCAAGGCTTCCGAGGAGCCAGAAAATGACCGCATGTCGACCTCGCCTTCCGCCTCGCCCTCCATATCAGGTCGACCGCTGGCCTCCTCGAGCACCCACCGCAGCATCAAGCGCACTCGCACGGCCACGACGATCGGCAGACCGCTTGCCCTACCTCGGCTGCTCGAGACGCTGTCGGCGGACGAGATGCGGCAGCTCCTACAGAACGTCTGCGATCAACATCCAGAGCTCCAGCAAGAGATTGTCACACAGGCACCCCGACCGTCCATCGAGTCCACATTGGCAGTGCTGCGGAAGTATGAGGACGCCTTCCGCGGAGCGTTCCCACTCGGCAACCGACCGACATCTGACTACGCATACAATCGCGTACGACATCACCTTTTGCAGCTCATAGATGCCGTGCGAGAATACACGCCACACTTCCTCCCGCCATATGAGACCCAGGATGCCCTCTCGCTCAACTACCTCGACTCTGTCACCGATATGATCCACCGACTACCAGACTGGGACTCGTACCAGCACCAGCGGTACAAGAATGAGGCATACGATGAGATTGCCAAGGCATGGGCATTGGTGATCCGGGAGTCGGCCAAGCGAGCGGGAGGATTTCACTTGCAATTCGGCGGTTGGGATCAGAAGTTGGTGGAGCACAACCAGAAGAGCGGAGGGAAGATGGAAGAAGCTGTGAATGAGTTGAAGGCATCGCTGGGCTTCATGCAAGCGGCTGCGACTGCACAGGCCAACACGAATGTTTCAGAGGAGCGGGCGAGCATACGGCAGCAGCTATTTGCCGGCACATATGGACATCAGCAGTTGGGCGTTGGACCGGGCGGATGCTGAGGAGGAGAAGGGCATGACACCGACATGAGATACGGCCTATCAGCATCTGCATTTGTCATGGGTGGGATTCTGGGCGTTCACACAGCACGGGCGCATTGCAGCGGGGTTTGGGCGGCGTACAGAAGAAGCACAGCGAGACCCGAATCATTGGGTGTTTATCATTGGGATCGGGATCAGAGCAGGATCACAGCCAGCCTGTGGCATATACGATATCGAATAGCCTTAATATGGAATTGTTCATTTGTGGATATCATCGCTTTCGTTCAGATTCTTACTCCTTCCGCGCAACCACGGGGGCTCCGCGGTTTTGTGAAGCTACATTCCGCTGTGCGGTACATGTACCCTTCTGGCTTCATGACCCTTTCTACTGCTGACGTAGTTCTTTCCAACGTAGCATTCCGGCGTATGATCACGCTTGTCGACTCGCTAAGGACACATTCGCGACAATATCGCTCCCAGCTAGTCCCCGTCGTCGCTGTCGCTTTAGCTGTCGCTGTCGCTTTCGCTGCTGTCCGCGTCCTTCTCTCCAACCACCTCCCTTCTCGATCCATCGATTGTCCATATAGCCGCCGAGGCAAAGCTCTGGTCTGGTGACGAAGCGCACTTCCCTGTACCCGTACCCGTACAGCAGACCAAGGCATCTGTCCCTGTCTCATGTGGAAAAGGCCACGCAGCTCATCGCCTCGACGGTGAAGAAGGAAGACGGTGTGTTTGTTCTCGATGATGAGAAGAAGAGCGATTCAGGGCGCGTATGCCGTGATTCCGACGAGGCAATTCTAGTACATGTAGGTTCTCCCCAAGGTGGCGTTCTTCAGGTCTGTATAGCTACAGCGGGCACCAAGTCAGTCCTCTCTCGCCTTCACACGTTTCTGGCGGGGATTGCGGTCCGCAACAAAGCTCGGAGCTTCTGGCGTGAGCGAGGCTCAGTTCGCTACATAGGGGTCCAGAAGGCGAGGTCTATTTCCGAGTTCCGTCGCGGCATGTCCATCCAGGAGGAACTCGCCCCCGCCGTAGATAGAAGATCTCGAGGGCTTCCGGGCGGATCTGCTTGTAGATGAGCTGGACAAGAGGGCGCTGGTCTTGAATCCAGACGAAGAGGGACACGGATCTTCTTGGTCTGGAGGGGCAACGAGTCGGGAGATGCGAATCCTCCCTCAGCTCTGCTGGAAGCTCGAGTAGCCGCGGGTCTGCGCGTGCTGGTGCTTGTTTGAAGTGCCGCTATGATGTGTTGTTGGCCGTTGCGGTGAGGGTGTTCGTGTTCGTGTTCGTGGCTCAGAAATGGCACCTGCGGACGCGAATGGAGAACTGCGGGTGTCAGTTTTGGAATTGAAGGTCGGACATTAAGCGACCTTCTGCAATCGCATGTGATGAGGAGGGCTCGCCTGTTGTTCTTGTTGGAATACAGATCCCCAGAAGCAGTGTGTAGTGAGGAGGTTTCTTCCAATCATCTCGAGGTGGAAAGGCTTTTTGAAAATTGCAATCTCTCGACATCGGCTTCGTCGACTCATAGCAGGCTGACAAGCCTGCAACTCGCATCATGTTCTTGGGGGTTGGGAATCGGACAAGGTTGTGAGTCTCTCCCTTCGCCTACGGCCTGCGTGTTTTCTGTGCAGCTTATACCTTTTAAACCAGCAGGAAAGTGTGGAAAAGTCAACTTGAAATGGACCAGCATTAGCACAGTGGACCTCGACGCGGCACGGCAAGATCGCACTCCTATCTTTCCCATTCGTCTCACTGCATTTCCCATTCCTAAGCCGCGGATCCCGGCCTCTGCTCTTGCTTGGAACATCGAGTTCATCTTCCGTCAATCCATGCTTATTTGGGGCTTTATCGTGTTGCAGTCGCAGCCGCTGCCTGACGGGGCAGAAGGATTGATAGCTGTCGGAGTTCATGAAGGCATGGTTATCCAGAAGTTGTTCTCACTTGCCGTAGTAGAACATCTCCAGTGCTTCGCGTCCGATCTGATGGCGCGTGGCGAGCAAGCCGCAATATAGGTAGGGGCCAGAGCGCTGATTCGAATGAAATGGACTTCAAATAGCACGAGGCGGTAGATGGGGCTCCTCAGCTCTGTCCGCAGTTTGGGCAGGCGGAGTGCGGTGTCCTTAGGCGCTTGCGACGGATCTCGAATGGTCTGCATGACCTGTAGCTGGACATTTTCAAGCGCGTTTGAAGTTGATGTTGATCAACAACCACAATGAAGTCCTGGACGAGTCTGTATATGTGAACGTCCAGAGTTTCCGCTACCGTCCGCCTGCCCTTCCGTCCTTGTGACGGTGAAGTTGCCAAGGTCTTTGATGATGGTTATCTTCTAGTACCCCAACGACCCAAATGTCTCGGTCGAGATAAGTAATCTCAATGCCGCGTTGACTGCTTCATTGCAGATGCTCACTGGAGAGAGCTGATCGGCGACTCAACTTTCGCACGTTTGGAAGCATTGGCGGCATATCCATTCGAGAGCTGACGCAGACGTCTATCCCAGCAGTCTACTTCGACTCAAGTTTGTCGGGAATCTGAGCGACTCGGATGTTGGTCGTCTCTGCGCTTCATGTCTGTTCGCTGTATCAAGGCCATCAGGGTTGGGGCAGCTTGTGAAGGATACAATCAGCGACTTACCCATACTCCGCTTTCAACTCCCGAATCGAAACAGTCGAGAGATAGATCGTCATCAGAGGCACTTCCCTCCCCCGATCGGTCCCTCTTGCGCCGGGCATGGTCTCCAGAACATCAGCTGACCCCCCGGCATCGTCGAGCATCCGAACATACTCCGTCTTCAGCGCATTGTACTGAAAGCATTTGATGTTCTTGGATGCCAGATCTCGTTTGACGATCTCGATGATGCTGATGAGTTTGGGGGCAGCTTTAGGTTTGGCTGTCAAGGCAACAATGGGTGTTCTCGACTGATTGTCTGAATCTTCCGCTTGAAGATTGGAGAGGACGGCGGAAGTACGGTTGGAGATTTGGGTTGAGGAGAGGACGCTGAGGTTGACCAGGTTGTAATTTTCCTGGGGAAGAGGGGCTCCATCTCGCGGTGCGGCCATTGTTCCCTGATGAGTGCGGCGGACAGCGGACGGGCTTCACGTTGGGTGAGAATCGCTGTCCGAGGGCGAGGGCGAGGCCCGGAATCACCGAGATAGGCAAGAAGGGTCACGTGCTACCAGACAAAGAGGAAAGCTGTCACATGTGCCGTGCTGTGCTGTGCTGTGCTGTGATGGCGAGATTGGCAATCCCGGTTCCGCGGTAAGGATTGTGAATGGTCTGAAGGAAATCGGAGCTTGTGTCTTGGCAGTGTGTTGTGTCGTGGAGAAGAAGGTACGTACCTTAAGACGACGAACGGCAGGCGCGTTGGCGGCGCGGTACGGCAAGCATTCCTGCTCGCTGTTGACAGCTGCGAGGTGAGTCAACAGCTAGTCAACAGCTATGTAGTAGTCAACAGCTGGAGCCAGGTTGAGCTCTGCTCTGCACACAGCCTTGGCACACAGCCAACACAGCCAACACAGCTCTCTCCACAGCTCTGCACTGTACGGCACATGGGGAGAGGTACGTGTCGTGCCTTCCAACTTCCGTGCCTGCCGTGCATCCGCGCAAACAGCGTCACGTGAGGATGTGCGGGTACCGCGCGCGACATGTAAACGACCTGAACAACGCAGTCCGTCTCGCTACGGCTACCTACACGAGACGCAGTCCGGTTTGTATGGGAGGGACGTTGGGATGGCCTCATCGCAGTGGCCTCATCACGACGAGCAGATTCCACGAGGCTTCAGGGGCTTCGTCTACGTCCAACGGGAGCCCGTCCAACGGGAGCCCGTCCAACGGGAGCACAGGAGCCATGCAACAGCAGGGACGGGGCGGAAGCAAGGCAGATGGAAAGCGACGTATCAGGTTGCAGCGCGAGACGGCAGGCGCAGGACGGGCCGGGCAGCTTCCTGTGTTGCCTGTTTGCCTACTACTGCGCACGTATCACGTATCGTATCGGCGAGTCTCTGACGTTTGGTCGACGCTTCGGGTCTAATGCAGGCAGCTCCCTGCTGGCGCCGCTTGTCTGTGTCGGTGTTTCGCTCGCGGTCTGCCCACGCCCACGCCCACGCCCACGCCCACGACTCTCACTCTTCGCCGTCGCTGCTGCTGGCTGCTGCCACAAACATCCCATCGTCACCAACCTCACCCGCACCCGCACCCTCTCCCTCTCCCTCTCCCTCTCTCCCCCAAATCGCCGCCTCGCCCACCACTCCTCCCTCCCCTCCGTCGCAACACCCGTTGGAGCGCTTCTTTCTTCTTCTCCTTCATCTGAACCACCCCTGTGTTATTAGTCCGATACTTTAATATATTTATTGTCCGCCTCACGGCCTGCACCTCCCGTCGCGACGCCTTATCTCCGCTAAACCACGCTTCCACCAACGCTCCTGCCTCGACCTTCCACCAAACCCGCGCCTTCTCCAACACGATCGCGACACCAGTCGGACGCTCAACGACTTCGACGACCTTCTCACGCCTTCCAACCTACACCGACACTCTCGACATCTTCCCTGCGACTCGCCCATGCGACAGCCATACCATTCTTTTCCTGTCGCATTTCAATTGGCACAACGTTTCATGGAGCTGGCGACTCGCAGGCTGCAGCAGAGCCATCACTGAACGCCGAAGCCGACGCCTGTGATCGCCATGCAGGGCATCTTCCGTTTGCCCTGGGGGTCGAGCGACCTGTCCGAGAAGGGCCACCTGGACAAGATGCGCGCATCGCCCGTGGTAGAGATACCCATGCTCAACAAATTGAAGAGGAAGCTGCCTGATACGCCTCATGTACTGTCGCCTTCGTTGACCTCCCCGCTCAAGCGGCAGCGGCCCGAGGTGGATTATCCTGAACAGCTGCCTACTCCCAGTTCACCGTATGTGGATGCGCGCATGTCTTGCAACCCCGAATCTGCACAGACAACCCTTCCTTCGGCACCGACAAACGGAGGAAGCAGCTCGAGCCAACTCGACGCACAAGCTGGAGGCGGCGCGGAAGTCAAGGAAGAAAGTGATGCGCAACCTTTCCCGAGGCCTTCGAGCACCAGCTCCCAAGGATATTTTGATGCCAAGCCAGTATCGAATGAATCTACAAATACACATGCGAAGGCCGTGCCGGACTCAATATCTGGCCTTACGCCGCTCCAACAGGTCATCGAGAGTACCCTGAATGTGCAGATCCTCTTGAAGCACAACGAGCTGCGCTTGATCGAGCAGGAACTTGCCAAGTGCCAAATCTCACTGGAGCAGCTGCGAAGATGCGAGGTCATCCCCTACCCGGGAGATGATTTGGCAAATCTGTCCCTGAGACAAGGTACTGGCCCTGCGGTGGAGCCTCCGGCTGGCTACACTCGACCTCCTCACGCTGCGCCATACGGGGTCACAGATGGGCCATACACTCGGCATTATGCGCAATGGCTCCTGAAGGATCCTCAGTTCGATTCCGTGTCGCCGCAGGCTGTTGCGCAGGCGGGGCAGCTTGTCAACACAGCGAGTCGCACTCGGGGCCATCACGCGAGGAAACCAACGAGCAAGTCGCTCAGCATGTCCACCAGGAATTCCGACCCTCTGCAGAGCATTCCCAACTATCCACCTGCTGCCATGCCCGTTAAGGAGAAGCTCCCCTTCCAAACGCTCAGAAGGTCAACAGATGGTCAGCTGGTCAAGCTGGTGTGCAAGGATTGCAAGCGAAGTAACTTTAGCAGCATCCAAGGCTTTCTCAACCACTGCCGGATTGCGCACAAGGTCGACTACAAGTCTCACGATCAGGCCGCCGTCGACTGCGGTCAGCTGCTCGAGGAGCACGAAATGGCATCGTTGCCACCCGAGGCGCAGGCCGTCAGCGCGCCCAAGCCAGCTCCTACGCGATCTGCCAGCCTTGCGATCATGCCTCCTCATCGCAGCGGACTTGTGCATCCACTCAACACTTCGACTGGCATAATCACTCCCTCAACAACCGCTCCTCACACACCCGCTTCGGCGGTCCCGGCAATTTCGGTATCAACGCCTCCCGCATCCACGAACAAGCCTCTCAAGCCGTCCGGACAGGTGCCCCGTCTCTCTGCGTGGTTTGCCAAGAACAATGTTGGTGGCGATCTGGATCATGCCGCTGCACTGGCGAAGGAGAAGGTCGACCTGTCAAACGACGAGGATCTGCGATCACCCGATACGCCCGACATTGGCTCTCCTGTTGCTTCTTTCCCTACTGGAGCTCGCACTGTTGCTGGCACCAACAGCGCCAAGCAGCTGGGAGGGCCTAATGGTGATGCTCTTCCCCGTCCTTCCAGTCGTAAAGGGTTTAGGCAACCAGCCTCCCAGCGTCCTCGGCCGTCCCCGCTTGCTCCTACGCCTGCTCGTGTCGATGAGCACCAGAGCGCGCTCTCCTCGCCACAGGATCCGGCTTCGACCGCGCTGAGTCCACATACTGCCGACAGCAACCCAGGCTTGGTGAGCGACCACGAGGATGATCACGGCTCCGCTTCGGAAGACGAGAGCCCGTCTTCGTTCGCCGCCGTCGCGCCAGGCCTTCCGCGGGTACCGCAGACCTGCGGCAGTGGCGAGGAACACATGGACATTGACATTGAGTCGGATCACGAGATTGACGGGCGTGGAGGCTTGATCATACGTCGGAATAGCATGGTGGCTGATGAGGCACGTGGTCTCTCGCGCTGCAACGGCAGTCCGAGTCGGAAGATGGGTGGCAAGTGAGTCACTGTCGGTGGAAACCGGAAAAAGCAAAAGGAACAGACTGAAAAGAGTAACGTGCTTGCGATGCGAATGACGGAAGACGTGACCCTCGTTACTTGTATGATGTGTGGGAGATTTATACTGCTCAGGACGAACAACTGAATAGCTAGAGCTAGAATACGTGTGACAAGAAGAAAACAATCTACTCTCTCCATGAAAGTTTGGACTTTGCCTTGCTTCTATGACTTGGATGATTGTGACGAGGCGGATCTATGATGGGAGTCTAGTAAAACAACCATGGTTCCTTCTCTGCACTCCGAGTTTATTCCATTTCATATGACGGAGGCCACCGTCCCCGGCGCATGAACAGGTACAGGCGGTGCTCCTCCATGTCTCGGCCCTTCGGATCCCAGGATATTCGTAACAAATTGCTCCACTTCCCGTCCAATCTTCACCATATCCAACCTTCGCAAAGCGTTCCTCTGCGCTTCCAGAACTTCCGGTTCCTCGTGCACGTCCTTCATCACTTCACTCTCCTGGAACCAGTAATCCTGTACCCTCCTCCGCATGTCTTTATCGCGGACGGTGGCGTTTCGGATGACGCCTAGTTTGCGAGTACTGGCGAGGAGAGTCTCCAAGCGGGAGGTATGCGCGAGGAGCTGTTGGGAAGGGGAAGGAGGGTTCAGGAAGGCGCGGTTTGTGGATTGGAGATAGATTGCGAGGCCGAGGAGGGAGTCGAGACATGCGATTGCGAGACCGCGGTAGATGGGGACTTTCCATGCCAGGAAGTTGAGTTCGGTCTGGCGGGGATCTTGGGGTGTGGTGGAGAGGTAGTAGATTTCCGCTGCGGGGAGGATGAGAGCGGCTATTGTGGCGACTGTGCGCCATCTTGCCGGTTCGGAGCCGGAGAGGGTAGTGGAGGTTGTTATACCCAGGGCGAAAAAGTGGAGGATGTGTGGGGCGAGGAGGGAAGGGAGGGCGTAGAGGAGGTGAAATTTGGAGGCGTCTAGGGTTCCCAGCGTTGTGAGGGGGTTGGCGAGGAGGATGGTGGGACCGTAGCGAGCGTAGAGGAGACGGGCTTGGAGGCCTCCTGTCTCGAAGAGTCGGCGGAGAGTTTCGTCTTTGGAGGTGAGTGGCCTAACGGCGGCGAGGCGGGTCAGGAGGACTCCGGTGGCTGTTTGCAGGCGGGATTGGGTTGTTCGGAAGATGTTTTCCGGTTGGAAGGCGGGAAGAGTGCCGACGAGGGCGATGATTCCGGAGATGAAGAGGATGGTCAGGCCGTAGGAGGTCTTTTGTGGGAGTGATTTGATTTGGGATGCTGGGCGGTTTCTTATTGCTCGGTAGTAGGCGATTGCTCTGGGAATGAACCAGGGACCGAAGAAGATGAGGAGAGATTGAATTCTGGGTGGTTGTTAGTGGTTGAAAGCATGTGATGCAGAGATGCCACGTACGTTGACCAGGAGAGCATGATTGCTACTGGGAAGCCTGTATTGTGTGTAGGATTTTTGTTCATGAGGCGTGAGGTTGGAAGAGGCAAGTTGTAACGATCGGATCGCGGTTCGGCCGAAAGTTATTGCGGCTCCGGGCTTCCCCGCACTGGACTGTCATGTGGGAGGCTTGGGAGGTTGGCTTAGTTAGAGTCTTGGCAAGCCCTGACCGCCTTCCACCAACACATTTCAAAAACAACTTCTTCCCCCTCCCTCTTGAACGCACTCTTCTCATTCTGTGGAAGCTACAAGACACTCCGAAGACTGTGGGATCCTCCTTCGATAGCTCACACATTTATTGTCAACTGTGCCGTTATCATTTCCAACGTCACCAAACATGCATCCCGAGAACGTGCTCAGTTTTCTGACTCTTGTTGGACTCCTCGCAACTTACTACATGGCCGCTGGACGGATGATGCAGTCTGGAGGTCAGAAACTGGCCAGCAGTCGGATGTACTACTCACATGGTGGTGCGGCTTAACATGGTCTCGACTTGCCGCAATGCCTCGATGTCTGGCCTTGCACGAACGAAAGACTTCGCACATCGTGCACGCTGGAGCAAGAAGAAATCTCACAAGAATCTGGCATGACACTGGAAAAGATTTCGAACCCATTCGTTTGAACCGAAATCGCTGGAGCCTCGCACTGAGACTCAATATCGCCAAGTCTCCTTCCAATCGGGAAAAGCATCAGGCTACCCTTCATGGAGTGCCAATCCCGACCCTAACCCTACCCTGGAAGTCCATCATCGACTGTCCTATTGTCCATTGTGCCATGCCTCCGATCCTTCAACGCTGGTCAAGTGTCGTTCACGCTTGCTCTTCAAGCCTCTGGGAAGTGCAACGTCAGTGAAGAAGCCAAAGGGAGGTGCAAATGCAGTGCGAATGCAGTTGCGAGAAGAAAATTTGAGCTCCGCCGTCAGCGTTCGCCGTTATCGAGAGAGCTTGTGGAGGATTCCAGAGCATCCGAGAAGAGATGACCACGGAAGTAGCTCCTCGCCCGGTGCGGTCTGGCGGACGCTGTGTGGAAATTCTGGGCCTTCGTTGCCTGAGGTGTTCTGAACGTTTTCAGGGTACCGTGATGTATTCAAGACGTATGTTCTTCTTGTGGCCATGGAGAGTTTTGGGGACATGCTTGAATGGTCTTCTCACGATGCTTCATCGTCCGTATCGTCGTTTTGGTCCTTGTCATGATCTTGGGGTGCACGCGAGCTGGAACAGTTCATGTGGTTCGCTCCCGTTGTGTACTGGTCGCCTCGTGTGGCCGACGCCGGTGGACTTGGTAGAGGAAGCCGCTGTTCGATGCGGCGGGAGCTGGCGGGAGCATCTGCCTCCTCTTGCTATCTAATCTCATACGGGGATGCACCTAGAGGACTAAGGCTTAAAAAGTACTCCTCCGGGGACGCTGCCACATTGTCAGCTCTCTATGCCTCTTTAGAAACTTGGCGGACACACTCATGCTGCACCGTCTGGACGCGGTGCTGCCGGAGGAACTCTCTCTTGCCATGGAGCCCTTGGTATGAATAAGGCCATTGGGACCCTCCACCGAGGGCTTCTGCTTCTCGTTGATCGCAGACGACAATTTGTTCATGCCCTTCATGACGATGTCTGGAACGATGCGCGGATCGAATGATTGGAAGTAATGAGGGGGAAGAGAGAGAAGCAGCTTCGCAAGTTGCGGTCTGATCGAGCAAGCAGGAGACGTGGCGGGAAGCAGGCGGGCGGGACAACACACTGCGGCTTGTCGCACGGACCTCTTCATCACATGTCAAACTTCTTGGCATTAGCTATCCACTGCGTATGGCGAGCAGCAACACTCCACGTTTCGCGGAAGTCCAAAATCTGGTACAATCGAGTGTGCCAGAACAGATTTATGTATGCCTATTTGCCCGCGCACGAAATCCTTCCCTACCGGAATTGACCAAAGGTACTTCCATCTGGCACTCAATACATCACGAGGATACTTGCTCTCTCCCTGCTCTCTTTGATATTACTGTTTTGAGCACGTCTTCCGCTACAATTTACGGCTCTTCTCGTCCCTTTAAGCCTTGTGCGCATAGCCGGGTCTCGTCGTAAAGCTGCTCCATCGTAGTGTCGCTCCGACTGCATATTCTTTCCTGCTCCACTAGCGTCTACAGAAGTATGGCAAGATTGTAAACATAGGCTTCAACATGCATATTGGTATCGCGCATACAGATCTAGAACACCCGACGCGTCTTAGAATGCTATAGTAGCTTATTCAACCTACGCTACCATTTCTTCGTCTTCTATACACTCCTGCTACTATCTACCTCTATCAACGCTGATGCTGTCGGAACATTTAAGAACTTGGCTGAGCTAAATCGGGGAAAACACAATCAAAGGACTATCTCCCATTGCCGTAACCACCGCTGAACCCAACCCAGCGATACAGGCTCCAGTTTGCTCAACGACACACTCTTTTCCTGTGCAATATCTGTCGAGAAGACAGGTCGTTTCGATCCTGGTTGTCCAATATCTCGGAAGAATGAAACAAGCTTGACTGCTGGAACTCTCTCTGCGGAGTCCTCTCGCTCAGAGGCTTCGGCCAGGGTATTGAGCCACTCCGAGTATGGTACCACCTGGATTCTCCCGTTGTCTGCCTTGACAAGAGAGTGCACAATGTCCCGCCAGTACGTCTTGTTGGGATTCACAAAATGCAGGACTGTGGCTTCCATATTTGGCATCGTCTCTTCTGAAGCAGACGATAGCGAAGTTTGGGAACTGGCAACACCCAGCTCCAACGACGAGCCTTCCGATGCGCTGGAAGTCTCACTAAGAGCACCCGGTGTGTGGGTATCTGGCGTTGATGCGTCGGGCTCGGAAGGCGTCGCAGTGGTGTCCGCTAAAGCAGCCTCTACTAGCATGTTACCAAGCATGTCAACTGGTATCCAATCCATACAGTCCATTGCCTCGAGGCTCTCAGGTATTGTGCCAAGGGCATCGCAGCTGGACATGATGCTTGGAAACCACTCACTTGGGTTCCAAAGTCCTTTGTCTGACTTGACAGGCCCAGCAATCTGCCCGACCCGACAGATTGTGACATGCAAGTCGTGCTTTTGGCTTGCTCTCGCAAATAAAAGTTCGCCGAGCTGCTTTGATTGCGCATAGCCCATGTCTTCCGATATACGGAAGTCGGACAGGACTTCCTCTGGGACAGATCCGTCGTGCACAGATGCCCACTGATTCGCAGCACCCACGCTAGACAAGAACATGGTCTTGACTTTGTTTCTCGATGTAGTCGCCAGCTCGATCATGTGGCAGCAAGTCTCCAATTGCGGCTCAAACGAGCTCAGAGGAAGATTGAAATTGACAGGATAGGCATTGTGGATCACATGGCTCGCCTCTTGCAACAGCTCGTTGTACTGTTGATCTACCAGCCCAAGATGTGGTCTTGAGATATCGGTCTCGAAGAAGGTGACGCGAGAGAGGTCAGTTGTCAAACCACGCGACTCGTTGATCTTCGCTTGTTTCTCGGCGTTGCTGCCTGGTCGATTTAGACACACGACCTTGTCGACAAAGGGGCTCAGCAAGAGGCTATCCAGGACGTACGAGCCCAGCGAGCCCGACGATCCAGTTAGGACGAAAACATGTCTCCTCGACAAGACCTTTGCCCGAAGATCTTGCTTGAAATCGCAGATGCGTTTATCGAACAAGTCGTGCATCCGCTGCATTGCTGCGAGATGATCGTCGGCATCGCTCTCTTCGCAAGGCTTTCCTTGCAGCGTCTGCAACATCATTCGGGCCATCTTGAGCGCCGTGGGATGCTGATAGATAGCTCGCGGAGCTAATTTGGAATCGTGCCCCTGCTCTCGAAGACTTTGATTGAGGTATCGCAGCAGCTTCAAGGCCTTCAATGAGTCGAACCCAAGTTTGAAAATGTTCGCATCCAGTGCGATCTCACGACGGCCCATGAATTCAACAGATAAAAAGTCTCTCAGGCAATGGCTCAAAGACTCCACGCTGCTGAAGTCCAGCTGTGGAGAGTGAACACTACCCCCATCAGCAGAATCGTAAACTTGCGTGATCAAGTCGCAAAGAGCGTCAGTAGTAGGTGCTCGGCGAATCTCTCCTTTGGCAGACCGTAGGAAGGATTCAGATGGCTCAAGAACTCGAATGTGCGATTCATGAATCTGTGCATGGGCCGGTAATATTTCGTTTGCGTACTCGACTGCTTGTACGATTGATGCTCGTCTCTTTTCCAGCTCCAATCCAGGAATATCAGCCGGCTCGACCAAAAGCGCTGGCTGCTCTCGTGAAGCGCCAACAATTAGCGCTGACTGGACGGTCTCTTCTCGTGCAATGAGTCGTTCAGCTGCTGTCGGGTTGATCTTCTCGCCATTAGACAGCACGATAATGTCATCCAGCCTACCGCGATATCGCCAACAGTCCGCGTTCGAAGGGTGCTGCTCATACAAGTCTTTCATCGGATACTCTTGAAAGTCGGGAAACGTCCAGAAAGCTCCTTGATGCCGCTGGCTTGCGGTGTTGCGCACGAATACCAGCTCGGCGAGACCATTCGAACCCTCCTGTAGCCGGTACTCGATTCCAAGACACGGATGGTAATTATGGTATTCCCACTCGTCTATCGATCGAGGCATAAGTTCAGGAATGTTGAAAGTCTCGGTCGAGCCTAGAATTTGCAGTACTTTCGTCTTCTCCCACAAGGCATCGCCAGCTTCTTTCGGTAGTGGTCCACCACCGAAGGTCACACTTGACCATTGAGAGATTTTGGAAAGCATAACATGGTCCATAGCCACTTCCGCAAGCAGTGATGGAGCCATGACTGCTGCATCTGCGATGTGCGCATCCAAGATTCGGTCCACTGTCTCCATCGAAGGCGGCTTGTCGCATGGACCAAAGATTAACTCGGTAAATTGGAAGATGGAGTAACAGAAGAAGTTGATGCCGGCCGAGTGGAAAGGAGGGAGAGCTGTGTATACGGGACGATTGGCCCATGCTGGTGCAGAGACGGAGCGTCCGTTGACGTCGGGGAGAGTTTGTTGAAGGTCGATGGTAGCTAGCAGGCCGTGCGAGATACTTACTGGTTTAGGCAAGCCAGTCGAGCCTGATGTGTGCAGAACGAGGAATGGCTCAGTTGCTACATCCTCAAAACTGTAAGACCAGGGGAACGGTTCGACGATCTGATGATCGAGAAGTTCGTCGAGAGATGGCAGAATCTCGTACTTCACGTTCTGTGCGTCGACGAGGCGTCGCAGGGTCTCATCCTGAGTCTGATCTCGGGAACCAAATAACATTCGACAGCCAGTCTTTTCCAGCAGAGACAGATGCGCATCGACTTGATTTCTAGGTGATGAGAATAGGCACTGTCAATCGATTAGCCTCTATTTGAAGATCCACCTCTTGCCTTCCGGGCCGTGAGACCATACCTTTAATCGACATTTCGACGCAGCACACGCCAGAATGAAGTATCGGATATCTGATGGTCCAACGTAGCAAATAGTCTCAAGGTCTGCGTGTTCAGAAAACAGTTCGGACAGGCGCCACGCCAGTCTGTGGATCGCATTGGCAAGCTGATGAAAGGTGACTGAATGCCATTCTCCTTGTTCAAAGGCTTCTGGAGACAGAGGATAACGTGCCCAGACTTTGTCGCTATGGCTTAGTGCGAGTCGGTCGATGGTCTCGGGTATCGTCCGGTTGCCGTGCGACATGGCAAGGTAGATAATGTTCACAGCGAACGTGTTCGCCGGCGCAAATAGGACAGTTCGACACTCTTCGCGAGGCAAGCACGCAGACGCGTATTCCCTCGGGGCAGGTGGTCAATCAACATGCGATGGAATCTAGGAATTCGAACAGTAGATTCTCGGTCTGGCTGAAGTCGTGTTGTTGACCTGGGCAGGGAGAGTTGGTAAGAAAAGGTCAACGCAACGCCGTCCCCAGCTGCTACGACAGAACGCCATGTTGATACGCTATACTCTCCCATCGGATAAGGTCGCGTCGACGGGTGCATGCCAGCGAAAGATCGTCAGTGGGAGCCGAATTGGAGGCAGAAGTCTCGCGATGACGACATGACGTCGAGTCTGTTGAGACCGATTAACTGTCATTGCCTTAGACGGGCTTCGATCGTCCAAAGATCCCTTGTAACAGTGGAGCATGAGGTTTGGAAAACCGTCTTTGGCGGCCGCTAGGATGTCATCGTGCGTTAGTGAGTCGGCACACATGAGTGGTTCGGGCCCGGATCCCCTCAATTCGACTTATACTCGATGAGGAATGCACGCATCGCTAGCACAGCTAGATTCGACGATTGCCCTCGAATTGGCGAAATTTAAACTCATGCCAGATCAAACCTTAATCTCATGCCGCCGTCATGATCGTCCGAGCATGCTTGTGATAGGGTCCTTCCTGCCTTAGGATGCGGGGGCCCCAGATTTGCCATATGACACAGGTGCCGGGCTGTCCCTTCAACTGTCTACGTCGTCTGCGGATAGTTCTCCTTCACGCAACAGTCCAGGAGTCGTCCGCATTGACATTGTGCGGCCTCGTACAATCTTGACGGAATGTCTTCGACATCGATACCACCTTCAACGCTCGATCCAGAGAAGCCCGACCCCAATCACGACCCGCATAGGAACGATAGTACAGAAGAAAAGAACTTGGCAAAGTCGCCCACTCGTAGCGACGATGAGGAGAAGGCACAGCCGAATGGCGAGGAGTCCGCTCCTGCGCCGTTCTCTCCGGGACACGAGATTATCTTTATATTCGTCATATGCATGGCCCAGTTTCTGTCACTCGCGGGATTGGCACAGAGCATAGCGCCTTTAAATATCATCGGCAGGTGAGCATGAGTGAGGCAAGCCGAATCGCGTAGAGAGACGCTGACCTCGATCCCCTCGATGCGCAGGAGTTTCGGTGTCACGGATGAAGCACAATTAAGTTGGTACCCGGCCGCGTTCAGCTTGACAGTCGGAACCTTTATTCTTCCCGCAGGTCGTCTTGGTGATATGTATGGTCACAAGAATCTATACATGCTCGGATTTGCCTGGTACGCGGTCTGGTCTGTCGTCGCCGGTGTAGCAGTCTACAGCGGCGACATCCTCTTCAGCATTGCCCGCGCATTCCAGGGGATCGGTTGCGCTTTGCTCGTACCAAACGCTCTGGCCATAGTTGGACGCTCGTATGGAGCTAGCCCCAAGAAGAACATGATCTTTGCACTTTTCGGTGCAGCAGCTCCGACTGGATGGGTTGTCGGAGCTGTCTTCTCTTCGATACTAGCTCAGCTTGCTTGGTGGCCCTGGGCATTTTTCGCTCTGGCATTCACATGCATCGTCATGATTCTCGCTGCTTTCTTCATTCTTCCAGCTGATGAGACGCATCCTTCCAGTATCAAAGATTTCGACTTTCTGGGTACTGCCACCGGCGTGAGTGGACTGGTCCTCTTCAACTTCGCCTGGAACCAGGCTGCCGTGGTCGGATGGCCCACCGTATATACATACGTGCTCCTGATTGTTGGCATTCTGCTATTCATAGCATTTGCATTCGTGGAAATTAAGGTGGTGAAAAATCCATTGGTTCCACTTGCTGGCTTCAAGGGCGAGGCTGCTCTTGCACTAGGTGTGATTGCAGCTGGTTGGGGCAGCTTCGGTGTCTGGGTCTTCTATCTATGGAGGCTGATCGAAAATCTTCGTGGATACTCTGCCCTTGCGGCATGCGCTCAGAACTCTCCAGTGGCAATTACGGGTCTGCTTGCCGCTGTGGCTACTGGCTTCCTCCTCTCGCACATTAAGGTCTCGTACGTCCTGCTCATGGCAACGTTATTCTTCGTGATCGGCCAGATTCTTATTGCGACCGCGCCTGTGGGACAAACATACTGGGCGCAGACTTTTGTTTCTATTCTTATTATGCCTTGGGGAATGGATATGTCGTTCCCATCGGCTACTATCATATTAAGCAACAACACGCCTAAACATGACCAGGGAATCGCAGCTTCGCTCATCAATACGACTGTCAACTACAGCATTTCTCTGGGCCTTGGAATAGCCGGAACCATCGTCCGGAATGTGAACAAGAACGGAGGTAGCACATTAGATGGCTATCGTGGGGCTTGGTACTTTGGCATCGGGTTGGATGGCCTGGCTGTAGCTATTGCGCTGTACTTCGTCTTCAAATTCAGGTAGATCAAATTTAATCCCGCAAGAGACGGTCCAGTTGATGACTTCTGCCTGTTTTGACCTAACAGTGACTCCCCTGAGATCTGGTGCTCGGAGACACTGGTTTCCGGCTTGATGTTTTCGGTGATGTCTTTGCCGAAACCTTATGCGATTTGATGATTCCTGAAGAACTCTTGCTTGCTGGCCGAGAATCTTTCGGTTTCTTGATGAAGAGAGTGTTTTGCGGTCTAACAGTTGTGAGCTTGCTCCCGGACTGTGTCTGTGTAACGAACATGTTTTGACCAGGCAATAAGTTTCGAGAATCGTGTAACTATTAGTCTTGCGTCCGTCCAGCGCTGAATAAATACCCTTTCGCATGCCGAATGTGCACTTCCTCTGTAGCCGACTGTAGGAAGTGTCTTGAGTTGCTCTTTCCGCTCGGCCAGTTTCTTCTTCAGCATGTCCTCCATTCATTCTCCGGTCCCTTATTGTATCCCTCGAGGTTCTGCAGGAGACCAATCATACGGTCATCATAGCTCTTTTGATGGGTCTGTTCGATCGCTGCCGTCTCGTCTACTAGTCTTCGGCTGGTCTCTTCTTCCAGGCAATGTCGTTAAGTTTCGTGCCGCTCGGTGCATTTAAATTCGTCAGAACCTGGCTCGAATGTTGCTGCATCAAATCTCCTGATCGTTGTCGTGGAATGACTCACTAGTGCAGGTCAATTTGCATGTGACAGCCCGTGTGAGTGAATGTGTGTTCTTGATGCCTCAGGCCTCAAGGATGCCAAGAGCCGTCTCCATCAAATTTTGATTGCAGTGCGAAACGGTTGATCACGTTCAACCTCACTCTTGTTCACTCAACAACCGACGTTCCGATTTCGACCCTCTCTTCAGCTTGCCCGCAGAGGCATTTGCACCCATTCTCTTCGTCGCCCATTATGGACATCCGAATACTCCAATCCTCCGACATACCACATGTGCAACAGACCAATATCACGAATCTGCCCGAGAACTACTTCTGCAAATACTACATGTACCATGCGCTAAGCTGGCCTCAGTTGAGCTACGTCGCGGTAGATGTGAGTAAAGCTGCCCCATCTATCTCGGCAGGCGATTGGCAGACTTCATGTTGCATTGACGAACAACGCTGACGAAAGCGCGCTCAGGTATCAAGGCCGAAGAAGACCCCCTACGATGCCCCTAAAATTGTCGGATACGTGCTTGCGAAGATGGAGGAAGACCCGCAAGATGGCGTGCAACACGGACATATCACCTCCCTCAGTGTGATGCGGACACATCGGCGATTGGGACTAGCGGAGAAGCTCATGCGCCAGAGCCGTAAGAGACGAGAGATGGGATGCTGAGGTTCAGCGGCTGACAATTGAACAGAAAGAGCCATGTTTGAGACCTACAACGCCGTGTACGTCTCGTTACATGTGCGTGTGTCCAATGTCGCAGCATTGGCACTCTACCGGGATACATTGGGGTTCAAAGTGGTAGGCACCGAAGCCAAGTACTACGCAGACGGGGAAGATGCGTATAGCATGCGCATGGATCTCGACTATCTGCGAGAAGAGGCGCTTGACGCAGAAGACTCGGATGAAGAGGACGAGGTAACGGTTGGGCAGGATGAAGGCGGTGAAGTTGGAAGCGCCGGCAAAGCCGATGAGGCTGGCGCTGCCCTTCCGAAAAAGGAGAGGAAGCGAAAAGTCAAAGTTGGGCGGCAGCTGGGCGTTGGAGAACTGGTTGAAAGAAACGAGAGCTCTCAGCCTGCTCAGACGAACGGAACTTGAACATGGGATATGATTCAAATGTGCGGAGCCAAGGAGAGGCGGTCCTTGCTTCGCATAGCTTCACAGCAGAGTAAAGCTAGAGCTGAGGATCAGGTCCTTTACGAGATATGACCACCTCAAAGTGGCAAGTCAAAGTAAACTGAGAATCGACCTTGCCGAAAGCAACGCGGAATCTTGGAGCTTAAGACTGCAACTACGATATGCGCGCCGCTGCATTGGCTGCGCCCGCCGTTGAATGCTGGACTGAGACAAGCCTCTGACCGAATCCCTACCCGATCCATGAAATGAGGCTGTGAACACTACATGAACCCAGCGTTCGTACGCTCTTCTCGTCCTCATCTTGTCGATGTGGAGTGTTCTCTCCGCGCGCTGTAATAACAGATTTTTACAATGCATCTTCTGCGCTAATACTTCAATACGTCAACTCAGCACAATCAACAGAATGCAGTGCCAGCTCTGCGCTCCAGCTTTAATGCGTCCACGGTGATGCGTGAGGCTGCCTTGGCCTCATCACTGCCTTTTTGGACTTCCTTGCTCTGCATCGGGATGTCCTTGTCTGACAGCATGATCTCGAAGTGACTGTTTTGGAGATACAAGGTGTTTGCGCGTGACCGAACTGACCTGATCGACAGGTGGAATGATATAGCGTCGATCCAGAATGACGGTACCAGGAGGGGCCCCGGTCTCGTGGAAAGGGTGTAAGTAATGAGGTCCTGAATCTCCTGAGAAAGCTTGAGAAACCCAAGAGATCTAGTAGATGTCAGCTCTGGAGACTTGAACATGGAAACTCCTACGAGTACATATCCTACAAGCGACACTAGGGCTCACTGCGGGTCGTAGAGGCGCGTATCGGGAGACTCGGTGTCCCAGAAGCGTCCAGTGAGTGCAGCTGACCCAACGGCATCGACGCTTTCCGACTCAGCGCGGTTAGCACTCCATAAATCGTACTCGGAAATCTCAGCCTAGAGTACCCCAGGCTTTCTTGCGGCGAGCCTACTGTGTACTACATGCTCGCGGTGTTCAAAGTTACCTTGCACGGGCGGGACGGCTGTCCAAGAAGAGCTAGACGAAGCTTGATCGGTCCTCAAATTCTGTTTCTGAGCAGAATGCAAAGCAATGCTAATCTGCGCCTCTATAGTCAGGCATCATCGCCTGGAAAGATGGAATTTTCGAGGGTCGTACGCGTTGCTCTGCGTGGGTACCGACATGATGCAGTGTCGAAGGCTGTATCCGAGATGCGTGATTCGGAGAGCTGATGATTGCGGTCCTGGCGGGAGCCTCGTGCCAGGTCGAACAGTCGAATGCTTACAATCCAAAGTCCCCTGGTGTCGAAGTATCCGTCTTGGGTGTTGAGACCAAGTGCGTATCCGTAGGTGTTGTTGCGCAGTTCGACTTCGATACTCAGGAGGCGCGATCCATCCCCTGCGCTGGCAGATGTAGTACTACACCATGGCGTGTGCTGCACAGTCGAGTCATCTCGATTCGCTTACACCTGCTCGTCTGCGGCGGCCTCCATGATGCTTGTCAATGCTGATGTGCGACTGTAAAGTGTCGGTTGCTCGTACGGTGCGCTTGAGTGAGTAAAGAAGGATTTTTGCACTTTCGCGGCAGGCTTCTCGGGATTTGGGCTGCCTGAGGCAGAGGTCTTGCCGGTCATTCACATGGAATTTGAACATTAGCTAGCGCGGAGCGGTAGTTGACAAATCAGCGGCGCAGATTCTCCGCCGGTGAGTGTCTGGAGCAAGCCGTGGTGCTGCCTGAGGCGCTGCCTGTCTTCCGAGCCGAAAGCCGCACCAAGCCGCTGGCCTGTGTCGCTGATATCTGGGGAACGCATGTCTTTGCCGAGAGCAGCATCCTCATATCCTTTAGAGCCTCTCTGGAACACTCCTCGCGGCTTCCATACATCCCAGTGTCCTCCCAAGTAGCCGCAGGTAGACCATCAGCCCGGGCGATCCGTAGCTCATATCGGATACCGGCGTACCCCTGCAACTCCGCCGACATCTATCAAGTGGGAGCAAAGACGAGGCTCTGTCCTTGGCGGACATGAAGGAATACCTAAGCCGCGACCTCCCACCGGCACCAAGGGCGGGAATTCCGAAGCTGTGAGCACCGTGTCGAGAAGCGTGAAGAAGCGACCTATGCGCAGGTCACTCGGGGTCATGAATAAGGCTTCAAGATTGCAACAGTCCCAGAATTGGGAACCCAGAGACGGAGGAAAAGGAACTTACGAGATCTAGAATGTCCCAGAGCAACATAGTGGGATTCAGTGTGCAGGAAATCGGCAATACCAAGGGTGACATGCCTATCGCAGGAAGACTCGACGAAGAGGACCGAAAGTGCATACCAACGAGCACAGAAGCTCCAATATGGGAATGGCGGTATAGGTCTGGTTCCGATTTGTTGGCCTCGATATGACAAATATGAGTGTCAATCGCCGAGACAGCAGACCACACTACCAAAGGAGAAGTCGGGCGTTCCTCCTCATGAATTGGCAAGAGATCCCTGTCCAGAATTGTAATCAGCGAAATCCATATCTGGGCAGGAAGTGCCTACAATTGTCAAGAGGTAACCTCACCCTTAGAAGGCTATTCTACTCGCGAATTACTTCACCAATAGGTATCATGGGTCATCCAGATCACCCGAATCAGAAGCTCCAGCGTCGCCTTGTGCTGAATGTTCTTCCGTAGTCGTTCGCGTTCTTTCCTCATGCTCCCTGTTCAACAGTTTCATCGTCCAACATTGCTGGAACTCCCACCTTAAACAGGCCAAGACATAGAGAGCTTCCCTCCTACTCCAGGATACTGCACGCTGGCGCCAGTAATCCTGCCCTGTCCCATGCTCCATCTTCCATTGCTCCAGTCGCATAATTCTCAGAACGTCGTCGTCTCGTAGATGGGAGCAGATTAGTCGAATTATGTTGACGGTTCCAGGATCTACCTTTGCTTCGTCGTATATCTTGGCCGCGATGAGTTCCTTGAACACATTGTCGCACTTGGATAAAATGTCGGGAATGAGATAAGGCTCGTACTCTGGCATGCTCGTACTGCTGTGGGAGGTGCGTGCTTGCGTACGTTGGCATAGCGGTCAAACAAGGACCCTGCTCTTGTATGTTTGATCGCGAAGCCGACGGAGTGAGCACGCACCTTCCAACTTGCTCCAGAGAATTCTAGAGAGCGCGGAACATCAACAAAGAGATGGTCTAACAGCCAGTTCAAAAAGGTCGCAGTGATGTCGACGCATCTCGAGTCAGAAGGTGCTACTGTAGTGGTGGTCTGGATGGAACAAGCTGTCGCCTCGGTTTCTTTCGCCTGAGATTGTTCAATAGACACACTGACACTTGAGCGAGAGAAGTTGCAAGACGAAGAGAGATTGTGCGAGGTGAAGTGAGGTGGAAATACTTCGCGCTATACCTAATTTGATATCCTAGCTGATTATGATTAGTAAGGCAGGCAGCTTTCAGACGTGATTCGGAGCTGTCTTTCCTCCATCAGAATCTCTTCATCCGAATCCTTCCTCGACACGAAGGAGAGCAAACAGCCGACGTAGTACTAACCTGGCAGTGAGGTCTGCAGTGGAAGCCCGCCACGATCACAATTCGACATCCTCTACAATAGGACAAAGTGGATCCACCCAGGTTGTGAGATCGAAACACCTCGACACGGTCTCTTACCTGGCGAAAATTCTCGAAACTGACACGAAAGATCTCTAAACTCCTCAATCGTTGACTTGCCTCTCTGGGGGGGGGGACACGCGTCCTTTTGATGGGCGATCAAGATGAAGGATAGTAGCAGTTGCCTGGTGGTGTATTCGCGCTGAAGTACTTCGTTTGACCGGATCAGGTTCCCGGCCGAAACTTGTCCCTTGCATAATGAGACAACGCACAGGGGTTCGCAAATTAGGATGGATTGACGCTAGTTGCTTGGCATATGTGTCTGTATACTATCTCTACCAAATATCATCTTTTACACGCTGTCTACTATTCAAAGTGAGTTGGTAGCACCTCTATTACATGCTCTGTATTCTATGCCTAATTTAATCTATTAAAATCTTATACTAGGCACGAATGTAAGCTGATTTAAGAGCCTGATAGTCTATCTGATATAGTAACTCCCTATACATCTTTTTAAGGCTCTCTTTAAGTAGTAGCTATATACCTTTAATTAGGTTAAGGTTAGGGCTTTATATAGAGTACTAGTAAAGCTGAATTAGGTATTCTTGCCTAATCTTCTCGGGTAGATTATCCTTTAATCTATGACTATATAATAGATTACTATCTTCTATTAAAATAGTAGGGTAGCCTTAATTCTTTATCTATTTAATCTATTTAATATACTTTAGAAGGATATACTCTATATAGTAGAGCTAGCTTATTGAATTGCCCTTCTTCTAGGTATATAGGGGCTCTAAATTAGCCTATTCCTTTAACTCTACTTAATACTACTCTTCTATCTTCTACCTTCTATTTCTTCGTAGTTTTTAGCCCTTCTAGATTTCTATAATATACCTATAGTTCTACTATTTATCGTTATAGAAGACAAGCTCTAATTTATACTACTAAGAGACAGAGGCAGTAATATAGGCTACTAAATAGTTAGGCTTAGGTTACTCGTATACTATCCCTTTATAATTGCCCTTCTTACGAAAGATTCGTTAATAAAGAGATATAGCCTTATCGATATAAGCCTCGTCTGTCTAGTAAATCTATTACTAGAGGCTATCTACTGTCTCTACCCTATATTAGTGCCTATATTTAATCCTTAGCCTCTTATTAGTTTATAAGATCTATATAGTGCTCTACCTCTTACTACGTAGTATTTATAGCTACCTTTTATTTATCCTCCTTCTTAAGGTTGTATATAAGCTTACTATATACTTTTAGAAGAAGGAATAGTCCTGTTTCCTTAAATCTTAGGGACCTTTAGCTATTATCTTAACCTAGTAGGATAGATCCTTCTTTTTAGGCCTAGGTGCCTACTTTCGTAGTAGTCTTCGGGTAGGGGATAGCTCCGCTTCTACTCTTAGCTATATGCGTTAGTAGAGCTAATTACTAGCTGTTATATAGGTAGGGTACTATTCTTTATAGCTATAGAGCTAGTAGAAGTATTTGAGTGTATATTAGTCTCTAGATATATCCTAATAGTTAAAAAAACGCGTTCTATATAGTATCTTAAATTTCCCTAGTCTCTTTAACCTTTCTGAATGATTTCTGAGCACAGGAGGCATGGTGGTGGTGATATAGAGCCTTCAAAAGAGGTGTTGGTAGGGAGGTTTGGTATGCCAAGCAACTAGCGTCAATCCATCCTAATTTGCGAACCCCTGTGAACGTACCCGCATCTCTTCCGGCCTACCTTCTGCGATGCTTATTCACATTCCTTCGTACTCTAAACGTGCAGCTTTGTCTCGAAGACTGACGTGTGTCAATAATGGTATTGTCGCGCAGAAGTCCAACGGTACGGCAGGGACAGACTTTTGAAGATGGCCGATGTCGGCTGCGGCAGGCCGACCAGCCATGCCTTGCACATTTACAAACCTCAGAACATCACCCCGAGGACAATATTATGACCAGCGTTGCTTGAATCGTCTTCACAGATAGTAGTCGATGGCGACGCTCAGACTAGCTGAATGGTCAGCCTCTTTGACACCTTCATCCTATCCGGCATCCGTCCGACACGCCGCCCGACGTTCTCTGTACAACTTCATAGGATGCACGATTGGCGGATCGAATCACCCAGCCGTATGCAAGGCCCACAATGCATTGGAAGCCTTTTCCGGTCCGGAGAGCTCGCCTCTCCTGGGCACTCACCACAAGACGGATGCTCAGCACGCCGCACTACTGAATGGAATAGCCTCTCACGTCCATGACTACGACGACACGCATTTAGCAACCATCATCCATCCGACTGGACCGGTGGCCTCTGCCTTGTTAGCATATGCATCAGTCTCGCAAACTCGAATGTCCGGTGAAGAGCTGTTGTGCGCGCTCATCGCCGGCATTGAAACAAGCTGTAAAATCGGCCTCGCGGTCTGGCCCACTCATTACGACGTGGGATGGCATATCACTTCTTCGACCGGAAGCATCGGCGCCGCAGTCGCTGTTTCTAAGTCGCTGAACCTGTCCGTTGAGCAGACAGCGCATGCCATAGGAATAGCAGCCACCCAGGTGACCGGACTGAGAGAAATGTTTGGCTCCGATACGAAGTCGTTTCATCCTGGACGTGCGGCACAGAGCGGACTCATGGCGGCCATCCTCGCGGAGAAAGGGTATACATCTTCCGTGACAGCGCTGGAGGCGAAGAGAGGGTGGGCCAATGTGGTGATCGGACCAGGCGGCACTCCGCAGCTGAACAAGTACGTGGGAGAGCTTGGGAATGTATGGGAGGTGGAGCGAAATGCATTCAAGCCGTTCCCGTGTGGCATTGTATGCCATCCTGCGATCGACGGATGCATTCAACTTCATCGAGAAATGATGGAAAAAGGCCTCAAAGTGGCCGATATCGAAAGGGTGGCGCAAAGAGTACACCCGCTCGTGATCGAACTGACCAGTCGGCGGAAACCCAGAGACGGACTTGAGGGCAAATTCTCGGTGTTTCACGGCAGTGCTGTGGGATCGCTGTATGGCAAAGCTGGCCCATCTGAGTATGCGGACGATGTTGTAAGGCGGCATGAGGTGATCTCCTTACGCGACAAGATCGATGCCACCGCGGATGACAGTGTGAATCCGGACGAGGTGCGCTTGACTGCAACCTTGGAGGATGGCAGTAAGCTGGAAAAGCATGTAAGACACGCTGTGGGGTCACTCGAGATGCCCATGTCGGATGAACAGCTTACGGAGAAGTTTGTCGACCAATGCACGCTCGTGCTGGGTAAGGAGGGAGCGAAGCAGGCTAGCTCGAAGGCGTGGAAGATGAGCGAAGTGGAAGATGTGGCGAAAGCACTTGAGGATCTGTAACCTGTAGCTCCTGGGCAGCCGAAGAAGCGAATGTGAAGTCGATGAAACCGAGTGTGAAGTCGGTCTGTCTCCTGAACAACGTCTTCTTCCCGTGTCGGATGGTAGATCTCGGTCTCCGTGTCCGCGGCGTCGAGTGATGCTCTTTATACTTCGAAACGTCGTCGCGGTCCCTCTCCGATAGCAGTCCCAGATAGCAGGTGACAACGCGGACCCCTGAGATTCGATTGCATCGCAGTGGAAGCGTATCTCGGCAGACAAGATAGTCGATAAGCTAAAGGCTCGGGAAGAAGATGGTTTTCGAACGCCAACAGACGGCGCTATCGCAGCGACTGGCAAAGATTGCGTTATTTGAGGTTGCTTCTTGGTTTGGCTGAGCTCCGAGTCGCATAACCAGCCTTCGACTGGTTTGTCTTCGGTCCAGTCTTCTTTCCGGCTGCGTCATCGCCCTTCACCTTCTTCTCATCTCCCTTCTGGCCATTGCTATTGTCACTCGCTTTCCTCTTCCCTAGGCTACTTTCACCACTGCTCGGCTTGGCCGCTGTTTTTCCCAACACATAGGCCGCTTTCTCCAAATCCACGGCATTTAATGTCCTCTTCTCGTTCACTTTCTCGAACAACGCGAGGTACTCCTTGAGCTTGTACTTTATCGGTCGATCCCATCCTGTCCCCTTTCCTTCTTCCCAGAAGCAAAAGCGATACAGCTCATCCGAGAAGAAAGGCACCCGCGAAGCATGACACACGGAAAGCAGTAGACTGGCTGTCGCCGGCCCAATCCCTTTGAGCTTCGTCAATACATCTAACGCGGCCTTTACACCTTCTTTGTCCTTGACGTCTGTCTTGAAAGCGTTCGCGGTCGCGGCTCGTACGTCTTCCTCGCTGTTCGACTCGACGAGTTTCTTTAGTGAAGGTCTGAACGTGCCGTGGGAAAGCTTCCATTCCACCAACTTGACCACGTCCTCTTTCAACAGGTATGCGCTTCCTTTCGTTCTTCTATCATTCAGGATGTTTTGAATCGTCTCGTACCGGAATTGGTCGAGGTCCTTCAGCTTCGAAGGCACTAGTTCGGGGTACTCTGCGAGGAGCGGTTCTAGACTCGAGCGTTCCGAGATGCCAGAAAAGGTGTAGTCCTGTCGTCCAGACATGATGGGTTCGGCCACGAGGATGCGGTCTCGCGAATTTCAGGCGTTAATTCCGGTAGAGTGCGGCCTCGCCAGACGCGTCTCTGACGCGTTGACTTGGCGTTTCGGTGCGCGCTCGGGAGGATGAGGTTGCGGGAGAATTCGCCTCAGTCCGCAGACTTGAAGTAGATCGCTATGTAAGAGAAGCGCGCGTACGTCGTTGGATGGCTTGAAGTTGATGTGAAGAGCAGAGCGAGAGGTGCATTTCGTAGCAGGAAGCTTTAGAGGTGCTTTTCGGCTAAAATTTTATCCGGAAAAAGCTTACACTTCATCCTCGATGTCTTTCACTCTCGGCACCCGATCCAGCACCAGGCCACAGAATTTTGCGACCTTTTCGATCTGCTGCTGTATCAACTCTACATCTTCATGCGAAACACCAATCCTTCTAGTGCCTCGCAAGTGCCATCCTGTCTCGCGGGCAAGATTTTGTAGCATGATGCCCGAGAGTACGACTAGCTCCGTTTCCACGCCGTTCAGAATCTGTAAATGTCAGCGACATTCCCGCATAGATAGATGAACGTACGCTGTGGTCTGAGAGATACAAGCCGTATGTTATCTCCCGGCTCAGCCAGTCGAAGTCTTTGTGTGCAGCCAAAACGTTCTCTGTCTGAGCATGATTGTGACGATAGATTTGATCTAGCCAGGCACGTCCTCGAGCCAGATTCTCCGCGCCCGACGACCAGTGCTCTCTGGAGCACATTAGTACTCGTTGGGAATCCGGGATGTATCCGACCTACCTAGAGAAGCTATAGTCGCGATCTTCCGGCCTCTCAACAGCCGCAATGCTGAAGATGGCCTCGAGCGGCTTCGGTACGCCGACCACGCTGACCAGCTTCATCAGGCTCTCTCTGAGTCTTCGGACGAGAGCTTGTCTGGACGAGGCCGTGCTGAACTCCGGCTTGGAGATGAGATACCTGTAGAGGTCGGCTGCTAGCTCTGGGCGGCCGCCTGCCGAGATGGAAGAGATCTGAACCGCGTCTTAGATGATTTATGTTCGGGAAGGGCTCGCACTTACGGCAAGAATGTACCATCTGTCATCGCCGAGGCTTTCCGAAGGGAAGGACGATTCAATGTCTTTGAGCAGAGCTAGAGTGTCTTCTGAGGAGAGGCTTGTGTGGGCCATTACCGCAAAAGTGATCTTCTCTCTAAACGTGTATAGGAGCTTTAACAAGCAGAAGAGGGTTTATAGATAGTTCTTTGTACATACGATTATAGGGGGTGGGTTTAAGGAAGGTGCCCCTCTTGAAGAACTTTTATCCGATCTCGGAAGTAGCCGAGAGTCAGTGCACTCTAGAAATCTTGGGACATTCAATTATACGCCCGGCATCGATTGATAGGAGAAGGCCGACTTTACGTAGCTCTAATATAAGTATAGGAACCTGTCAGCTTTTAAGGATACTCTAGATATACTTCTCACCCCTGTCTCTCGCACTAAAGAGCAAAAGAGCATAGTATAACCTATTTACAAGTATCTATTACAGTACGTGTAAGTGAAATCATAGATATACCGTCTACGATATAGTGTCTTTTGCATCTTGCTGTAACAATAGTTAGTGCACTCTAGGCATCTTGAAATCAGATTAGCTCACGCCGCTTTTTTCAAGGTACATACACACACGAGACTGTAGAGTACTTCTTCACTGTGTCTGGCGATGCTACGCAGCTACAAGGACACCGGTCAAGCCAATTTCGCGGCGCGACTCGAACAAAATAAATCTCGCGCTGTCCGCGCAGCTACTGCGATGGGACGAACCCTCTAATAAGCAAGGAATTAGACAAACATACCAACTATGAGCCCAGAAAGCTAAGCACACGAAATATGTTTAGCTCCACTAATCCCTCTACAATTTCTAATAATACCTCGCTATCAAGATCGTGGCGAGTACAATAAATCGAACGCTTACCTACTCCGTCTGCTCAGCACTGACGCTTCTACTCTTTCGTTTGCAGAGAACAACGCCGCTTTGGAAACGCCCTCGTTGCCCCGCATCTGACCGAATTTTTAAGAGCTTCGAACAGTACAAGCGACGGAAGTTATAACGGGAATCGGAAGATACAATGAACTTGCCTATAGCCAATTGACAGCAGCGCAGACAGACAAGGACCTTTGTGCAGATCACTATATCGTAAGTCTAGATAGAGTCCGAGTAGAGTCGCGGTATCACGGGCTGACCTGTGATTGACTGAAAACTCTTTTGGAAAGGCGAAGTCTGGAGGAGAAACCTGGTAATTAAATAGCAGAATGATATTAACAATTAGTTGGGAGCGCAGGCATGTTTGGCGGAAAAACACTGTATAGTGTATCATAATGTACGAGACGCGAAATACCAGCCTTTCTTAACGTGTCCTCCTCGAATGTGCGAAATGCCACCTTAGAGCGATAGGTGCACTGAAATCGAAAGACAGCTTCGTGCGGCGTAGGTTCATGATTCCTGGACGTTATTTTACACGCGAATACTTTAAGGCAAGTATGGGGTAAATCCCGGGTGTCGGGAATGCGCGAGACCACCGCTCCTGCCGCATATGGTAGTAGAAGGACGCTCCTGCCGTGTAGTAAATAAGTTGAGGATCAACCGCAGCTTACTTTCTTCCACTTCACACCACACATTAACACATCACAATCAACACGCAATGTCCGCACAACAGGCGAACACACACTCACAGCCACAAGCAGCATCAATTGCTGCACCAAAGACAAGGTCGCAATGGCCAAAGCCACCACATCTAGCTCTTAGCTCTTTGCCGGACGCGACGGAGTTCCGCAACTGCCTTACTCCGGACAAATTATGGAATACCTTGATGATTCCGCCAAGGGTGAAGGCGAAATGTTCGACCCGGACGACTTCGAATTCTGAGCAGCGGCCCATTGCGAGAACTTTCTCCAATACCCGAACTTGCCATATTATGGATGAGTCCGACTCCCATATCTCTGAGCTCGCAATTAGCAGCTGTTTTCTGAGCTTGCATTATGCAGCTGATTTCCGGAGCTTGCAACTTGCAGCTAATTTCTATAAGCGAGAGATTTACGCTGTCATTATGCAAGCAAGCGTTCTAGGTTGCTTTTCTGAGCCAGCGTTCTATGCTCATGGTTTCACAGCTAGCCTTCCACGCTGCCATTCTCCGAGGTCCCCGGCAAGGAAATATCCCAGCATTTAGCTGTCTTCAAAGAGGCTGCAATACGACGACAAAGGCAGCCGCGACGACCACGTCCTACTCCGCATCCCTAGCTCCCTAGATACCACTTGCTAGACTGCCGCAGGTAGCCTGCGAGCCCTCGGACAGGAAAGGCCGCGATATGTTAAGGTCCCGTACTCCCCGAACAAGCGACAAATGGTTCCCGTGCTCACTCTTTCGGTATACCTTTGCGCAAGTCCCTGCTTTCTGGATCTTCCGCTTACAACAACAATGGAAATTGAGCGGCGGACGCTGTACGCACCATGCTTCCCTGCTTTCTTCGATGGGACGTTAAAAGAGGCGCTACGCCATTGCTCTTGAACGCCTATTGCATTATGTCGAATTATAGAAACTTGGATTGCTGACCTGGATCCCGAACTACTTCGAACTAGTTCCACGGATATGCGTTTCTCACCGCCGTCTTGTCGAGCACCTTGTGGATTAAGTCCGCTTGACGCTTATCTACCGAAATCAAGCTCCTTAGCTGGCGCACTTTTCTCGTCCACTTCTTTAGCCAATCGACCGACAACCACTACTAGAATTCTCGCGCCCTCCTATAGCATCACGGGGCCGTCCCGCTCCAATCGTCACATCGCAGCCGAGCTACCTAGCTGCGAAACGAATAAACAGAGCGTTCGTCAAAGTCTATCCCAATCAGCTCTCCGCCTTCTATAGAATAGACTCGAAGCATTCGCTAGCGCTCTTCGTAGTGGACCGGCCCCCAAGGCACTCTATTAAACCTGACCACGGCCGTCCCTCGAAAGCTTTATATCAAGCCGCCTAGGCTGAGTGTGACAGACGGTCCATTGTACTCTGCCTTACATATTGAAGAATCACGAGAACGGCAGATCGGTCGAGTGCCTAAGCTAGTTAGTGTATAGCTGCACTCTGGTTTCTGTCGAAGCTTGCCGATACGAGAGTTCTACAGCACGAAAGCAAGCCTTTACAGTTGCAGAGTTCACTACTTGCTTGTGTAATTTGTCGCAGTTAAGTGATCGCCTTAGCATGTCTGGAAAGACGTGACCTAGAGTGTCTCCGGACCTCCGACAATAGAAGGGGAGGACTTTATAACATCCGGGGCGAAAGGACTCCTTAGAAGCGTCTGCTTTAACGGCTCCCGGGCTTTACAAGTAGCAATATAAGTGCATACTCTTCTATACTTCAAAAAAAACGAATAGGCTGACCATCTTACATTCAGATAAATAGGTTGCACAGATAACAGCGGTCGGTTACAAGATTTAGCAGGAATCTCCGACGCAATTCAATCTAATCAAGGTGCAAGAACGGGAATAGGGCAGAGGATGTATCTACTAATGTCTATGTTAGTCACTAGTAAGCAGTCCGAATCAGGAAGCGGAAGCAGAAACTTTAATGTCGAGGCGGAATATGGGGAATCTGTCGAAACGAAGCACAAAGGGTACCACAGAGCGCGACCCGGACAGTCGGCACGAATAACGACTTAGCCATTTTCGCGGACTCTAATACTGTTGCATGCATTGAAGAGCTCGCGCAGTACTACCAGGTAATCTAAGAGACAAAAATGAACTATCAATCGATAGAGAAAAGAAAATGGGGAGCTGCGCGTTAGAGTTTCTGAGTCATTTTGTTAAATTAGAGGCAGGCAGATTTCGAGTCTCTGCGAGTCGTAAGTTGCTCAAGAACGCTGCTCGCCGCTTTGTTTAGGAGAAAGCGGGAATTAAGATTCTTAGAGTGTCTTCAAACCGTGTTTTAGAGAGTTGTCCTATGTTATATATTTATTGTCTCGGATACAGTCTAGGAAGAGGTCACATTAGACAGCATTCTTGCCTGTCGACAATACCGCACTCCAGACTTCTCTTTAGGTCCCGAAAGCAGTCGAGGGTCAGTGTACCCTGGACATGTTAGGAAGCTCTACTGCAAGCTTGACATAGATAGCACTAGAATACGACAGTTGCGGAGCAAGTATAAGGAGATAAGGAAACGGGCGTCTATAACAGCATACTTATAAGACTAGGTGGCATAGACCCTCAGCGCTCGAATGTGGCTAGATTAAAGCTATAACGTTAAGGCTATCGCCTAAGAAGGGCAAGTGAGCAGCTAGCGTTAGCCTTATTGCTAGAGCACGCGTGCTGCCTCTCTACGCGTTGTCGACTAATCTATATACCGTCACAATAGCATCTAGAGGCCTAAGGCATACGTTAGCTAAGTCCGTATTAGCGAGTGCTTAACCGTCTAGTACATATAGTCAAGGCCTACCTGCTTCTTCGCAGTCGCAGTCGTAGAGGCAGTCGTAGTAGGCAGTCGCAGTAGGCAGTCGTAGTAAGCAGTCGCATTGGCAGTCGCAGTAGCATGTTTCTGCCGCCAAGTACTGCTAAATGAGCTCAAATCAAGCGTTACGCTATAGAGACTCTTCTAACGTAAAGAGGCTAGCAACAGGTCAGCTACTCGTGCGTGTAGTAGCGTAAAAGAGCCTCTCACTGCTGGTTAAAGCGCGGTAGACATGCTCTATTGCATTCGTCGAGACCGAGTTGCATCGTCTCTGGCACAGGTGCGGGAACATCCACTAGCGTCACGTCCGTGCACTATAGGCATATCGCTCCAATTCTATTACTCGTCGTTACTAGCTACAATTGGAATGGAAGCAGAGCAAACTGATCTTTGCCTCTGCAAACATGCATTGCTATAGACGTTAAGTCAGATTGCAGTAGTGCTGCGTACGCTATAGAGATTATTCAGGTTTCGCTGCGCTTAAGATCCGTGCACTCTAGACATGCCAGCATGCCGTCCACCGGAGAGTTCTGGTTTTGCGGATACAAAGATTCCTGAAAGAAGAGCAATTTCTGGTTGCATATCATTGAATTCGGACCTCGCATCAGAACCTCGCTCGGGGATCTTCCTTTATCACGCTACTGTGTTGGCCCTCCAGAAGGCAGTCAACAGCGGGGCCTTAGGCCGACAGGATTTGGCAGA